AAAATTGCTTGCCGTAGAACCGGGATAGGGTTTCTATTACGTAATGCGTGAGCAGCGTGACCGACGGACAGATTATTGCGTGACCGACATGACCGACAAAAATTCCTGTTATCCTGAACATAGAGGACCTTCGCTTCGCTTCGGTCGATCAAAATCATTCGAAAACCGATCGCAGACCACAAGAAATGCGAAGCCGTAATATAATAAGCCATCATCGTCGTCTCTAAACTTCCGTGCCAAGTGGCACGTTCTCCGCACTGGGACGCCAACAGCCGCGCCATATGCATGCCGCATGCACCGGTTCCCACCGAATGATTACCTGCTTCTTTATCCAGATTCCCAATTACTGTAACGGCATCCCAATAACAGACTTCTCAGCTAGTCGGTCCTCCAGGATGTCGGTCTCATCGCGTGCCTTCGCGGCTGCTGATGGTGGGCGTATGTCCTCCATGGGAGATGGGTGCATCCAGGCGCAAAAAGCTCTACGACCATATTCCTCAAATCAAGCAACGGCACCTACACGCGGTAAATGTCTTTCCAAGATGCTGGAGAACTTCCTGCAGGTGTTTGTAGTCCTTCTTCGCCATCTTTGTCGGACCATCTACTACGTACGTAATGACCTGCTCCCAACGTAATGGTCCGAAAAGGTCATGCTGGTCTCCGCTTGAAGTTGTACCGCATTTAAACCATATCCAATAATTATGTGGCAATATACAGCGCGTAGCCGGACATGGTCACATGCCCCGTCCCCCATAACCATTCTACGTTTCTTCAAGTCGTAAAATATAGCAGTAACCGGAAGTAATCGTAAACAGAACTAGATCGAAGGCAGTTGGGTGAAACATGTGGGTACAGTACTTTAAATATTAGCAAGTTTTTGAGTGTGGTTGAATTGTTAAAGTACAGCTTTACACTTGCACATCTGTGGTTTCTCTGAATTCTATAATATTCTGAGTAAGTTTTATTGTAGTTTTATTAAACAGAACGAACAGGTGAGGAATTTGTGTTTCAGTATTAATTTGGCTGTACTACGAAGTACGATTCGCCCGCAGGTACAGTCTGTACAGATATGCTGACCGTTTTAGTACCGAATTAAATGACCTAAAGAATAGGGATCTTCTGAAAGGCTTATCGGGTTGAGCGTTTTTATTAAAATCAAGTTATTTGTATGTTTATTATATGTCTATGGGAGATGTAGGAAATTGTTCTCATTCGGTGTCCTATCTGTAACTGTACAGATCCTGGCACAAAATTATGTATATTAATACATTCTTACAAATAGCAGCAAATTGGTAAAGAAAGAAAGCTAAGCCTCCGAAGAAGACTGCACACAAGGGGACACAACGAATCCATTTTTTGGCCTTTCTTTTGAAATGCTATGAACAAATCCATGTGACTTTAAATTTGTAAAACGCCGAGGAGGAGAATTAAGTACTGCCGACAACAATAAACAGTGAAACGGCAAAACTCCAATCCCACGCAGCTATCGGCTTTGCTGGTACCTTTCAATTATCTGTAATAGGTATGTATATATGTACCGGAATAATTGCTACTGTTGCGTGGAGCACTGGTTTATTTTTGCCTTAGTAATATCTCCATTGGACATATTACGAAGACGAAACTAAACCAAATGTTGCAACATTTGGCGCTGATCATCACAATGGTGGATATCGCAACAGCTCGAGTTTACTTCTCCGGTCGCATCGGCCAGCCATCCGGACGTATACCAAGCAGTGTAACTGAACGATGGCCGACATGGAAAAGCCGCGCGAAATCACCGGGCGTCGGCATGCACCAAGGCCCGAAACCATGCTGCGGCTGGCTTCGGATAGCGGAGAGGGAGCTGAATATCACTGATCATGATCATCACCGACTGACACACCGCAGACGCTTCTAGGTTGCGTCCGTTCCCCGTGCGTCGGTGCCGCCACCGTCGCCGGAAGTCACTTGCGGCATCGCGTCCGGAAACCATCTTTTTTCCTTAGATTACCTGGTGAAAATGTCCCCGCCGTGCATGCAGTGCGAGCACGTCTGGACACCAGGCAAATCATAAGACGAGGAGAATAAAAAACGAATGGAATGGGTACAATATTGGGTAGATCCTGTTTGTAACTTTGTATTCATTGGCCACCAACACGTTGACGACGTAAATAAGCTAGAACCAACACGCGGATCGTTTCCACTTCCGGAGGATTCTCCGTTTGATCCGCAACATTATTATAAGTTGTAGCTCAGTCTAGTCCTGTACAGAAAAAATATAAAAACACACAAGTTACCTAGATGCTTGCAAATATTACGTGTACCATGCAGCCGAATAGTTAGTTACATATGGGCCTAAGGTTTCCTCACAGCAAAATCTGTGATATTTTGCAGCGGTTGCAATTAATTTTTATAGTACACAAAACTAACGTAATCGCTACAATTGCAGTAACTGCTAACAGGCAAATAAATTTTAAATAGTTGAATAGAATAAACACTGAAACACACGTCCACAGCGGCACAGTCCACACTGGTATGAAACAAAAACAAAAATTAATAACAAAAAACCGATTCGTATTAATTAGATAAACAGTATAACACACGCTTTATGCTAAATTAATTACAGTCTTTAAATCCAGCAGTCCAAATCTACGGCAGTTACAATTCAGGGTAATATGTACGACTCGGACAGTGTAAGTAGTACCTGTACAACCGGAATCAAACTCCAAGTTCCAACCAAACTGTACAGCCGTAATCAGTCACAACTGACACACAATCAGTCACACAGTAATATCCTGCTGTGATCGGAACGCGCAGGTTACGAGTGCGCAACGTTGGGTATCTGGGTTCACCATTTACCCAGTCTCGCTCTAGCATGGCTCCCAGCCTCCCACCATCGCCTGGAACTGTGAAAAGCTCATAACAATTATCTCGTAATTTTCAGTTTTCTTCACGCAGCACAATAAACAGGTCTTGCCTGTAATTACATTACACAATTTACACTGGACCTTGGGGCATAAAAATATTATTATTTGCCATGCTTGTACACTTACAGTACCTGTAGCTCCTCGTCGATCGGATCGTTCTCCAATCCATCAGTCACTCCGATCCCGCTTCTGAACAGCTCCAAGGAAATGATGAAGGCGCTACGAATCCATAGTGGCGCTAGCGTTTAACGAATATCAGAAACAGGCAATGAGATTTAGATATGTACAAATCCAGCAAAATACGTATTGTATTTTCTAAAGTTTAAGCAATAATTTTAGCATTTTAGGTAAAGTTGTACAGTGAGTAAGCACTGCTGTACTGTACATTACGCCTTTGGGGATGTCGTTGCGTCCAGCCGCTTCGGGGCGCGGCTGCAAAACAATTGCACGGAAGTGCGCAGTGCACAGTCACGTATCTCTATGGCTGCATCTAGTCTGACTGCAGCTTGCAAATACTTTCTGACGTACTTGCTTTACCGTCGAAGGAAGGTCTTGATAAATTTTCTTACCTTTTTCCTTTTTATCAGAGTTTAGTCATACAGATTACAGAAACTGGGATAGTGTTTTACTGATTTTCAAGATCGATCGGTTCTATTCCAGTGTATTACTCCTCGGGTTTTCACAAGTTAAGCCGTTAAGGGTAATTTTGTATTAACTAAGTGCTCGATGTCTGATGAGCGACTGAGCGTGGGCAGAGTTGTTGTGGAGAGACGTCAGCAGCGCTCATTGTCAGCCAATATGCAGTCTATGCGTACTCTATCCTATTGCAGCGTTCCTGGCTCTGTATCGTGAGCTGTTGAGTGTTGCTTTATTATTCACCGAGCTTTATCCCATTGCTATACCAGAACGGCATGTGATCTTGCTGCCGTGTTGACCTAATTATCTGAGCGAGCGGGAAACCTAGTGTTGCATTCAGTGATTGCTGCTCTAGCCTCCGCTGCGTGCTCTCCCTTCGTCTCGCCAGTGGGCCAATGCCGAGCAAATCCCACCCCAGCCACAAGGGGGGCTCCAGTCCCTTCGCGCAGATGCACCTGCGCGAAGTCCCCGCCGCCTCAGTGTCCAGCGAACGCATGCTGGCCACGCGCGGCAGCAGCGCAACGACGGCCTTCATGGTGTCCGCGGGCTACGACGGCGTCAGCAGCGGCCACGTGCAGGCCCCCCACGGGGGTCCCCTCAGTCAGGCGCACCATGGCCACGCGCACGCCTCCCCCGCGCAGCACCACCCCTTCCAGCCCCAGCACGCCCCGCCGCACTCCGGCTTCCAGTACGCCGTGGACGGCTACGGCGTGCTCCAGGGGGGCCCTGGCAGCCACCCCCTGAACCCCATGCTGCAGCTGGAGCAGCGCGGCGCCCCCCACGACGCCGGCGCCAAGGGCAACGGCTACTACGCGCACTACAGCGACGCGCACGACCACGCCATCGCCTCCGTGTCCGACATCGAGGCCGAGATCATGAACGCCGCGCCCCTCACCGAGAAGGGCAACAGTCGGGGCGGCAGTCTCAACGGGGAGTCGGACAGCGTGATGGGCAAGAACCTCAAGGGCACTCCCCTGCGGAGGCCCACGACGGCGCTGCAGCACTCGCCGGCCGTCGGCGCTGACGACAAATCGCGGCAGGGCGCCGCCAACGGATGGGACGTCCTGGAAATAACTGGTCAGTCATTTCGCTTTCACACAGAGTTACCCTTGAATAATCACCACTTTTCAGCTGCTTTGCAATGACTTTTTAAGCGGAAAGCTATTCATATAATATTTTAGAAAACAATTTCGTTTTAGGCGCTCAAATGGTTTGAAAAATGGATCTTGAAAGCTTCGTTTAATTCCGTGATTTGTTTCGCTTGACATTATTTCAGTCAGCATTTATTATACTGTACATTTGTACTTATAAATTAAGTTAGAATGGATTTAACGCATGTATTGAATTATCAGCGTGTTTGAATTTGGCCTGATATGGATTTGATGTTTGAAATGGAAATCTAACCTTTTTTTAAAAATTTTAATTTTTTTGAGTGACGAAAATTTACGGTTTCTTTCGGTGGTGGGAACAGCAAGAGCTTTTGTTGTTTATTGTATTTATGGTCAGGTGTCATCCTTCATGATCTGTTTGATATGCGTCCTTAACTGCGTGGTCGTTAGGTGGCGTGAGGAACATGAGCGCCAATCTGTGCGCCATGAGCCACTTGGGCGCGCTGTACATGGCCAACAACCAGATCTCCCGCATTCCGCCCAACATCGTCAACCTCAAGAATCTGACCATTCTCGATCTCTCCGGCAACCGTCTGAGAATCATTCCGCCCGAGCTGGGCCTCCTCATGCAGCTGCGCCACCTGTACCTGCAGCAGAACTTCCTGCGGACGCTGCCCTTCGAACTGGGACGCCTGTACAAACTCAGCACACTTGGTCAGTGAATTCCACTTTACTGCCTACTGGTAACTCGATCATTAACGGTATCGAGTCTCGGCGTTATTATTTGTAATTAAAAACTAAATTGACTTTCAGTCAATGAGTTTGCGAGAATTTCTAGAAAAGGAAATGTTTGAGAATTATGCTGTCATTGCAGCGCTGGATGGGAATCCGCTGATGAACGAGATCTTCGAGGTGTACAACAACTACGGCGTGGAGAAGTTCCTGGCCTTCCTCCTCGACCAGCTGATGGACTCGCCCCCTCCGCCGCACCGCACGCGCGTCCCGGTCTTCCAGCCGCTGGCCGGGCCGGCGGTGGCGCCGCTGTCGCGCATCCCCGTCTCCGTCGTGTGCTACAACGTCCTCTGCGGGCAGTACTGCTCGCGGGCGCAGTACGGCTACTGCCCCACCTGGGCCCTCGACTGGGACTACCGCCGCAAGGGCATCATGGCCGAGATCCGCAAGCACCAGGCCGACCTGCTCTGTCTGCAGGAGGTCGAGACCGAGCAGTACTACTCCTTCTTCGTCCCGGAGCTGCGCACCGACGGCTTCGAGGGCTGCTTCGTGCCCAAGTCGCGCAGCAAGACCATGCACGGCCTGGAGCGCAGCCACGTCGACGGCTGCGCCATCTTCTACAACGTCAACAAGTTCGAGTTCGTCGAGGAGTACGCGGTGGAGTTCTCGCACCTGGCCATGTCCTACGCGCACAGCGACGGCTGCGTCACGGAAGGTGAGTCGCTGCCCGCTTCCCTCGGGGGTGTGTGTTGTGAACGCCTTGTCATTTGTCCCTTTTGCAGCGTCGGAGAACATGCTGAACCGAGTGATGCCCAAGGACAACGTCGGCCTGGTGGCGCTGCTGCGCTTCCACCCGACCGTGCTGCCCGCCCAGTTCGGCCGGCAGCCCTACCTGCTGGTCGTCAACGCGCACATGCACTGGGACCCCGAGTACTCGGACGTCAAGCTCATCCAGGCCATCATGCTGTCGTCGCGCCTGCGCGACATCGCCAACGACATCTCGGTGCGCTACTACGGCTGCAGCACGCCCGACCCGCAGGCCGTGCCCATCGTCTTCACCGGCGACATGAACTCGCTGCAGGACTCTGGGGTCTACGAGTTCTTCATGAAGGGCCGCGTGCCCTACGCGCACAAGGACTTCCGCGGCATCCGCTACAAGCAGTGCATCGCGCGCTACTCGGCGGCCGACAAGGAGAAGGAGTACCTGTCGCACGGCCTGGTGCTGGGCGACGCCTACGCCACGGTGCAGCTCAACTACACCAACTACACGCTGGACTTCAAGGGCGTCATCGACTACGTCATGTACAGCAAGAACCACTTCAACTGCCTGAACGTGCTGCGCCCGCTGGACAAGGAGTGGCTGGAGAGCAACCGCATCGTCGGCTTCCCGCACCCCCACATCCCCTCCGACCACATCCCGCTCTTCGCCGAGTTCGAGCTCTTCGGCCAGTCCGTGCTGGAGGTGGAGCGCGTGCCGGCCGTGGTCATGGGCGGCGACTACGCGGAGGCCGAGTACGCGGAGGCCCCGGCGGAGAGCAGCTACCAGAAGCGCTCCGGCTTCTGAGCGGCACTCACTGTCATTCATCCCGTCATCCATCTCCTGTCGCAGCTCAGTCGTGATGGCTGCGGCGCCCGGCCACCTGCGCGCCGCAGCGGATTGATTCTGTGGATTCTCATTGGACTAGTATTACACTATTCTGTTCGTCGGCCAGTTGACCTGTCGCGCATCCGGCTCATCTCTTGTGGCGCCCCTTCATTCCCGCCGGCCCCGCCCCGCCCCTCTCCGGGAATGGCCGACCGGGGCGTCTCTCAATATATTGCTTTTTGTTTTCGCCGGTATTTGCAGTTCTCTTCTTTGCAGTTTTTGTCTGTCGTTTGAAGCCTGCGCGTTTCCGCACAGCATGTGGGTGCAGAAACGAATGAAGTGCAATGCTAGTGTGCAACTGTAATTAATTTTGTGTAGGGCGCTCTGTGTTGGCGTTGTGGCCTGAGCGCCCGCTAATGAATGCCCGCGCGTGGGCGGTTTAATCTTCATTCGATTGGGTCTCGTCTGTTGAGTTTTTGCGTACTGTACTACTCTTGTTACAGCCACGCTAATTTTTTGTTATGGCTTTTATTTTCTTCCTCGCTGACTTGCCGTTGCCCGCCTGTATCATCATTCATACGAACTACAATAATTATCTAATAAATTTGACCAGTTTGACGCAGATGATGTCCCTACAGGTAACAGGAGGACTTACTAAGTTAATAGTTAAATCCACCATTTGATTGGTTATGATACTTCGATAGTTAAAGTACTTAAATAGCTAAATACACAACTTAATCGGTTATTATGCATGGTAAAAACTAAAATTCCGCGATCGACAAAGCAAGAGTAATGGTGTGGTGCTACAAAACTCAAGGCAAACATGAAAGAAATGAAAGTTTTCCCGGTGTTATGTACAGAGAAAAGAAATGTATGAAGAAATAGATACTTTTTTAGCCTGGTAATAAAAAGCGTTGCTTCGTCAAAGTCGACATCTCGTGAGGCTAAAGAAGAAAGCTGCAAATGATAAAAAATGGAAGAGCGGTAATCAGAAGAAAGCAACAGTTATCATATAATCATAATAACAACTAACAAATACAGTACATCTGGCATTATTATTAAAGATTTGATTAAACGAAAAGGTGCTGCTACTTCTAAAAATATTATTTTATTTCCGACTTCACAAAATTATAAGTCACAGTCGAGCGTAAACTCTTGGTCTAGAACAGAGACCATCTTATTTGATGGTGGTGAGTCTGCTGACAATGCGGCACATTAAAAAGCGGTTGCTACACAATCGCCACGCGCAGCGGAAACTGGACGTTCTTTGATACCGGCGCGTGCAGTGTTCGCAGCCGACGCCGAAGAATGTCGTCTTGAGATGCTGGTGAAAACGATCCGCTGATGGCAAACAATGCTGTGTCCGTTTGATGGCCACGTAATTGTCAATTATGTCAGTAATTAGCGTTAGTTAGATTTAGCCAGTCATATATAAGCCAGACTATCGCCGGTCCGTTAATCAGTACTATACCGATATATTCCTTCCTTATTTGCTGCCTTCACACGGAATACCAGCATCATCAATCATGTCCTCACTGCGCTATTTGCACATTTCCATGGCACTGTGGGCGTTACTGCTGATTGTGCCGCTGCCGACGGTGCTGGGCCAGTCCAACTCGACCTCGTCCGGAAGTAGCCTGAGTAAGAACGCACAGCTGCTGCATTGTGAGCTTGACGTGTGACCTTCTGTCTTTTGCAGGCGCCTTGTTGCCATGTAAGCCAACAGAATGACCAGTGCATCGGGATGTCATTAAGGATTAAACAGTACGTGATAAATAACCTGGTTGTTTTTCTCCCATAGTGCTCCTGCTGATGATGAGCCAGCAAGGCCAGGTGCCGTTGCCCACCGGCGGGGGCGGCGGCTTCATCCCGGTGGGCGGCGGTGGACGCGCCGGGTCATCCAGTGAAGAGGGCCGACGCGGCGGTGGCGGCGGCGGATTTGTGCCGATTCCCTCGGCGGGACTGCCGCCGGGCGGCGGTTTCGGAGGCGGAGGATTCGGAGGCGGAAGCGGTCTGGGCTTTGGGCTGGGCGCGCTGCTAGGTAGGCGAAAGCGTCAATTGGAGGAGCAGCTGGGACAGCTGACGCAACGACTGCCCACTGCTGCTGCTGCAGGCAGCCTCCTGGCGCCGGCCGCTCCCGTATCCGGCGGAAGTGGAGGAGGTCCGGCGGCGGCTGGTGACAACGCGGGAGAACTGCTGCCCGACTTCCTGGCGGTGCCGCGCCTCAGTCTGGAGCGGATGCGCTCCCTGCAGCTCAGTGCGGCGCCCGACAACTGGAGGGATCTGGCGGCGCTCCTGCAGAACGACGAGGACTTCCGCCGGCTACTGCGGGCGGCCACCAACGCCACTGACAAGGTGCCGGATTCCGCGGAAACCAGCACCGCGGCGGAACACACGACCGCCGCTGCCGGCGGCCACGACAGCGTCAACGGCACCATGGCAAGCAGCTGTCTTCCAAGCGACAACACGTGCTCGCCGTGAGCCTACTTCAGGCTTTTAATACATTTCTTTTTCTACTTAATTTTGTGCAATTTTATACGTCTGAATAATCTAGTTGTCAGATTGATAGCGTCCAATATCATAATTGCGTGGGGCACCAATGAATTGCGCACCTTGAGACAATTTTAACCCGGCCATAAACAACGTTCAACGCAATCATTTTATGAACTTCTGGAAGAAGAAACCTAATAATTATTGTGTTGCTGGTCTCAATGATGGTTAACCACTTCTCAAATATGCACATATTGATATCTGTAGTAGGTTCATTCAGTGGAACTGGGAGTTGGGAAATACGGCTCATATCTGCATAAACACAATATTTTTATGTGCTAAGCGGCAGTTGGTTAGTGTGATCTTTCCAGCAAACATCGACTCCGCGGTTTGTTAGTTACGCTGCCGATTTAGCGGGCGGAATTAGCAGGTTTACATGTCACGGCTGCTGGCTAAGCGCGTACAATCAGCATTGCCGGCAGCCGTAATCAGCCTGCGCCGTAGACAGGCGATATGTATAGAATGATATCCATGTCCAAATTGGGAAGTGCGTGCGTCAGCAGTCGGGTCGGACTGGTTTTTACTGGTTTGGCCGGGCCGGGCCTGCCATGACGGCCGACAGGCCACAGGCTGCCGCTGTCGCTTGTTGTCATCTACGCACGTATACGCGTAACGCTACAGTACACAGTCGCAGGCGAGGCAGCTGTTTTATATCGCCAAATTAGTGAATTTATTTTGGGCCGTACACTGTATCTTGGCGCAATGCCCTGCAGCTAATTAAATTAGCCTAGCTGTTTCCACAAGAAATACTCTGCAACGCCGCTAATTAGACACAACGGAGGTAGAAGGGAAAGTTCAGGTAGCCGGAAGTCTGCTGCTGTCATGCAGTGGACCATGAGTCAGCCTGTTGCTAATGAATGGAAGCTGCGACGCCAACCGGAAATCGAGCCGATTACATCTGCCGGTGCTGCAGTGGCAGTTAGCTGACTCTTGCGCCGATGAGTGAGTCTGCAACAAATACAACTGCGCCTGCCGGTGTGCGGATTATTTTGCCAAACCAAAATAATCTGTTGCCTTAGTGGCTTAGCGTTAGCTGGTTGGTTAGTTAACTAACGCAAGCGATGCCAGAATGAGAAACAGTGCCGCACCGTACGGAGATTCTCGTCATCGGGGATTCGCTGTACATGTTCATGATTCACTTGGCCTCTCCCTAATTTCTTCCGAACGTGAGTCGCTGCTGGCTGGCGTGGGGGCGGGCCGGAAATCAGCGTTGCCCGGTCGCGCTTATCGTTCACCGCTCCGCAGCAAAGACGCGCCGTGCCTGTGCAGCACCACAGCATCATACTCGCCACTCGAAGCCTCTGTAACCTTATCCACCTTTCCGGCAGTTGATCGCCGAACGTTGGATCTGCTGCACTTTCCGGGTCACAGTCGAAGTGAATTCCTTTGTATAAGGATTGCTGCTTATCTGCATTCTTTTACTTATCTGTCCGTCTTACGATGGCTAACAGCGGACCAACCTACGGGATGAGCGCGGCAGTGGCGCGAAAGGTCAGTCAGCGCTCAACCGGTCGGATACTATATCATATAGATATTCCTTTACTTAGGTGATCGATACGGGCTTATGATTTTCTACAAGTACTTGTACTATGCGTATTAATACGATATCTGCAGTATAACTAGATAGCGCGATTATAATGACCGAGTGAACTGCGGCGGTCCAGAGTCATTAAGTACTTATCGACATATTATAGGATCACGATGGTTGTACGGAGCGAAACACCACGTGGTACCGTTTGATTTATTTTCAATTTCATAAACATTAAGTACAAAATTAATTTTGCTTTAACAGATTTTTTTAATTTAGTTTTTGTTGTACCTATCATTATGGCTGTACAGCATAAATATTGTATATTGTGTATGCTTGGATTTATTTGCTCAAATGTTGCGCCTGCGCAGTTTTACACTAATTACAATTATAATTATAATTTAAGCATTGAGACATCGAACATCCCTTGCCTATAATTATATTTTCGTGTGAGAAGAGCACCTGGTGCTGTAATGCAGGCATAAGAATTATTTCATACGATATAGCAATTGCATCGTCTGAATACGCTAAATTTTTTACAGAACTGGTAAAAACACTGTATGTACCATTGTTTATCAGAGTTCGTGCTTTAATTAATCACGGCCAACCGCATTGGCGTGATATGAGGGGCTTAGCTGGGAGCGGAATAGCGTTTCGGCAAGTGTGGGAAGAAAAACAAGACGATCTTGCGAAGCTAGCGGGGAGACAGACAGTAAATAAAAAAACAGCAGAACGACTGAGATATCCACACACAACGCGGTCATTAAAGGAGGATGACGACGACGACCAGCGGCTAAAAATAGCTGACGTTGTGGCGATGATCGCGCACCCACTCGCAGTAATCGCGATGGCAGCTGCAAGCTGCATGATTTTGCATCTGACGACCGACTGTGTAGCGGTGCCGGCATTTGCCCAACCTTATCGTCGACCTTACTACGTCTTGGCGCTTCACTTAGACTGCGCTTGCTCCACTGTTCGACGTTTATACCAGCCGAAAGGTTCTTCCGGAGAGAATTATTAAAGACAGGAATGATACTCTCTATGTTGCTCATAACTGCCTTCGAGATAAACTTTATGGCGATTGCAGTGGCTCCTACACTTTACGGTGGCATATCGTCACATCGTATCTTCCGTTGGCATGATACGTTTTTCCGGCTTTTTATATTACAGGCTGTATATTTGTACGTACAAGCAGCGCAAACCGCGCACCCTAATACTGATAGGAAAACCAAAGGATCACCGCAGTGCGGCCATGGGAAACCCCTAAAAACAAAAACCTCTAACAAACCTCTAATAATTTTCTAGAACAAGGCGTCGGGTTTAATCTTTTCCCTAATTACTATCCTAGCTGCGTTTATTACAAGCTGCAGTTCATATGAATTAGTATTCACTCAGCCAAGCTGCTCCGAGTTGTAGAATACGGCACTACCCAGTAGTACTTACTTTTTCACTACAGTACTTCGTATACATAAATAGAACGTGGTGAAACGCAGACGAGAGCCGATTGCCGGATCAGTAGTTTTTCGTAATTAATAAAACGTGAATCAAATTGTAATCTCCTCCAATGTTAATTTGTGCCGGGATTGCTCATATCTGCAAAATTGTAACGCGCTGGAGGCCTGTATTATTAAGTAGTAACGTAATATTAATTCTGATTTCTGAACAATAAAGCCAGGTCTGATAGGGGAAGTGCAAAAGCCAGATGTGCAAGAGTATTGTGCCGGTGTGGATGCAGAGTAGAGTTACAGTGTCTGCAGGAAGTACGTACACAATACCTAAAATTAAATTAATGATACTTAGTAAGTGCGTATGTATATGTTGTTATATCTATATATATTCACATAATTATACTGTACTTACGCACGTACTGACGCACACTACGATATGTTGAGACTTGAGAGCATAATAATAAACTGTAGCAGTTGAAGTTGATTGGTTTGTTGGTGCATCCGTAGCTGCAAGGGAAGCGCGACACGGACCAGGAGGCGGCGGCGCTGCAGTGGATCTACGCCATTCTGGGCGAGCGCCCGCCCAACACGCCCTACGAGGACCTGCTGCGCGACGGACAGGTGCTGTGCAGGTACGCTGACCAGCTGCACTGTAGCACTTTATGTCATTCGAAATATATACCGCCGTGACCTTACCAGCATATATATCAATCGGCCGTGTTCACTCCGTTACAACTAACAGGTTCGCCAACAAGATCCAGCCGGGCGTGGTGCCGCGCATCAACAGCGGGCCGGGCCAGTTCAAGCTGATGGAGAACATTGCCGCCTTCCAGCAGGCATGCAAGGCGCTGGGCGTGCGCGAGAGCGACGTCTTCCAGACTGTGGACTTGTGGGAGCGCCGCAATCTCAGCCAGGTCACCAACTGTCTCTCGGCGCTGGGCAGCGTGGTAAGTGAAGTAGCGTGTCACGTGTGTAAATATCCGGTAGTCTCAGACGTTGGGGCCTTTTTGATTTAACACGCTCTCTCTGGCGCTACCCTGCAGCTGCAGAAGACGCACCCCCATCTGCCCATGTTCGGACCACGCATTTCCGAGGCGGCGCCGCGCGAGTTCACCGATGAGCAAATGCGCGCCGGCGACAGTTACATTAGCCTCCAGTATGGCACAAACCAGGGTACGTGTTACTGCACCCAGTAATTCCCCTTGTATTGTTTAGTATCGTGAAATTCCTTTTTATTCGGCTTTCGGCATCGCAAAATATGCAGGCTTACCTTTTCGCATTTCTGTCGTAGGAGCCAACCAGAGCGGTCAGAACTTTGGCAACACTCGCCACATGTAAGATAGGGCAGAAAGATCCATGCAGTTCAACGCCCGCTTCAGTCACCTGCATTAAGCACGGGCCGGGTGCTTTGCCTGTACACGGCACTACAACTGCCGCCGTTGTGAGCTCCTCTTCCGTCGTGCTCTTTATCGACTGCTTGCTTTACTGTGCTTTTTCATAGCCTATCTACGTGTTTACTTCTTCTGGTTACAGTCTTCTATTTTCCTGTATCACAGAGCATGTTTCGTCTAGAATTTCTTGTTTGCGACCTGGTTGATATTATTGTGAAGTGTGCGGCCGGTCCCTTTCTGCCGCCGCCGCTTTTCTGTAAGCACTACATCCAGTTGCGTCATTATACTCAGTTTGTGCAGCTACATATCTACGCCAACGGCAGCTGCATTCGTGGATCTGTTGGTTTTTTATGTGTCTAATTACTTGTTGCATTTAGTATCGGGATTCGCATATAAAATCACAAACTGCAGTGCTGACCTTTCACAGCTTAACCCTCCGTACTAGTGCGGCAATACCTACTGGGCGCTGCTCCAAAGTGCTCCGAATACACTTCAAATACCAAGCATGCAGTCTGTCTGGGAAGGCTAGTTCTCGGGTAACAAGCGAAGCGTAAGCAGTGTAAAGGCAGACCGGAAGTGCAACCAAAATAGTGATCGTCGAATACCTGACGATATTAATTTTTATACACGGGAACTGAAGGTCCCCGGCCTTCTGCCTGTATGTTAGCAGACTTCTCCAATTTACCAGGTCGACATTTAAATATCGGACCGTCACCATTCTTCGTTGTGCTTGTTTTCTGTTCTTATGTCAATTTAATTTCCGGCCCTCACTAGGCTGAGATACATGAAACGGTGATGGCTAACGTGCGCGCGGGTTCACCATGATCATTGGGAAGCTACAGGTAGTGCGGTACTTACCGGTACTGTGTACAATACAGCTGTAACACACGCAGCTGCTGTAAATTACAGTAAGTACTTAATTATTGCAAAACTAAGGGTGGATAGAATACTGAAAACCGAATACTTACAATGAAAAGTCCTGGAGCAAGATCAATAAGAAAGCAAGGTCAGAGAAAGGTCACCATGCTGCGCGTCATAGTTTGCGCCGGGTTCTATATGAATTGGAAACCAATTAGGGAGTCGCTGCTTCAACACACCAGTTCCTGCTGTGGCTAACTCAAGCGCAAAAATGATTAACACAATGAAGCAATTAATAACGCAGGAGTTACAAGGAATGTCGCACACCGCAAGAAGTTTCTGCGCCATTTATCTGTAATAAAATACCGGGGACCAAAAGAGTTGGCTTTGGGCCACACCAATTGCCATTCCGGCAGGAGTATCCTGTACGCGTACGGGAAGGAATCCCGGTCGTGGGAGTGAAGAAAAAGCCGTTGTGTAAATTGCTGGCGAGAAAGTCGACGACGCACAATGGTTGCAAAAGCCTTTCTATACGGGCATCAGCGTAGGCATATTTACCAGTACGTAGCTGCATATCAATGGAATTATGCGGGAAGATGCAGGTGGACATGCATCATTGGCAACAGGCTACGGCATTAGCGCCGGAAATGCTACAAATCCCGGTTCTCGAAGGAGGCGATTCCATATACTCTGCAGATAATATATTACAGTAATAAAGTGTCAAGTATTTAATTTCCAGCTTATTAAGCACGAGTAAATGGACCAGCTTTGATTCCTTTTGCCCCAGCGAATCCGCAAGTTGCTCACTTGTTCTTCCGAAGACCAAAATAATATGCTCGGAACAATAAACGATATGACTACATCGACGAGAATCAATGTTCTTACGGTCAACCGGTGGTTTCTCTTATATACACGGAGGAGGGCGCACCTGAAAGTTATACTTATTCACAACAAAATCTATTTCTCTCAGTTACATGAACTTAAAATTACTTGCGCACATCAGCGTCTGCCTGCAATGCAAGTTATTATAAAACTTATTTATAATTGTGGTTTCCAACATTTTCGGAAAGACCGTATTTTGCCAGTAATTTAGAGCTATCTAACAATGTAAATTATCAAACTAGAATTATTTTCCTGATTCACACAGCAAATATGCAATGCCTTAGACTGGGTCCTAATAATCGAATGCAAGGCTAGGCTGGCTATCTTATACTCTTGAAAATTTGCAGCTGTTGCGTTAAGTACGAGTTTCAGTTCAGTTTTAGTGCCGGTGATTATGAGTTAGTTTATTTTAGCGTTTTCAGCACAAGCAATCGCTGCCCATCGAAAACTACAGACAGCTCAATACTGAAAAATAGAAATTAATAAAATAGTAGAAACATATGACGCAAAGAGCGTATAGAGGCTGTATCTGGTAGGAACGGTTGGTAAAATGGTGATAAATGACTGTAAATATACGGTAAATGACTGGTAAAATGTTCTAATGTTTTACAACAGTTCTTGAGGCAACGTGCAACTGCTCCCTGATTCACGGAGGTTCCGGTTGCACAAGATAATAAAATTTACCTAAATTTGCTTTGTATTCCGGTATCACGGGAACGTATATCTATAGAAGTACAGACATAGTATTGACTGATGACTGTTGTGTCGCGATGAAAATTTAATAAAGAAGATTAATATATTCCACTGGAATATATATACTTATACATACTCGAACATCTGTAAATATGTGCCTATATTGTCCGGTATCACTGGAACTTAAGGCTTGTAAATAAGGGCTTACAATTCTTACTTACATGATAAATTACTGTATTATTATGTAGTAATTGTATCGCCGGTTAGGAAATGCGATGTTTTTTTTATTTTGAGAGAATTTGCACATCGATGATTCGTTGATACCTAAGGATGCCAGCCGGAGGAGGCAGGCAGCACCGCGGAGAGAAGCAACTGTCGGTCCACCACCGTCTAGAGGACTCTCCAGTACACTAACGGAACTCAAAATCAGCCGGGCGAGTCGGAATCAGAGTGCATATTCAAGAGCAAGGTGTGCCCGGGGGACTTTGCAGTCATATTCACGCTTGTTGCGCAGCCATATTGCACCGGCCCACTTACACAAATACACATACAATCGCGTTCGCATTGATTTTGACGATAGATATACGGCCGAATATCGATTGGCAGCCCATATCTGTACAGCACTCACAATCTCACATACCTCCGTATCTCGGCATACCTACGCGACTGCACTATATCGACTATACGAGCACCGTAATGCTGATTATTATTATTGATGTTTAATGGCATCGTGTTAGTAGCCGCTTGACTACTGCCGGTGTACATGTACTGTACAATACCAACCGGAATTTAATGCATGTCCCAAGCCGGTCTCGTACAGCACCTACGCTGGAGGCTTGGACGGTGTCGGCTCGGCTGTACATTCTCACGCATGCGATACTAGTAATAACAATGTCATAGCGCAGTACTAGTACGTACTACTTTAAAGTTGAATATTTAACCACGAAGAGGTGGTACTGTATATTAAGCCATAAGCAACACGTAAGTACTACATAGCATTTGCCGAATGTTAAAATTGTAATGGCATTGCGTCTGCTCGTATATACGTGTACGGTACATAAATATGTACACGTAGTGGATACATAGAGTAGCTACAGCACGTTGGTTAAGCTTAACTGCGTAATTGCGCCAAATATAGGTAAGCAGTACTGGCAGCACATGTTTGACTGCTCCGCCACTTCAACTCACGTTATGTTAGGTATCCGATGCGGTCCGATCCGAATCGCATCTGGACAACAACAGCAGCATTGCACAATTTATCACAAGTACTTACACGAATGCCAGCATGTGCAGCACTGCACGCCACCATATCTGCAGCGACATTTTGAATCTGTAACAACTATTCGGCTGTTTTCACGTAAGATTCCGGTGGCAGATTGACGATAACGGAGGCGCACTGACATTTTTTAACTAACTGTCATTGGCCTGATTACTTCCGCTCGGCACTTGTGCTCTTATTTACCACTGCGCTTCCGTGGTGACAGGATATACGCCGTCTAAATCTGCCCTCATCCAGGCTTTTTTTATTATTTTGCACCAAAACTGGATTAAGAGAACGTGTATAGCCATCCCGTGCACTTCAAGGTATGTCCCTGCAATTTCCTTCGTTTATTTAACTGAGGAATACGCGTTTTCTATCGGGCATCTCAGAACAGACATTAATTTTAACACCACTAGCTGGGCTTGATGGGCTCGTGTATGTAGGGCGTATACTATATAGGTGCTTGGGGTAATTGGCTGCGGTAGTATAATACATCGTTGTATACTGCAGCGGGCGTCAATTATTTTATTTTCTGCTGTTGTTGATGTGATAAATCAAAATGATATCTGCACAAATAGTCGTAGTATCAAACGCACGATTTCCGTCGGCTGCGTTGATATTGGCCACCGCCCAGTGATGCAGCAGGCCAACGCCTTCCTGTGGCGGCTGGTGTAGCGGCCAGGGTTGGCCAGAGTGACTCACGTGCATTTGAAGGTGGGCAGTGTGCACATCAGTTCACCCGGTTTACCGCGATAGGATTGCGATGGGAAAACCTATCAGTATTAACCTGATGTTCTGCAATGTCCGACTCGGACACTTCCCGCTGCGCCACAGCAACAGTGAGTCAGACTAGCGACAAGGTTTAATTTACCGCTGACGAGCAAAGTGCTGGCTGGTTAGAGCCGGCGTGATGTGTATTACGTCGGCGACCACAGCATCCGTACCTGGAGTGGACTACATAAGTTGCGGTTGGCGTTGCGTGTGTGAAACCATCATTATTCTGTTCTGCCGAGTCGGCAGTTTGAGTCAGCTCAGCCGGGCGCGTTATTGCACTGAAGGCGCCGCAGTAATCGCTGCATTCCGCTCTTGCAGTCAGTAATCAATCTTCCGGCGTTTTACGACCCGATATAGAAGCATCGCGTAATATACAGTACGACAGGGACAAGAAACGACCGGCTGCGTTGTTGCGCTCACTCTCACGACCCACATCGTCTTCCATTGTTCTGCTCGAGTTACTCAGGCGACGTGCTAACTCACTACTCCGCGAACAGCTGCATGGCGGCAGTTGGCTAGAATATGAAATACTCGTGATATCTGAGAAGTTTGACTGGACAATGTCCACCGGGCTGCCAGCAAAGGTCACGCTGCCGCTAGCTTCTCGGGTCTCTAACGACGGCCGGAAATTTGTACTGTATGTGTAGCGAAGGAAAGCAGTTAGGCTTTCGGCAGACCATTAAAAAGCCGGGACATTAACTAATGGCAAACTGTCGCCTCGGACGAACTGTTATGCTTGGCAGATTGACACTGCGTAGGAAAACAGATTATCCTGGCAAAACACTAATCAAGCACAGTCCGCGTTCAGCAGTGGAAGCGGTTAGCGGGCGGACCGAAATTAAACAGGCAGTGCCAGCTGAATGAAGTCTTCACGTGGCGCCCCGTTATAATGCGCTAATCGCTTGAGTGATTTTCTTCCAGCTCCTTTAGGCTCGACGAGCGTTTCCAGCGGGCTGAGGGTATGTCTGGATCGGTACTGGATCCATACTCCATGCAATTCCTAATTCGAAGCGATGCAGCGTAGCAGAGCATTTTGTTATGGAAGCACCGGAAACACGGACTGGAGTGACCATTCCGTAGTTGCGTTGAAAATGAAGAAACAAGGCTTCGCGGCGGGACTGCCGGCAGTGTGGCGTAACCGGAAGCTGCAGAGTTTTCAAGCGGAATAGTTGGGTCTGTGATGACTGATGCGCTTTTGCTCCCTGTCAGCTCCCTCCCGGCAAACTGGCATCTGCATTCTGCCTGGTGCTTGCCGGGCCAACTCCCCGGCGCTGATGATGATGATGATTTTATCTGCGGCTTCTGTAAACACTGTCGGTTGCAGTGCGCCGCCTGCCAGTTGAGTTGCCGCTGCAATATTAATGCCGGCCAAAAATAGACCGTCGTCCGTCGTTGCTGGCTGCTGCAGCGCCAGCGCTGACGTAACCGCACAACACCAGTTTAATGCGGCAGTCCGCGTATTTTTAGACAACAAGCCCGCGTTGTGCCCGTGTTGTCGTGGTCATGCCGGGTTTACGCGGCACTAACGTTGGCCTGTGTACTTGTTTATGTGGCACCGGCAATCAGTCGGAAGCTGCGGAGATTGATCGTTTGAAAGCAAACCAACGCATTTTTGTCTAGCTGGCATAATGTAATTACAGTGCTTACAGAAAAATTAATCTGCGCACAAGAACTTAATTGGTCAGCTCACGGTCACTAGCTGATATATCTCTGTGTGAACTATGTACATTTGCAACTCTTGCAATTAACCCCGACTCGTCTGCGAGTATGCTGTTGTTTTAAAACGTTTCCACGGTTCTTTCATGCTCGGCGCAAGATTGCCGGCAGAATTTGTGAATTCTGGGACAAAATTCGGAGTGAAATTTAATGAAAGGTTATGTTAGGCTTCGGCCACAAATAACTATAGATATAAGTGCTGGCACCAACTGCCGGAATATAATCCCCAGTCTTTAAGAGCAGTTCAGTGCTGAATGGCAAATGAGTGTAGTGATTCGAAGTTACTAGTTGCACATCCGGGATTGGCGCTGTTTCACGTTGATTCAGTTGATTCAGTCGCGGCGGATGTACGTTCTCACGGTACACTGTGCGTGGGACGCTGCGCACAGCGTGCAGTATGAAGGTAGTACGCAGAAGAAAAACATTAGGCAGGGTCGGTGCTGATCGACTGCAGAAGGATGCGAATTCTCGGCCGCTATAGCTCGAGCACTCCGCTGCTCTTTGGGTGGCACGGGCATTCGGGCATGTAGCGCTAGCGTTATGTGTGTCGTAATGGCTGCAGCTGTTGACTGTTGTGGCGCTGCTGATGCCGGTTCCAGTGCTTTTGCCGTTGCCGATGCGGAATACGCGAGGCAGTGCAGTGTGTTGACAAGCCTGGCAGTGTTTTTCTTAACAACTGCGCCTTTATCCGTGTTCCGAGCGAGCAGCGCCTAACTTGGATGTGATGTAGGAAGCGCGAGACCTAGATTAGACGGATAGATAGATACATTGCTCACGAGAAGGACACATATTCTGCCAGCTATTAGATAAGACGTGTGGCCTCTCTTTTGCAGTTGTGACGAACTCCTCCGACATGTCCTGGATCGGCTGACCATGTCGGGACCCCGCCACCGCCGGCCTTTCCCTGACGACCAATAAACGACACGCGCTTCCCTGCTGTCTGCGCGGCCAGTATTCATCCTCTTCCTGCCGTTTGATTCCACTGAATTCTCCGGCGGACGTCTGCGTGTAGTGGAGACCAAGAACTGAATAATCGCCGCAACACTGAGACGATCCTCGTGCCATCGTCATCCATCGCAGCTAGAAGATGGCGGGCACACAACGCATCATGCAGTTGACGGTGAAGATGCGCCGACCCAACGACTCCGTCAAGTGGGGCTTCCGCATTTCCGGCGGCGTCGACTACAGCGAGCAGCTCAAAATCACCAAAATTGTAAGTCGCTCTCGCGGCACATATTTTATGTATAGACAGTAATCAAATGTTTGTATATGCCCAGCTGCTGCAATGTAATTATTATAACATATCCAACTGCCCGGTACACTGCATCGAGCGTACTTGTTCCCATCTCGCAGAAAGCGGCGCCAAGTAGAACAAAGAGCTTGGTTCGTGCTGAAAATAATACTCATAATTCGGTATTGTTCAATCCGTGCACGGGCGAGCATATAACACAGTTTTGCGAAAACCCCAATAGCCGATAAACTAACATAGACTGCTTATCCAAATTAAATAGGTTTTTAGTTTTTACTGTATCTGGCTACTACAGATATAACGCTACAGATATAACGCTAAATCCACGGCTGGCACACGCCGCCACACTCTCCCATTCTTCCATACAATTTACGTAGAAACAAAACTTTTCATGTTGCGCTCGTAGTTGCACGTACTGTATCTGTACATACGTAAGTAAGTGATTATTGATGCTGTTTGGTAGTTGCGGCGGAAGTATATTTGTCTAAATTGACGCAACGTCAAGTAAGATTTAGCGCTGCGCAAAGATTATTTTGTGTGACATCTCTCATTTCCGATGCCTACCCGTAGAGTAACAGTTAACTGCCAGTGCCGGCATCGGTCGCAGACGCAGCAGCGAGGCTGAGCAGACCAGCCTGCTAATTACTGAATAAATCATGCTAGCGGACTATTACGTATTACATAATGAAGCGCCACGTACGTAAGCGGCTTTCTTCCAATTAGTACTGTAACTCTGTACGTGATCAGTGCGAGAGAGGAAGCGTTCGTGGACGTCATGTTAGCATGCAATAAGCGATCGCCCGGCGCCGGTCCGTCAAGCGGCGGGATGAGCAGTGTGCAATCCGCACGTGGACCGCAGATTTTTACCGCCGGCAGGAAACAGGTCCCTGGCGGAAGCCAGAGCGGCATCGTAGTCGTACACGAACGCCGACTAGCGGTTGCCCGTTGCTTTACATGTATTTATCGCCTTAAATGCAATACGCGAAACACGAATGTGCTACTTGTACCATATCCCATAGTTTAATATGAAGAATCTGACACAGGTTGGCAAACGTATGCGCTAATTGTGGCTGTGACAAGACCAGTCATCGGCGGTCTGTTGGAGTTAAGGTCAACGAGAACTTGGGAGGCGATATCGCGCAGTTAGGGTAAAGAAGAGGGGAGCAATGCAAACGTTGCGGCGTATTAAACTTAGTGCCAGAAAAAAGCGAATCATAAAAGTGTATAATACCTCTTCTGACAGCACATACAGATAGATAATTATTAGTTAGGGTGTGGCACACTGTACAGCTGTCTGTGCGTCCACGCGGCAGAACGTAATAATGGCAACAGTGTTGAGCAACACGTACAGTAAGTATCTTGTTTGTCATATGAGAGAATGCTATGCAGTGACTAAGTTGGTGGCATTTGCAGACCCCTGGAAGTCTAGCGGAACAAGTGGGACTAATGGCCGGTACGTACAGCAGTGTATACAGTGTACGTAGTTACGTGCGCCTCACGCCTGCACTACATGCGCACTGCGGCACCAGTAAAACGTAGCTGCCGCTTCCGGTCCGCTGCCGAAGTGAAAGGACAGCCGCGGACACGTGCAGTTGTCACTATATAAGACGGCGCTGAGTGAACATGAGCGCGCATGTCAAGATGTTGTTGTGGACCTGTGGTTGCATTTGCAGGTGACTTCGTGACGTACATCGGGGATCCGCCGGCGGACGCCACCATCTGGACGCACGAGCAGGCGCAACAGGCCCTGGTCCGGCAGGGCAACGAGATCATCATGACTGTCCAAAGGTCAGTGCCAACGTCTCTTCACCACTCACTTCCCTTGACTTTCCACTGTAAGCATGCGCATGAACAGTTAAGGAGGTGGTGTGAGCGATAACCATGAAGATTGTACATAATGGGCTTGGATGCATGGCACGGCCCTTTGCAATTTCCACTTCCGTCAATGCACAAAATGTTGAAAAGGGAAGACAAAAAGATTCCTGTCGATCATATCAGCGACATTTCACATGCCGGTCGGCCGACGTCGGTTTATAGCTATAGTTGGTCGTAGTCCGTGCGACTGTGCCGTGCACAGCTATAGTGCTGCCTTCCACACCAGGCCAAGAGCAAGAGGATAGGATGCGGACCACACAGCTGATGCACTTGCCATTAGTGTCCTAAAGGTCTGCGGGCAGCGGGGTGACGCCGCGCCGTAAGGGTTTTGTAATTGCGCCCGTTGTATTTGACTGCAGCAGCAAGACTGGCAGATACGGTTGCGAGTCCAGCTGTGGGAGACAGGGGGCCGCAACCGCCGGTGTAAGGTTGCACAGAAGAGATCCATGTCAGTCGACAGTCGGCACTCTATGTAGCAGTTCCTTACGCGGTACCAACAACACACATCTTAGTCGCACGATAAGTGAACTGTGGCGCTAGGGGCTCGTTCGACTGGACTCGGGCGTCCATCTGTTAAGGAATTTCGTAGAAAGGACCGGAGTAGACGACCGGCTGGGGAAACAAACGCAGTCGGAGATGGAGCGCCGTTTATACTCCACTCGGTATATCGCTGACTCTTAGTCCCGTTCAACAGACATACATGTCTGAGGTAGCTGCCGCCGTGCCCCTGCCCTCCTTCGCCCGGGTCCCGGACATGCAGCCATCCGTAGTAGTTAAAAAAGGCTCGACAGGAGAACGAGATGCACTGCCTTGGAGACTCATGGAGAGCCACAGCCGACGGACGAAGCTCGATCCGCTCCGCGCAAGCTCGTAGAAGGCGCTCGCAGCTGTTGCGCTATCCGTTATGTCACATGTGCATGCCGGTACACAAGCTCTTGAGCAGAGTTTTCCAGTATGTCTCGTTGTGACGTGCAGTAGCACGAGTACTAGTTCTACCGAGGGTGTCCGGCAGGCCGGGAGATTACGGACTGTATTTATACGCCGCTATTCAGAACACGCGCAAGCCCGTTCTCATGGTTGTAGCCGTGGGAATGATGAACCGAAATGAATGACTAATCACTACGAGCACGAGGCAGTACAAATACAGCTGCCGTCTGCAGTGTGCACTGGCTCAGACTGGCTGCAGCAGAAAATCATGACGATCCGCAGCAGGCAGATTGTACAGAAACTGACGCCCGCGGCTCAGCCAATAAATCTGCCAGGACGCCGACTCATCCCGTCCCGTCCACTGCTCTGCCCCGCGTGTCTAGCTGGGGAATACTGCAAAGTTAACATTAGTACGTACGCTGTTGGTATATATTGGGCCCGTTGGCCTATTGGGTGCGCGTTGACGACGGGCTGAGAAATGCAGCGGGGAAGCGGATTTATCGCAGTATTAAACTGGCGGTTGATTACGTACGGCTAGTGTCTTCTCGGCACTGATACGGCACTTGTATACGTTAGCTTAATTAGCCAGCTAGCGAAATAGCTGCCGTTATAATCCGACTATCAGACTGTCTGCTCGTTTATCCAAGCGTGAAATTCGCTGTCTGTGCCTGAACATAGTGCGCCAGCCACACTGAGCAGAGCATTCCCAAGTGTCTTTCCTGTAGAGAGTTAGCTAGATACCTTCGCCTTCCCTGCCCGCATCCCTCTCGTTGCCCTTTGATCTTCTGCATCCTTCCGTTGCCCTTTTGCCATTCACTGATTCGCTGCACATGTACGTATGCGATGCCCTTTCGGCACTGATTGCCAATACGATAATTATAATTAGTGATGCGGACTGTGTCCTGCGCTCATTTGACTGCTTACTGTATAATTTAAATGCTTATTATGCACAGTCAAATACATCATGTATTTGTACGTGAAGGGGAAGAGTGCCCTTTGCCGTTGTGTCTAGTGCGGAATCGGTCGACCGGCATAGGAACGTGTGAGGATGTGTACAGGTGTCATGCAGAGCCGGAAGGCGATAGCTTCTCCTGATCATGTCCCATGCGTCGCATTCGTCTCGTACAATCATTCTCTCGTAGCAAATTAAGTCTTCTGCGGCAATGTTCCCGTTTAGGCAGATTGGCTACTGACTGCTAGTGCTGCATGCGCAGTCGTCCGTTCCGGAAGTAAGAAGTGCATGCAACGCCGCCCAGCAATGCAGGTCGATCAGCTGTGCGCCCGGAAGTACACCGCCTTACTGCTGGCCCGCCAACTGCCAACAAGGGCATATATCGTGGACATACGATCAGCATGATATAGACGGCCCATTTTGCCAATACCGTCCTTGCTTTCTGAGCAGCGATACTTCTCTGGAATGGCACTAGCGTGATTTCGTCCATAACGTTCAGTTACTGCTTTCGGGCGAACGGAAAGAGGCCGGTCCCAGGGCCCAGGCTATGCATGGCGCATTCGCGTGACGCGTCCACTTTGCGCAGGCGTGCAATCGGCAAACAGCTCGTTAAGCCTCGTTTCCGCCGGCACTCCCGTCTGTTCTGCCGTGCGCATCCATTCAGCACTTTGACAAATAGCCCATTTGTCTCGCTTCCGGCCGCCGCTGGACCGGCGCTGGATGACAAGGGGCGGGGACGTCTGGACGAGTGGCACTTCATTCGGCCTCTTCTCTCCAAACCTCGTCCCGGGAGCGGGATAGAGGCGCAGAAGAGTTTTGGTTCAGTGCTGGACGCCTTCGGGCATTTTAATTTTCCTTGCTCACTCCTGGAGCTGTCGAAACCGAAGCGCCGTAATATATTACAGTATTGCCGGCCGTTTTGCTCCCCTTCCTACTGAGTAGTAATGTGACGTGTGGCTAGTTATAGTGGCATATATATTGTACCTGCTGCACAAATTTCGTGCATGTATAGATAGTGTTATACACGTACAGCGAATAGCCAACACAGTGAACATTAAGCTGAGCGCGGTGTCTGTGCGTGAACAGAGGCGGCGACTACGCTATCCGCTCCCCTCCGCCCATCAGCTCCTCCGGCGCCGGCGGAGTGCAGACCATTAAAAGCCAAAGCCCCGTGCCTGCGCCCGCCCCCGCTCCCGGCCCCGGGCTAGGAGTAGGCCCCGCCCCCCTCCAGAACTACAACCAAACGCCGCCCTCCTTCGTAGGCAGCAACGCCAACAACTACCCTTCGTCCGCCAACAGCAACATGAACAACATGAGCATGGCGCGCCCGCCCCAGGAGATCATGCGCCTCACCGTCAAGATGCGCGCCGGCCAGGGCATGGCCATCGACTGGGGCTTCCGCACCGCCGGCGGCGACGGCGGTCCGCTCAGGATCATCTCTGTCCGGCCCGAGTCCATGGCGGAGGATGTCGGCCTGCAGGTCAGTCCCATTCAGCTCAAATTAAAACTAGCGATACCTTTATTCCATTTATTAAATTTCTTCAAATACAGTATCGGTATCTATAGAAGTACTTATATGGTTATATATACTGGCACTGCTGTATGTGCTGCTGGTAAGACAGTCTAAAAAACCACAACTACCAAATTTAATTCTGCCGGATGGTTTAATTTATATTTTACCGGCATGGCGTGCTGTGCTGTGTTAACGCGAGCGCGGCAGTGGTTTAAGCAAACCTCGGCGTGTCGCCAAACTGCCTCCATTACTGACGTCAAAAGCGATACAAATTGTATACAGCGCTCATAAATAACGCTCGCGCCGCTTATATGCAGTCGCCCGTCCAGTCTCCTGCGTCTGGGCTATGTATCAGAGGAAGAGGCAGATTACGCGCCGCTTACGCTGTGAATGTCTAAAATTGGAGTTGGTTTGTTTGTTGGCGACCGAAGACGGCTGCACAAACTGCTCCAACTGTAGCGACTTCCGGTGGCAGTTGCGCTGGCAGTGACGGCGTGACTATCAGCGCGTGTCTGTCAACAGCGCCCCCGCCAAGGCGTCAGCTATGGTGCAATATACATAGTCCTGGCTTGCCATTTAAAAAGGCAATAAAAATAAGAAAAACCAACAATTTAATTGAATCACCAGCAGTTTATAATCATTTAACTAATTACCGTTTATACGCCAAATTGTGTAGGCCGGCGACATGATCTACAGCGTGGGTGACCCGGCGACGAGCATCTACAACCTGCCGTACCACCAGGCCGTGCAGGCCGTCTCCAACCAGGGCAACAACCTCATCATGACGGTGCAGCGCGGCGGCGACGCCATCATCGAGAGCAGCGGCTTCCAGAAGGCCGCCAACCAGCCGAGCCAGAGCCCGGGGGCGGGCGCCGCGGGGGGCGGCGGCCAGCCCTCGGTCATCAAGCGGACGGTGCGCATGGAGCGGCCCAACCAGAACACGCCCTGGGGCTTCCAGGTCTTCGGGGGGCGGGACTTTGGCCAGTCGCTGGTCATTTCCAAGGTCACGCCGGGCTCCATGGCGCAACAGGTCAGTGGGTGTCCGGCGCTGTTGCTGGCTGTCAGAACAAGCTAGGGTTACACTGTAGCGACCCAAAGGTCACTCATACCTGCGTCTTCATTGCCGACAGGTGGGCCTGGACGAGGGCGACCAGCTGTGCTTCATCGGCGAGAATCCCCGGCAGAACGTCAGCGGCTGGACGCACCAGCAGGCGCAGCAGGCGCTGATCAACCAGGGCAACAAGCTGGTCATGACCGTCGAGAAGAAGACCAACCAGAACTGGTGAACCGGTGACCCGACGGCCGCCACCTTCCACACCGCCGCATTTCGTTTAACTGACACACACAGACGTTAATTATTATTATCCTTCGACTATCCACATTATGCTAACCAGAAAAGCCAGACGGCGTTGCAGTCCATCTTATTCGCAAGCTATAATCACGCTGACCGGCGTCCTTGATCAACAACCGGCATGCATCCGCTCCCGCGTGGACACTGCCGTCGCTATAATTCTTCGTGCCTCCGCCTACTTTCTGACTCTGCTCTGCTCCGTGTATAATTCAGCCTTTTCTGCTAAAATAGACGCCTCTTGCTATATTTATTGCCTTCCCGCGACGACTCCGCGTCGTTCTTAGTTATTTATAGAAGCATCCGTCATTAATGTGCAGCTTATGCGTTATGTGTTTTTTTACACGGTGCTGTCTTTATGCGTAATTATCTGTAGTTGGCTACAGTAATGTTCTAGAATCTTCCGGCGGCGGAATAGCGCAACTACAGTCGTGTCGGTATTGGGAAGAATTGCTCTTATTCTTGCTTGTTAGTTGTTAAGCATTATTGCATTTTACTGCTGCTAAATGGACAGATATTTTGTACGCGACATTAGTATTATTAAAATTAATTTCGTCATGGATACAATAATTATTCAAAGCAGTTTCGCAGCCGTACTCGTCGTATCAATGTGTACACACTACACAGTACTACAAGTACATTATATAGATATTACATACGCTGTACGAACAGGGAGTACCGTCCAGGTACTCAAAGCGTTTTAATTTACCCAAATTAACTCGACTGGCAGCACTTGCTCTGTACAAGAATCGTAGCACTGCAGAAAATCCACCCGCTGATGAAGAATCAGCCGCAACTCCAAATAAGCACCATGCAAAGACAAACATCTAAAACAGTCATTTTCAGCGGCCGCGAATCATTGCCGGCCGCTCGCTTCGATCAACAGCTACAGTAAGAAAGCCCGGATTGTAATAAGGTCAACAGGTGTCGAGCACGTTCACTCCAACACCAACGCGACAGTAACAATAAACAACAACAAAGCAGTCATCGATGCAAAGGTCATCAAAGCCGGGTGTTCTCGCCGGCGCCCGCGTCCTCCTCCTCGGTGCCTTCCTGGACGTTGATGTCCCAGGTCACCACGGGATCCACATAGCCCCGCCCATCGCGCGTTACCCGCAGCTCCTGCAGCGGCACACCGCCGTCCGCCGAGGTCGACAGCGAGCGCGTCACCGGCATTTTCCCGGACGGCGATTGCAGGACCTTCTCCGACTGGATGCGGCTGAGCGTTCCGGCGGTCTCCGCCGCGAGGGAGGCTCCGGTGAAGGGCAGATTGGAGATGCGGTTGATCTCCTCGACGCTGCCCACCATGTAGGGCGCACTGTCCGTGCTGGCCTGACGCCGGTAGAGTGAGGTGCGGGGCGGTGGGTGCTGCGGGTCGGAGGTCCAGTTGACGGCCGAGAGGGAGTGCTGCTGCGCCAAGGGCAGGTCCTGGAACGGCCGGATCTGGATGGCGGCGGCCGGGGCGCTCTCCGACTTGTGGAGGTGGACGTTGGCGGACGCCGGACGCAGGCGGTGGTCGTGGCACAGGCTGTAAGGCTGCGGGAGGGGTGCCGGCATTCGCGTGGTGTAGCGCCAGCTGGAATGCACCTCCGTCAGCAGCTGCGGGAAGAAGTAGTCGACGATGAGGGTGCCCAGGCCGAAGACGACGCACAGGAGACCTGCAATAGACCTGCGAGTAAAGTGCCGCTTGGCAGTGACAGTGCAGCGTCAGTGGCGGCTCTTGAGAGGAGCGTTTGTCGAGTGACCTCTAGATATACTTGAGTGCCGTTAAATTCTCGGTCGCAGCTGACTTACCGGCGCTGAGGACCATCCAGAAGCACCAGCCGTACTGGAAGCGCAGCAGGCCCTGCTCGAAGCGCACGGTGAGCCCGGGCGCCGGAAGGAGGTTGGAGTAGAGCGTGTTGCAGGCCAGCAGGAGGCCGCCGGTCAGCAGCATGAAGTAGCCGCTGTAGCGCGGCACCAGGCAGAACAGCGCGTTCATCAGCGCCCACGACGCCAAGGCCGACCTGCAAGCGTGCACAGTTATACTGCCGTTTAAACGGCTGGATACTTTACTTCTCATCATGATGTAACCAGGTTCTTAAGCCGACACTTGCGTTCAGTCCAACTGCCATGCAGCCACGGTGCTGCCAAGTGGCGACGCATGCCAGCAGTACTGTCATGATCAGCCGCAGTTGACACTTGACACTGCAGTAGCTCCAGTAGCGATTAATGATTCCGCTGCCGGTGCTGATCAGAACTCACTGCAGCCCAGTTATCAACAGTAATATTAACACTGCACCCACCAGAGCACGATGCCCGCGTAGTAGCCGGCCAGCCGGTAACTGCGGCCCCAGGCGAAACTCCCGGCGTCCATCGACAGCACTTCCGCCACCGTCAGGATCGGGTAGGGCAGGCCGCGCTCCAGCGACTCCTGGTACTGCTTCCGCACCTCCTCCACTGCAACATGGAGCACAGCGTTTACATACTTGCCTACGTGCGTCGTGTACTACACTTTATAAAATATGCTCAAGATTTCTTAATTTAGTGCTTCGCGATCGTAGTACGCAGTACTATGTTCGAACGATCCGGCATTATTACAGACATAAACAAATCATCATGGAGGTCAGTTTAATTACGCATCGAAATAAAGATTGGACAGCTAATTACATTACTACTCAGTAGTATATCCGCATTGGCCATTAACTAGCTCTAACCTTCGTGCCAGGAGTAGCGCTCGTTAAACTGGAGATCACTGGCGGAGGAGTAGTCGCTGCCGGCAGCGCTCTCGTAACTCCGATTGCCCTCCGTTACTGCAATGCATTAATTGTAATTAACCGGCATTATGCAACTGCTAACTAGCAGCGTATGCAATCGCGGTAGGACTTTATTCGTGAGATAAAAATGTTGAAATAACGAGAATTATAATAATATTGTAAAGTGTTATTACGAATATAGTGTATGTACTGCAGTGTCCACGTACTCTGCAGGGTAACGTTAAAGAACTCCAGGCCGATCTGGACGCCGATGATGCCGGGGAGCTTTTGTGGCGTAGTGCGCTTGTAAGAAGCCAGAATGCTGGAAGAGGCCACGTGCCAGTTGGGCGAGAACCGGCAGATGATGATGCTGGCCAGGACGAACATGCTGGCCGTCAACAGGACCAGCGTCGGTACCTTCTGCAAAGTACGCAACCCGGCTCAGGTTTATCGACCGCCTTCCGACAGCCAACTACGTGTTATTACTGCTTCTTTAACTACTCTACTCACTATGTAATTAATATTCGGTTCCGGGGAAATTTAATCGCTCGATTCGACGTACAATTTTTTTCAAGAAAAACCATTCTATATACAGAATAACTATACAGTATACAGTATACATGTCACTTGTTTTTTAGCACAAGTTTGAAGTGGATTCAAACTGTTAGTTTCTTGTCTAATTTAGCGCTTGCTGATCAGTACACTAAGCAGCAAAAATTATAAAATTAATCAGTACTTTATATCATGGCTGCATTATACAGATACGAAGCGGAAACTGTTATATTATGTGGAATTATTACCTATATACAGTAGTACAGAAATACATATATCAATGACGGTGCAGCTGTTTACGTCAGAAGAAATAAATGGCTGAGAAATGTATCGCCGGCTAATTGCAGGCCGGTTAATTACCGACATAATCAGTAAGACTAAGCAGTAAGCATACAACTACATACATATAAGCAGCGATGCATGTATAATGCGGCGGTAATTGGTCTTACATAAGGTAAGCCCATTACTCAGCTCCAATGCCAGCATACACTTGAGGCGCAAAAGCACCAACGCAGCAGCTGCTACTGCACATACACTGTACAGTACACGATCCGGCATTCCAGCCACTGCCACCTTTCGGCACTATTAGCTCCTAATGACTGCACCAATTTGGAGAAAACAATGTCATACCCACTTTATGATTGAAAACGGATCGGCGAATCCGTGACATATTTGATTATTATGCAACAATAACGTACCTTGTTAATTAAAGTCGCGAAATCGACAATAAAATTTATTAAGGTAAATGCAGGGTTGTGCCACTTGTGTAACCATAAGCGTAATAACGACTTACATTGCGGCGAATTCCGGGGATAATGAGGAGGAAGGCGAGGAAGAGCGCGGCGAAGGTGGCGTACAGGCCGATGAGGATGTTGTCGTGGGTGGCGGCGATGCGCTGGGAGGCGTACAGGGTTGGCCCGCCCCCCTCCCGAAAGGCGTCAAACCAGCCGCGCATCCTGCAACGCACAAAGATAATTATTATAAGGTGTTACAGTGACATCGGTTTGGTTAAGAAGTACTCTTGCTTGCCCAGCCGGAAGTTAAATTGCCTTCACTACGACACACTCTACCGCTCATGAATCATGATCAGCGCGTCAATTAACGAATCAGGACGTACACGACGGAGTTGTCCAGGATGAACTAGGAGGCCGTTAACGTATATGTCTGTATGCCGAAAGGATGCACTGGCTAACTGACCTCAAGCTGACCACAAAATTAATTATAACCACAACCTGCTGTTGATGGATAAATAGATACACATATATAATTATAAGCTAACGCTAATAAAGATGAACGAATTCAAGTCACCGGAAGTGGCGCGTATGTGAACGTGGGAAGGCAGATGACGGAAAGAGAACAGCGACGCCCGCACTGACCTAGTGCCAATGCCAACGCCAACGCCACTGCACTAAGGCTAGTGTATCGCGACTGCCGACTGGGACGACACAATCCCGCTCACGCAACTGCCAACAAATGCCCGGCCACCGCGCGTTAACGCTAACGCTGCACTTGCTACCTGTTCATATCCTGCAGCCAGCGTGTTGACGATGACTGGTTGGTCTGTCATGTTAAGTTATCAGGTATAAACAGCGCGTGTATAATACACATCCGCAAATGTTTATGCTGATTAGCCACAAACACCTCCGCAGATCCCTTAAACCGCTGAACATCGCTTTCCGGCAGGCAGCGGCTAATCGCCGCAGTTGGTCAGCGCGGTGCGGACGCAGCGTTTTGCGGCACACTACCGTGCTGTGTACACTGTGCAGTGTATACTGTGTACAGAAGAAAAGAATATAATTCCAATGGTGTATGCGCGTGAAAAGAGACGCTGGTCTGGCTGCTGCGCTCGGCAGGAAATGAACAGATGCAGCCGCCACGCAACAAGTAGACCAGCGCTAACGCTGCTGCTGCCTAATCAGGATCAGATCAGCAGCTAACGCGGGCTCTTACGTTGCTTACATATTTATCAGCTATTATTTACATGCAAATTAATCCGCGTCATTGCAACACCAACATTCAACACCGACAACCGCCGCTTGCCACATGCCACGCCAGCATTAACACTACTAGTAATACTAGCCACGCCGCTTCGCTGCCGGCTTCCGGTGCGGCCCGTGTACATTCCCTCTCGCACTGCGCCAAACCCTCTTTAATTATACACAACCCCTTTAGTTTTCAAGCCGCTTCCTGACCGGCTGCGCCTCCTCACTTTTCACTTCTGTTGGCCGGCTACACTTTTCACAAAATTTAAAGATTCCGATACGATGAAAGGTCATCGTCGCCGAACTTGGCAAAGGCACTCGCCAAATGAAAGCCTGGGTGTTCTTTACAGGTGTTTGAGGGTCATTCAGTGAACCGGTGCGTGAGTGCCGTTATGCAATCCCGGCATGCATGCAGCACACAGCGAGCGCTTCTTCGCGGTCGACTGTCGATGCACCGTTGATTCTTAGTAGGGAGCACGACCACCTACTTCGACCCCGTCTCGTTTTATTTTAAGCCTCCACGTCAGTTTTGCTCCTGGCTACGTTCCCGGGCTTTTGAAAGGTCATGCCCCATTCCATCTGACCGCTATTTTTCTTTGCCGCCAGCTAGAAGCCAGCGGTCGGCATTTCGTGGCAAATCTTTACGGGATTCACAAGTTGTTAGGTTTTTATGCTGAATTCTTGAGCACCGCTGGTTTAATAACAGGCTGACGCAAGAAAGTAAGCTAACAATCACTTATTCTCGCACGCACGGTACTCCGTCTCAAAGCAACGCAGGCAGGGATGTTGTTTTCGCTGTGCGAGCGGAAGAGTGTTATTGTGTGCTGAGCGACCAAACATGCACATTAGCATTACTGTGTACCTGCAGTGTGGTATAATCAGCTCAGTCAACAAGTGACTGTGGCGTTGCTGTCTGTCGGTGTGGTCACGACAAACACGACTCGCTCGCGACCCCGACCCGGCGCGGAATGGCTCGCAACTATTGCATTATACAGGCGTTACGATGCGCCAGTGGTCAGCATCCGGCGCCGGACACTGGGTCATGCGTATGCGCAAATTAACTTTCGGCTCCGGGACGCTCCGAGGTACAACGTGTTGCCATTCGACACTGTACCTAAGAAAGTTACAGTACGGATACGATTAACGACATGTGTCCGTTGGTTATGCTGGGTCAACAATGGCGGAAACGCTTGATCATGACGGGCACTCGCTCTCACTCAACTACAGCTACGCTGGCCGCGACGACACGCGATCTTGTGACTTGCTCCAGCTGTTCCGCTCTCGCACACCGCCACACCGACTGCGGCGCTCTTAGTTCATTTGTTTTTATGACGCATTTCCTTCCGCAGTCAGTCGTGCATGCCGGCCGGGCCAGCGAGCCTCCGCACTATGTCCGCGCAGCCATCTCTTTCCGGCTTAAAAGTTAAGATCTCATCTGTAACGCTGATCCGCTTCGGCGCAAATACCAAATGCCACTACGTCGCCGGCAACGAATTAGCTAGCTAGTGTACACAGGGCAAATAAAATCAGCTTTAAATACTGTCAACAAATACTGCATAACTGAATCGATGCGTCTGTCATGACAATTGCAATCAGGATTCCATTCATAGCGAGAAACGATAATCGCGCTACAAGTAGACTAAGATACCCTGTGCGTTAATTTACTTATTAGCACAAATGGGTAAAGTACGGTTTTTGCCCATCACGTGAGCGATCGTGGTTTACATAGGTATGTCTAATTTCATAATTCCTTAACCTTTACTGTTAGGTATATGCAGGCATACTTCTATCGCTGTCGCGCAGTTCAAACTAAGGCGGGAAATTAAACAGCAGACAAACAAGCGGCAGTTAAGAATGTGTACTTGTAGTGTACTCGTATAATGTATGCTGCATAAATAAATCAAATGGCTGAAGGCCGAACGATTCGCATTCGGCTGCGACTCGCCACTGCCGCAGTCGACGATTAGCTCAAGTATTTCGTAAGCCGATCAGAAGAGCGCCCAAGTGCTTGCATTCTGATGTAATGTTATGTAAGCGCAGAGCGTATCATGCAGCGATACAGCTAATTAGCGAAATATCCGCTATTCATCACCGCTACTGCCACGACTGACATCTTCCTGCGTACGAGTACTACGCACAATTAATACGTAGCGTTGTTGGCCTTGCATTTCCTTCCCTACCCTACTTCCGGTCAAGAGCGGCCTGTTCCCCTCCCGTCATTGCACGAGCTCGCAGGACACACCTGCCAATATTGTTACGTACACACTGCACCGGTGGTGGTGCTCTTGTAATTAGAGCAAGTCTCACAACAGCAAATAACGTCAGATGCGTAAACGTTAATCGACGTAGCGGGAATTGGAACCCGGGCAGACGTACCTTATGGACGCTCATCGTGGCTGACCAGTGAAGTGGACCGGCGCGTCGGCACTATACGCGCATTGCATCAGCCTTCGTTCAGTAATAATTCACCAGATTAATATTATTATATCCACACAATTCCCTGGTTGCAGTTGCAAAATGCTGGTTCAGATTCAAATTAACCTAGTCAGCCCTTGGATGGGTTAAGAATACAACGAAATTAAGATGTCAAGTTGCCTGATTGATGTCAGCTAATTAAAGCAGCGGTACGATGGATGAGTTGCAGATGAATCCCAGCGAGACGCGGGACGGGGAACAACAAAAGCGTTGGATCAGAACCACTTTACGCACCAAAGTGACCACTGCCAAACACAGGCCGCTGCTAACCAAGCCGAAGTGGTAATTGTTTCCCCCGCTATCGATAGATGGATAAATTAAACGATACTTTCGGATGATCGGCATGCAGTGAATGCCGGTAGAACAAAACAACCATATAGAATAGCACTGCAGCGGCTGCCAAAGTTATTGCCGGAGATTAAGAAAGAAACGTCTGCGGCTATGATATTCTATGCCGACGCGGACACCTGCATGTACAATACAGATCTGCACTCACTGCAACATCTGTAAACATGTACAGTGCAGTATCATGAGCGGCCTGTAGGAAGCAATACGACAGCACTGGCCGGAAACGCTAGCGGTGTGCGGTACTGAATGTACTGCATTAAACGAGCGTGAGCAAGAATGGCGGATTGGATTAAAGGTTGTGTAATGGACAAGAAGAAAATTATTACCTGCCCGCTAGCCAACGTAATTCCTACTCGACTCCATCTGTATTGTACAATACACACACAAACATTACAGTACCTTATACCACAATACTTTCTCAGTGCGTCACATGCAGTTCAGGTACTGTAATTATTAGCCGGCACGTCACAGCGCCACAACAATGCTAATGTCCCACTCCGGCAACGAGTGTCAACAAGAGCGCTGCGCGTACAGCACCGTGCAACTGCAGACCAGAGAAACAATGGCCGACTCCATTAAAACAGTAGCAGGTTAAGTGTTCTGCACAGAATGATGCGCTATGCTTACTATTTAATTAGTGCGTTGACCAAAATCATCTTTCCCAAATTACCACCGTCGCAAAATACGCAATTGCTCTGCTGCGCAGCGATGGGCACTTGACCGGACCGGATGTATCCGACTAACCATAGTATTATTTATTTTTCCAGTCAGGCAATGGTGACACGAAACAGATCTGTGTTAACGTTAACAATAATGCCGCGTTGGCCAATGCAAGCCGGTAATTACGCTTACGTAAGGGTTAAGACAGAGCCGAAAACAGAACAATCCCAAAAGGCATTGAAATGTAACAACATAATTGCCGGCGCATGCATGATCACGATGCGGCGCAGATTACAATATTATATAGTCTATATCTATATGAATGCGCGCTGACGACGGATGACTCGCTGCGTTTCGCCTAACCGCAGTGATTCGGAGCCGACAAAATGCCGTCGCAGCCAGCTTGACCGTGATCATGAAACAGCGTATGATGTACAATAAGCGCCGATGCGGAGACCTTAACCGCGCCACAAAGGAACGCCAAGCGCCAACACTCACCATGAATATGATTCCCACGCTACAATGTATCACACAGTGCCGGAAGTACTCACTGACCTGTCCCTTACAATTTCCCATTGCTTGTGTGATTCAGGGATTTCATTTCCGACAACCAGGCAAAAGTTTTAATGTGCGCAAATAATTCGGCAGTTTTTAGAAAAAAAACACGTCGCTTAAACATGATATTATTGTGTCGGATATCCATATCGATATGGATATCCGACACCTTCTATATTTCACATATAGTAATACACATAATTTAAAATTACGTACATCATAAACATATAACCGGCTCGGGCGGACAACGATTAATCAGCATTTATAACTTCTTCCTCGTTTTCTGTCGCGTATTAATAACCGTGTATTAAATTATTTCGTTTTCACATGTACGAACAAGGTCGTCAATTGCACGCGATCGATAAGCGATGCCGAGATTAATGCGAATTAACGGTCTTACCTGGAAAATTAGTTAGCTTAATCCGTTGAGAAATGCTGACTCCTTGAGCCTGATACAAGCAATCCCTTTAATTGTAGGGATACAGGACTCCAGTGGCTGTAGCACAATTAGTTCAGCGGAGGCACACCGGTGTATCTGGCGAGTGGCGACACGTTCAGATGCAAGCGAGGCTACCCACAGTACCGACTCCGGCCGACGCCGGTTCCGCCCAGGAATTCCGTGCAGAAGAATATGGACCAACAAATAGACAGTGGATAACACATCCGGGAAGTACACCTCCCAAGCAGGCAGTTCGCACGTCGCAGTGATGCGAGCAAGCCAGAGAGAAGCTAAGCAGGTACTGCAGTGTTGTAATGAAATTAATTTTACGTGCACATGTATTAAGTGACCATGTCGATAATATTATATAGACGACAACCCATAAAGGCCATAATACGAGTATGATACAGATACACTGGCGTACAAGTACCGTGTATTGTATATGAACAAGCGGCCGAGGAAGGAAGTTTCACGGTGAGAATTAAATAGTCTTTTGTGAGAAAGATGGCTCACCGAGCCATGGGTGACGTTGTGCCACTAACATTATGGTTGTGGTGGGGAAAGTGAAATGACACTTGCGAGTTTGTAGATCTGGGTGGAAAAGTGAAAGTCAAGGTAACTTGGCATCACTTCTGAGTTCTGACTACTGAGTACGCTTCACAAGTACTAGGCGCATTGTTCAGAATGAGAACGTCAGCTACAGAAAGAAGTACTGCGCGTTAACGTTGCCGGACCGCAGCGTTTCTTTGCATTTCGTTCCTGCCTCGCTGGGATTAATTACAATGACGGTGTCATTCAGGTAGGCCGGCTGCGGTAGTAGGTAGTAGGTAAGTACATGCCGGGCTGCCTGCCAACTGCCTCTTGCCACTGCCAACTGACCACAAAACAATTCAATCAGCTGCAACGTATTGTACAGCTATCCGTACATTACAATAGCCCGGCCGTCTTTTGTTCCGCCAACTGCAGTTGGTAGAGTACTTGTCCGACCCGGTATACGTACATTTCAGCACTCCACGAGGCACGACTTAATAATCTCCTCCTTGGTCTATCAACATAATTGCATTTTGCAGCCGCTTCTGAAATTTGCGCAATCTACGATCAGGAAACCGGCAAAAAACGGGCCAGGCAATATCCTCGATCGCCAGTTGATCAGCATCGAAATCCAGTTGCAACGACGGGATGCAGCGTCGATCGTGCCGTCTGCCAGGGGATTGGGGACCGCGCCGATAGGAGTAAATTAATTTATATAGAATTTCTCTGTGATAATAATGAGGGATCATTGTCGATTGATGATAGTGAAAGTGATGGTTTCCGAAGTAATTGTGAAAGTTTTGGTTTTATGGTGCTGTTTATGGTATAGGTATAGTTTTAACCAAAGTATGGATACTATAACTTTCTATTTTATGTTAACTTTATACTTTTATTCTTGTCTAACTTTTATAGTGAAACGGTAATTAAAACCGGCGCGTCTTGCGGAATTTCTTGCAGTATTAGTTGTACGGGGATCATGCGTAGTAAATACTTTCTCTGGCTCGTACTGCCATGTACTTTCATTGCAATTGTACCTGCAAGTGCTGCGGAGTCAGTACGAGCTGCGTCAATGCAACTCGAAGGTACTCGGCAGTTTTGGCGGAAGTCAGCTTATTGCTCACAATTACAGAACTGATACTTATCCACACACACACTAATCTTCAATGCCGATTACGTGAGCATTTGGCATTGAACTACGCAAGCACCGTATCTTGCACCGACCGCTCATGAGAATACGTTATATTAATACAGATATTAGGAAAATAATGGCTGTAAATTAGAATAATGTCAGTAGCGACTGCGCATGCTTATACAGATTCGTGCGGGAAAATGCGTTATACGAGTTCATAACACGCTGCACCTGAATTCGATGCAATGTCATCGCATGCTCAAAATTACTTTAATGACAGCGTTGATTTGTTTTGTTGAAGCATGCCGTCGTTGAAGCATTTAATTTTGTGGCGATGATTTGATTACTTCCGTCTCAAAGAACAGTCTTTCACTTCAGTACCGCAGAGCGAGGAAACTGCATACAGAATTGTACACGTGCGGTTTCTACGCACACGTAGCGCTGTTTTGTACTTTGTACAACTACAATCCATATTAAATTTTTTATACTAATTGTGTATAAGCAGGATGCAGTTCTAGCTTCCACGGTTCCTCGCCCGCCTTCCTTCCGCGTTTTTTCAGGCATTACGAATCATTCGACCATTTCTGTTAGGTTTCTTCCAACTTCCTAAACAGCTACGTATTGTACACGAGATAATTATCCTGATCAGTTAGAGCGCAGATAAGTTTCAGCGTGAAACCTGCGGCTCTGAATCTACATCTGACCATAATTAATAACTGAGATCGCAAAAGTCCTACCCTAGTTATTCATGGCAAAATCCCAAACAAACTTTCAAAACATTTTAATTGCCAGTTTAGAGACTGAACGTGTCGAATGCTAAGTCAAGACTCGAAAATTAGTTCGACTTGCGTACAAGGCACAACTTTGCGTGTATTAATCTCCTTATAAAAAGTCCGAAGTGCAGTACTTGTTACTTTGTAGTGCACCACTGCACCGGTAATTCGGTATAATATCGTGTGCCAGAGTACAGGACTTAACGGAATTATTGCCCTTAGAAATCGTTTGAAATTTGCATCGGAAGGAGCGTGTTATTGTAGATAATCGATTATTATGTGATACGCTTTTTTATTTTTTGTATAGAGTTTAATTATGGTTGATTTTTCTCAGGTTGGAGATCTGCTTCTGGATATCCTTTAATACATACCGCATTATTATTTTATTTGCCGACATACATATTAAATTTATATACATATTTACTTACTATTATATATTAACCGACAAAATTCTAGACAGAATTCTGTGGCGGCCTATACCAGTTATCATTAAGCATTAATGTAAAGTGACGAACAGCACCAGAAGTACTTAATCTCCGCTTGTACCGGGGCTGTACAATGTACATAATTACGGTGGATTACCAAAAAGTTAAAAACAACAATCAGCTGCTGGGCACAATAAATTCACCGGCCAACAATGATAACTGTACTACACGTAATCAGCATCTTTAGTTTAGAAATACTTACAAATTTGGTCAATATTTTGACTGAATCCTGAATATCGATTCAAAATAACTTAAATGTCACAAAACATTACAAACAAATAATTATCTTTAAGTCGGTAATTGAAATAGTGTTGTTACGGTTGTACAATGTAATGAATGTACAATGCCATTAATTTTATTTTCCGGTAGGATTGCGCAAATTGGTGTAGCTTCCGGCCTTCCATGCGAATTTGTGCCGTTCAGCTTACCAATCGTAAGCCTGCTGCAGCCAGACTGCCGGCTGTGGGATGCCAATGTTTCCCAGTTCGAATTAGTGCACATAGCTTGTACCGGTACAGGGCAGTGGTGATGCGCGCATAATTAAGCTCGAACATGCCAATCGCAGATGTTATGAGAATGACGGATGGAAATTTCGGTGGAATGAATGGCTGGATGTTACGGCATATTCTTTCGTAATCGACACCGTAATTATTATTGTGGTGAGTGATAGCGGCGTCTCTAAATTTCAGCCTGTTTGTTTTTCTCTCATTCAATGGAAACGAGATCTTCATCTGACAGTCGCTTTCTTCTTTTATCCTGAATTTGCAGACCGTCTCACCTGGATGAGGCTGTAGTCATTTTGCAACACCTGATCCATCTTGTTGAGAATGGGAAGTGCGGAGAGAATACGGCACTGAACGCGCTTTTCCCGAGTTCTTCCAAACCCGAACGCGTCTGCGCTGTTTGTACTGTGATTGCCCAGAAGCTGTCCGCTTTCCGGACCGTGAGATTTGTTTTTTCAGCATCGTGATTGACATTCTTTCGCTGCAATGGACGATATGTACGGCGTGAAAGTGGAGAACCGGTGAGCTTCGTCCTGTTGGCGCACAGCCTGGGATTTCTGTATTTACTCGTTTGGTTTGCGTGTGTCGGTACAGGGTAGTCGTGGGTACTGCTTGGGTTGCATTTGCGCATGGAGCTCTCCAGATTTTATGCAAAATATTTTGAATGTCTGCACTTCACAGCGAAAAGTTGCGCTGTTGAAATCTTTTCCTACTCTTTAAAGTTTGTTAAGAGTTCCTCAGAAGCATATCTGTGTCAGAGCGAAGCAATAAGTTGTTGGTAATCATTTGTAATTGCCTTTTGTTTACGAAGAACCAGTTTTTTTCTGCAATGACTGAATAATTAAAATTTAAAATAAAAATTAATTTCGTAGTAGCTAAATGATATTAGCATAAATTTCGTTAATTCTTTAGCAGGATATACGGAATGTTTTCTGTTTCATTGAAATCGTTCAGTGTTATTGACAGCTTTAATAAGGATTTCTAAAATTGGTGTTTATAATTTATTTATGTACGATATTAAATTCAGTTTAATTCAAAATTTGTGCTGACTGGGCATGTGTGTTTGGCAGGTACGCGTTGTTCTTCGACGAAGACGAGAACGAGAACAACGAGAACCTGGTGGAGCAAGCGGCGGCCAAGGGGAAGGCGGGGAAGGCCGCGAGCGGCGCCGCCGGCGAGAAGGGAGGGAAGGCGGCCGCATCGGCCGGCAAGAGCCAGCAGGCGGGCGCCGGGAAGGGCCCCGCGACGGGCGGCCAAGGGGTCAGTGGCGGCAGTCAGGCCAAGAAGGCCGGGAGCGCGGCGGTGGGCGGCGCCGGCAAGGGCCCGGTGGCGGCGGGAGCGGGCGGCCCGGGACAGGGGCAGGGACAGCGCGCCGGCGGACCCGGTGGACCGCGCGTCAACAACAACAACCAGGGACAGGGCCAGGGCGGCGTCCTGCAGGACCAGCAGCGACACCCCGCCGGTAAGTGCCGTTGTGGCTGGATAAAATTAGAGAGGCCTTTTACCCAGGCAGGTGGTGCGCGTGACAAATTGCGGCTTATTGTGAATATTGTCGTGGTTTAATCTGCATCTGAATGCACACACCGGGCTGTGCATGTAGGCTTCGTGCTGCGCGCAGCCGCAGGCTTTGCATCACCTCCGTGTTCTTCGTTGTGTAATTTTAACGCGCAGTAGTGCTGCTGTTGAGATTGAGATCTTGTAATTATTGCCAGTAGTCAGTAGAAGGCTGACCGTGTTAATTTAATTATTGGTTATTATTTTATTCTGAATAGATTTTTCTCTAGCCTTATTTAGATTTATTCCGAGTTTTTTTTTCCCGAATCGATGGGTTTATTCAGCATTAGCAAAGACAAGCACCGTTTAATAAAAACTCTATAAAATTAAAAATAATCCATTCTGCCTTGTGGACAATTTCAAGGCAGTGTTTGGGGAAAAGCAGTGGGCGACATTTCCTTATTAAAATCTTGAATTCACACCATCTTCTATTATAATGCTATAATTCGCTGCGCAAGATGAATGGAGGTATTCATGTCGGAAAAAATGACTTGGGCATGATATTGCCGTGGTTTTTTCAGGTTCGATAGGATATTGTATCCCTTATTTTGTGCATAAATTGAAATTTATTTTTTTAATATTATTGCTGTATTGCAGAGCGTCAGCAGCGCGGCGATCGTGAGCGCCAGGGAGGCGGCGGGGAACGAGCGCCTTTCGGGGGCGGTCGCAACTTTGGCGGGGAGCGGGCGGAACGCGGCAACGAAGGAGGCCAGCGCGAGGGCGGCGAACGCGGCTTCGGCAAACGCGACTTCGGCGGACCCCGCAGCGGCGGCGAAGAGCGAGGACCGCGTCCGCCGCGTGGGCCGCGTCAGGAGCGCCAGGGAGAGTTCGGTGGCAACGGCGGCTACGATCAGCAGAACCAGGAGCGCTCCGATCGACCGCCGCGACAGTTCGGCCGACCCGGCTACGGACGCCGCGACTACGAGCAGCAGGAGGGTGGCGAGCAGCAGGGTGAAAACGCTGCCGGTTACACGTAAGCACACAGACTTTATTGTAGTTTCTTCATCTTCGTCAACGCGTCCTGATGTTGTTTTATTTGAACAGTCCACGGGACACCGGCGACCAGAGTGGGCGTGTCAGCGCCGGTGAGGGCGGCGACAGCAGCCGCTCCTTCAGTCGGGGCGGCGGTCGCGGGGGTTACCGCGGCGGCTACCGAGGAGGACCGCGCGAGGACCGTTTCAGCCACGAAGGAACAGGCACTGGCCAGGCCTACGACAACCGCGGCAAGCGTCTGTACGACCGCCATTCGGGCACCGAGAAGGCGTAAGTATTCATCATTTTAGCATTAGAACTGTACTATTAATTTATTTTTTGTTTTATTAGTAACTCTACTTAGGTAAATTTTAAGATATTTTTTTAATTTTAAAATTAGTAGTTGTTACATTGTGTTGCGCATACCACGGCCTGTTAACTGTCATAGTAAAGGGCCTGTTACGGAAATAATTCATTTCATTATTTTGTTCATTATTATGTGTTTGTTGCATTGCGTAGTGGCGTGAAGGCGGTGGAGAAGCGCGAAGGCGCCGGCAGTCACAACTGGGGCACGCAGCTGGACGGCTACGAGCCCAACGCGGAGGAGACCGCGGCTCCCGAGGAGCTCGAAGGCGAAGGTGGGGGAATGGGCATGATTGGCTGTGCAGAGTGCTGTAGCGGCTGTCTATAAAAACTGTTTAATTAATTAGCGGAAGGCGGCGAGCAGGAGGCGTACGAGCCGAAGCGCAGCGCGGAGGAGGAGGAGGCCTACCAGCGCCAGCAGGAGGAGCGGCGCCGCGAGGAGGCGCAGATGACGCTGGAGGAGTACCGGCGCCAGCAGGAGGCGGAGCGCAAGAGCAAGCCGCAGTACAACATTCGCAAGCCGGGCGAGGGCGAGGACTCCTCCTGGGTCAAGAGCGCCACCGTGCTGCACGAGGCCCACAAGCACGACGCCGCCGAGGTGAGTAAGACCACAGTGCACTGACACTTCTTGGCTTTTCACACCCGATAGAAGTGCATGTAGTACCATGTAATATTATTGTATTTTGCACATGGTGTTATAATAAATAATTGTAAAGTTGCTTGTAGATGTCAAATAACAAATAGTATATTGATAAAGCTGGCTTTCGTGACGGACTTGGTTGTATTCTTAGTTGAACCGCATTTTATTGTGTAGTGTCTAGTACGCTATGCAGGGATGGGTGGTGACAGAGAATGCTTGTCTGTTTGCAGGAGGAAGAGCGCGGCAAGGAGCGCGGTAACCGCGCGGAGGAGAGCAGTCTGGAGCAGGAGCTGCTCAGCGGCATCTACTCGGGAATGCACGTGTCGGACGCCAACACCAAGGCCTTCCGCGGCAGCAGCGAGCGCGGGGGCGCCGGACGCGGCTTCGGACGGGGCGGCGGCGGTCGCGGGTGAGTGTCCTTGAGCGGAGGAAGGCTTTGTGTTTATTTACACGCTCTTTATGTTTCACACAGGCGCGGCGGTCGTGGTGGCTACGAAGGCGGCCGGGGCGGCTACGAGGGCCGCGGAGGCTACGAAGGCGGTCGCGGCGGGTACGAAGGAGGCCGCGGAGGGTACGAGGGCCGCGGGGGCTACGAGGGGGGCCGGGGCGGTTACGAGGGCGGCCGCGGAGGGTACCGCGGAGGGCGCGGCGGTCCGCAGTCGTCGGCGGCGGCGCCGCGCATCGAGGACCCGCTGGACTTCCCGGCGCTGGGCGGCAAGGGCGCCGGCGGGGGCGGGGGCGCGGCGGCAACCAAAGAATGAGCGAGCCTCGCCCCGTCCTGCCCCGCGGGTGGCTGTCCCTGTCCAGGGGGCTGGTGTTGTCTGTCCCGTTTGTCTGTCTGTTTCTGTCTGTTTGTCTGCATTGCGGGGCCAGCTGTGGTTCAACTTGGTTGGCTAATTGGCGGTCGCGTTGACTAATTCTTGTCTTCTCACTCTCCACATCACTCGTCTCTTTTCACGTCTTCATCGCATTTGTACTACTCGCCTCTTTTCTGCTTGCGTGTCCTATCGCATTCATTTTAATACGAGCATATTTTTGCAAGTGTTTTGTTTTATTCAGTAGCCGTAGCTTCCTTCTACCTGGAAAACAGGGTTAGTTGATTAGGTTATAACAGTATAATGGGTGTCTGTTCTGTGTGCGTTCTGTTTAATGTTGGATTGGCATTGGTAATTGTTGAATTAAGCTGCGAATAAATAAATCCGTCGTTCCAGTCCAGCATGCTCGCTGTGAGTACTGCGTATGCGCTCCGTCGCGATGATTGCAGTTGTGCAGCAGGCGGCACAGCGTGAAAATGGCTGTTATTGAGTCAACAATGTCGGCCATTGTAAGCTAAAGGAGGGAGTTATCGCAGCTGTGATAAGATAAGCCGGAGTGTTCGGCGCTGCGGCACTCACACCGAAATTATGAAATATTCACTCAAACAGCTCGCTCAGTCTTAACGGCCTCAAACGCCACTCCAACAACCCGCTCCAATCAATTACGACACAGTCCACTGCTACTTGCCCATCAATTTCACCCTGAATTTCCTGTTCTTCCTTGTCTTTAATGACAGCTGCAGTCGTTCCCGGATATTCAGATTGTTCATTTTTAACCTTACTGAAATGTACAACTGATTCTTATATATGTGACACGTCACAGTGCAGTATTAAGCGCAAAGAATGTGAGCCGAACAGCAGCTTTAGCGAGCGACCGGAAGCAGGATGTGGCGCTGGGTGTCGGGCGTGTCGTCCTGGCTGTGGGCGCGGCCCGGTGGGCGGGCCATCATAGCGCTGGTCAGCGTGCTGTCGCTGACCTTCGTGCTGCTGCTCTACCGCTACAACGCCGCGCCGACCACCGTCTACGCCGCGGATCTCCACGAAGCGGCCGCCCGGGTGGCTGCCCATGCGCCGGCACACTCCGGCCGCGTGGCACGAGCCGACGGGCCAGACTTGCGACCGTTGTACGTGCATTACGTGCGTTTCCGGCCGGACGACGGCAACCTGACGTTCCGCTTCCTGGATTATCTCAGTGTTATGTCGGCGGTGCAGCGCTTGCAGCCGGACGGGATTTTCGTCCACGGCGACTTTGAGCCAATAGGTCAGTCTAGCCAAATCCTTCGATACTTTACAGACACTTCTTATTATATAATTATTTTATTTTTATTTGACTTAATTTACTTTTATTTTATTACATTCTCAGTTTATTTACTTAATTTCCTTTGGATTCATCATCTTATTTAATTTCAGTAAATGTAACTGACGCGTTTAATTATTAGGTATGTACTGGGACATGTTGACAAAGAAAGGTCACATCCAGCACCGGCCGCGCTCGGCGCCGACGGCGGCCGGTCAGCGCATGGGGAAGCCGAAGGAGTTGGGCTGGAAGGAGCACGCCGCGGACATGGTCAAGCTGGACGTGTTGCTGGAGTACGGCGGCGTGGCCGTGGACTTCGACGTGTTCTTCGTGCGCGGCGGCCGCATCCGCGACATCCTGCGGCGCTGGCGCGCCATCACGTGCTACGGCGACGAGGACGGCTACAACATCGGCTTCATCGCGGGGTGGCCGGACGCCGCTCTGTTGTACGCCTGGCGCCGCAGCTACCAGGACATCTACGTGAAGGACTGGAACTTCAACCAGGCCTTCGTCAGCAAGTACCTCTCGGTGCTGTACCGCGAGGAGACCTACGTGGCCAACCACGTCTGCAACAACCCGCACCCCTACAACCTCGCCGTCTATTTCCACCAGCACCAGAAAATCAACTGGACCAACTCGCTGGCCATCCACTCCTACGAGCGCCACGGCGGCGTGCCGGTCCACTCCCCCGATGACCTTTACACGCCGGGCCAACGGCTGACCACGCACAAGGAGTTGCTGCTGTACATCCACGAGAACCGCACGCTGCCGCCCTACTGGGAGGCCTTCAACGACGAAATGGACCCGCTCACCGATAAACTCAAGCCACGCAACCGCCGTTGAAGGGAGGGCCAGTTTCCTACGGCCTAATACTGTGACTGTGATACTGCCGGAAGTTGAGTTAAAAAACCGGCACTGCCGGTGCCAGTCGGTGCTTTCCGTTTGATTTTGTTAATGTTGTTGAATACCACTGGTCCACTGCTTATATGCTCAATATTGTACAATGTTCGTTCTGATGTTTCGACTACTTTTATCCGAATTATTGCTGAACAGTAAATTTGTCATGAATAACGAATGATTAGGAAATTAATATTAATCTCCTGGAAACAATAGGGCACAGCGTGAACAACCGGTATAAACGCCGTATATACATGCGTTATAACTAGGCCGGACAGGACAGCAGATACTCATGCAACAGCAGCATTTCCGGCGCGTCCAGTTTCCCGCCGAACACCAGCGTATCGCGCTTCTCCCGGCACACTTCTTCCTTGACCTTTCGGGTATCCGGCTGGGTCAGCTGACCGCGGCCGAGGGCGTAGACGCGCTGTCCCTTCTGGAAGGCGTGCGGCGCGACCTTTAGCTTGTTGGCGAGGATGGCGCTGACGAGGAGGTCGTCGGTGCGCATCAGCGGGAAGTCCTTGGCCACGGCGACGGCTTGCTTGGCGAAGTCCCGGCTCAGCAGGTAGCCGAAGCCGCGCAGGTGGGTCGGGAGGCTGTCGAAGGGGTACTCGTCGTAGAAGAGGTGCTGCAGGAACAGCGGATTCCGCTCCACCGAGGCGTTCTTCACCAGGTTGCCCACGATCTGCACCGGCGCGTCCGCCGATTCCGCCGCACCGGCTTTTTTGGCGAAATCCACCTGCAAAGGCAGCGGTGTCAAATTGGGCACTATATAATATAAAAGCATCAGGAATACCTGCTCCCGCAGGAGGGTGGCGTTGAGATAGACCTGCTCGGTCGTTTTAAAGACATACGCCGCCGCCGCGCAGTAACGGCTGGCCCAGTCCAGCAGCGCCAGCACCCGCCGCGGGAGGTAGTCGTACGTCTCTGGGACATCCACCGTCACGATGTCGCGGAACTCTTCGCTCTCCTGTCGCAGCGCCGGCCGCTCCGTCTCGCGGTCACTCATCAGGAAGACCACCTTCAGACCGCCGCCCAGCGCGGTCGGCACCGCCCACGTCTGGCGGATGGCCCGCCGCAGCGCCGCGTTGCGCGAACGGGACAACACGGCCACCAGCGTCACTTCCGGTGGCCCGTCGCAGGCGCGCTCGTTGTTGAGCGGGTAGGCGAAGTCGATGATGTTGGAGAAGGGCACCTCGATGGCCTCCATGTAGTTGGCGAAGTCGGCCGGCGTGAAGGGCTTCGGCGCCAGTTTGCCGCGTTCGCGTCCGAAGCGCCGCATCGACTCGTACCAGCCCTGCAGGAAGACGCGCCCGGCCAGCTCCAGCTTGGCCGCGGTGGCGTTGCGGGTCTCGTCGTCGCGGAACATGCTGTCGTACAGCTCCATGATGCCCTCGAACTGCCACCGGAAACACGCGTCAGGTCAGTTGTTTTACTTAGTTATATTTTTATTATTCTCTACCTGTTCGTTAGAGACGAAGGCCGCCGAGTTATCCATTTCCTCCTCTTCGGCTTCCTGTTCGCCGGCCGCACTGACTGCCGTCGTGGTGGAGGTGGCTGACCGCAGCGCTGGCGCCGACAAGAACAGGTCGGCCAGTCCACCCAAGCCCACGGAACCGCCGTTTCCGGCGGCCGTCAGTTTGCCGGGAGCGAGCATTTGTTCGTAGAGATGCCCGCTTAGGAGATCTGTAAAATCAAAGCGTTGCTACGCAACCGGAAGCAGTGGATATTTTGTAACGACGAGAGCGCGACTGACCGGAAACGAGATTCGTCATGCCCATGACCTCCAGCAGCGCCCCGGCCTCGTCCAGCAGCTCGAGGAAGGTGTCCTGCGTGTCCTCCAGCGCGAAGATGCGGAAGAAGCTCTTCATGGCCACGGCACTGACGAAGGCCGGCTGCTGCGTCTTGGCCGGATACCTGCGCTTCATCTCGGCCACCGTGGCCGTGAACACGCCGCTGCAGAACTCGGCGAAGTGCTGCAGCCGCCCGAGGAGGGGCGCCTGTGCCGCCCAGTCGACGCGGGCCACACCGAATTAAAACGTCGGGCTTGGCTGCACCGGCGACTGAAGCACTCGGCTCCAGCCTAATTACTGATCAGCCACACCACAAAAGACTAAGCGACCGTTGATGTACGCGTCGTAGGCAGCCGCCGGCGTGGGCCAAGCAACATTAAGGTCATCTGGATACATATTTCAAAGTGCAGCGGCGCCGGCTTGCACAGTAACACCCTTTAAAATGACGAAGGTCGGCAGTTCGAACATGTCTCCTGTCCAGTAAGTACAGTCTTAAAGATGCTAGTTGATAAAATTAATTATATGTAAAAGGAAAAGAGTAGAAGTGTAAGAAAACCTGAAACAAATAAGACGTGTTTTCTTATTAATATAGTCATTTTTTTATCATTTTAACTGTTTATTTTTTTTCTTCCATACATAATTTTCTTAAATAGGAATGGAAACTAAAATTCTTCGCGGTATCATATCTGTGGAGATGCAGATGCATATTTTTGCCGGAAACAGAATCAATCACACATATACAGCACATCCGTACATCATTCAACATAGCAGGTTTATAACTTTATTGGTACAGTAATTAATCGTTATTTATTATGGCAATAAAGGCACTTGAGGCGCATTAGTGAAAAGCAGAGCGAAACAAACACAATTATGGACCACAACAGCATCTGCAGCGTCTATCTATCAAAGTACTGTACTGTAATCAAACAATCTATCGTTCCGACACAGTCTACAATCATCACCTAAGACAACACAATCCAACTGACGATTAGTCAATCGGCGCTGCTATACCAGTATCTGTACGACAACTGCAATGGCAACACAACAACAAAGCAACACGTACAACATCTATCTGATCTGTTCTGTTTAGTCTGTTCAGCGCCGTCAAGGCACAACTACGATTAACACGCGACGCGGCTGATTCTGTTTCTGACGGTGAGCGAGGTTAGAAAGGGGCTTGTAAGGTTCGTCGAGGGAAGGGATCCCTCGTCGCACGCCTGAGGCGGATCATGAGGACGGCAAGCGGGACGAAGGCGGGCCGGGCCGGTCCGCTCAGCCTCAGGCTCAGCGCGGGGCGCCCCAGCGCGAGTTGCTGACGGCGGCGGAGGCGGCCGGGACGGAGTTGCCGCTGCCCGCGTCGCTGCTCTGGCGGTTCAGCGTGGGGAACTCCTCCAGGTTCTGCTCCCAGGGCGCGCCCTTCACCACGAACCCGGAGCCGGACTGTCCGGCGGCCGTCGCCGCGCCGTTGTGGTTCTGGCGGGCGTCCTGGCGGCCGGCGGCCGTGGCCGGGGAGTGGTAGGCGCGCAGGGTCTCGTTCTCCACCACATCGTCCAGCTGTAACGACATAAACACGAATTAGCCACGTTCTCAACGAAAACAAGCCAGGGGACTCACGTAGATGTCCTCCAGGCGCTTCAGCTCCGCCTCGCAGTCGTACACGTTCTCCTCGTCGCCCACCACCGTCACCACGTTGGCGTCCTCGTCGTCGCGGCGCGGGAAGTTGATCTTGACCTTGAAGCGGTCCTCCAGGCGCTTCAGCGCGGCGCCCTTGCCGCCGATGATGCGGGCGTGGATGCGGCTGTCCAGCGGCACCTCCACGCGCGACTTGCTCTTCTACACGACCACAACCAACGCCATTACAGTCTACCTCTGCGCCAGCAATCAACAACGCCTCCCTCACCTCGGCCTCGATGATGGCCTGGATCTTGTCGCGCGCCGCCTGCGCCTGCGACTCCAGGCCGACGATGACGATCTTGTCGGCGTCCTCGGCGGCCGCGTCACTGCGCGGGAACTGCAGCTCCACCTGGAACTCGTTGCGCAGCTTGTTCACCTCCACGCCGCGCTGGCCGATCAGCTGGAAGTGGTACTTGGGCTCCACGCGCATCTCCACGCGGAAGTTGCGCAGCGCCTGCAACACAACCAACTAGAATTAATCCTCTGCATCGACATTACAACAAGCACCGCTTCACACCCGCTCCTCCTTGAGCTTGTCCAGCTCCTTGACGCGCGCCGCCAGCCCTTCCTTGGCTTCATCCACGTTACGGCGCAGTCCGCGGATCTTGATGACGTCGCTCTGCTCGGCCGAGTTGGGGATGTTGATGTTGACCTTGAACTCGTCCATCAGCTTGCGGATGCTGGCGCCCGCCTTCCCGATGATGCTGCTGTGGTACTCGAAGGGGACGGGCATCTCCTCCACCACCGGCACCAGATCCTGTCCAACCAGACACAATGTTATTCGCATCCTTCAACACCATCCCGCGTTGAAATAAGCAAAGACTGCTTACCAGGAGCGCCTGTTTGGCGGCCTCGCAGTCCTCCGGACGGCCCGTGACGGTGATGACCTCCTTGGGCGCTTCCCCGTTGGTGCCCTCGGCAGGCGCCGGCTGCTCGCCGTTGACGTGGGCGGCGTTGTTATTGTTGTTGGCGCGGTTGTCCTTGCGCTCGGGGAACTTGATGTGCACGTCGAACTCGTCGGACACGTCCATGACGCGCGCGCCCTTGGGGCCCATGATGTTGCCGTAGTACTGCGGGGGAATGTCCACCTCGATGGTGATGTAGGACTCCTGTGGACGACCAGTAGGTATCAGTCAATGCGCAACAGACATTAACAACGGAAGCAACTCACCCAGTCGGCGACGCGCTGCAGCAGCATCCGCTTGGCCGCGTCCACCGCCTCCTGGGGCCCGCGCAGCAGCACCTTCTCGTTCTCCTCGCCCATGCGCGGGAACGTGATGCTCACGTTGCCCGTCTCCTCCTGGATGTGCCGGATCTCTTCGGCGCGCCGCGCGGTGAAGTTCTTGTGGTACTTCACCGGGATATCCACCGAGTCGTCCACAGTGTTGTGCTGCAAACAAATCATTCCATCAGCAATTTAGATTTAGGAGCATTAAAAGTAATAATTACAACCGTTCATTCAAATCCCTTCTATTAAAAATAAGGAAATTCAATTCTGGAAAACTAATATTCAGAAACCAGTAATTAATGTACTAATCAACAGAACCAAAACAATCAAGAAAAAAACGTAAACAGCAAAAATGGCCCGGCTTTTCTCACCAATTCCTGCAGCGTGCGTTCAATGTCCACCTTGGCCTTCTCAACATCTTCCTTACGCCCAATAACGACAATGGTATCCTTCTCCTCCTGGACGGAACTCGGGATGGCGATGCGCACGTTGTAGCGCTCGCGTAACTGAACGAAAGAAAAGAAATCAGGACGGAAGAACGTGCAAAACAAGGCCGAAAATACCAGGCAAAATAAATCCAAAATCATTAAACAACCAAGAAATCAATAGCTTCACACTTTGACTGCAGTCAATTCTTACGCGGTTGATATTGCCGCGGTTGGCGCCGACAATGTACTTGTGGTACTCCTGCTTGGCGGGGATCTCGGCCGTGAAGCTGGACAGTTCGCGGTCGTGCGCGATCTTCTCCAGCAGCTGTTTGGCCTTCTCGGCGTCGGCCTTGGGGCCGCGGATCGTGATCTCGTCCAGGCCGGAGCCGGACTGCGGCAGCGTGATCTGCACGTTGCCGCACTCCTGGATGACGCCGCTGATGGTGCGGCCCTTGGCGCCGATGAGGTTGGGGTGCAGCTTGCTGGGGATGCTCACCTTCACCTCCACGGCGTTGGCCTGTCCCACGCAATCACAGTCATCACCACCCACGCCTCGACAATCAGACGCCACCCACTCACCAGTTCGTTCTGGATCTTGAGGATCATCTCCTTGGCCTTCTCGGCGTTCTCCTTCTTGCCGGTGATGGTGATCACGTCCGAGTCGGCGTTCTCCGCCGGCAGGTCGATCTTGGTGTCGGTCTCGTCGCGGATCTTGCGGATGGTGGCGCCGCCCTTGCCGATGATGGTGCGGTGCATGTCCTTGAAGATGGGCACCTCCAGCCGGAAGTTGCTGGCCGCCTGGATAACCCAACACCGTCATTACAACCAAACCACGCCGCCGTCTTCCCTGACCCTTACCAGGTCTTTAACCAGCTTCTCCAGGTGCTTGTAGCACTTGTCCACCTCCTCCTTCGGCCCGCGGATCGTCACCACGTCGCTGTTCTCCTTGGACTCGGGGAAGGCCACGTTGGTCTCCTTGAACTTGTCGCGGATCTCGCGGATGCGCTCGCCCTTCTGCCCGATGATCAGTTTGTGCAGCGCGCGGTCGATGATGATGTCCTTGGAGCGCTCGTTCTCCATCTTGCTCAGCCGCTCCTGCAGCGCCTTCACCGCCTCCGCCACCGAGTTCTTGGGGCCCTCGATCACCAGCACGTTGGGCCGGTTGGCGTCCGATGAGCGGATCTGCACGCCCAGCTCGTCCTTCAGGCGGGACACTGCCGACAACGCTCCCTTCAGCAAACGTGTTAAGCAAAACAAGAAAAACGCTGCTTACCGTTGCTGCCGCTCTTGCCGATGATGTGCTTCATGTACTTGTCGTCCACCTTCACCTCGCTGACGGCCAGCGTGCTGACCAGGGTCTTGGACTCGGCCTCCAGGATCTTGCGCACCTCCTCGACGTCGCGCGGCGGCCCCTCGATGACGATCTTGTCCTCCTCGACGACGAAGTTGACGTGCACCTCGGGGAAGCGGTTGCCCAGTTCGCGCACCTTCTCGCCGCCCTTGCCGATCATGTACTTGTGGATCCAGCTGGGCGCCTTCAGCTCCACCTTCACCACGCTGTTAGCCTGTACACGGACACTCCCATTCAACGCAATTCCTTAGCAAGCACGAATTTAAGCTCACCTTGTTGAAGACCATCTTCAGCGCCTCCCCGAAGTTGGCGGGATTGCCGCGCAAATGCACCGAGTCGCTGTCGGTGTCCTGGAAAGGCAGCTCCACCCAGACGCCGGTCTTCTCCAGGATCTCGTGCAGGTGGTTGCCGCGGGGTCCCTGGACGTAGCGGTGTTGGGCGCGCGGCACCTCCACCGTGATCTCCTTCGTGGTGTTAGACTATATAGACAGGCAGCGGTTAGAATCCAGCCCGAGAAATGACGCCAACCGCGGACAGTCTTACCAGTTCGCTGGTCATCCGCAGCAGTTCGTTCTTGACGAAGGCCACGGGTTCGCGCTCGCCGCTGATGCTGATCTCGTCCTTCATGGCGCTGGGCGGCGGCACGTTGATGCTGACGCCGGACTTTTGGCGCAGCCGGTCCAGGTAGGCGTTGTTGGGGCCGCAGATGAAGGGGTGGAAGATGCGCGGGATGTTCAATCGCTCGGCGGCGCGCTTGGACTGCTCCTCGTAGATCTGCATGATCTTCTCGCGGGCGATGACGATTCCCTGTTTATAACAAAGCATCGTGCCAACAAGTTGATTTAAGACAGTTCAACCGTTTTACCTCCTTGGGACCGGTGATCTTGACGAAGTTGTTGGCGTCGTCCATGCGCGGCACGGTGATCTTGGTGGCGGTGGAGACCTCGAGGTCCTCCTTGGTCTTGCCCTTGGCGCCCAGGATGAAGCGGTGGTACTCCTTGGGGATGTCCAGCGAGTCGCTGGCCTGCGTCTGCAGGCGCTGCAGCGCGGCGTTGCGGGCGCGCTTCACGTCCTCGCGCTTGCCGCTGATGAGCAGCGTCAGACTGCGGTCCTTGCTCTGCGTCAGGACGATCTGGGCGCCTATTAACACACACACTGTCAGCCTCTTCCACAACACCAACACCCGACAGCAGTCTCACCTGTGTCCTGACTGATGGCGTAGCAGACGCTCTTCTCGCTCTCCCCGTCCTTGCCGAAGCGCACCTCCTCTCCTCCTTTGAAGCGTCGCTCCTCGTACGGGATGGTCAGTCTCTGCGAATAAACAGACCGCGTCAGTCGTCAACACAAGCAAAGAGATCCCCAATCAGCGCTCACCTCCGACGTCTGACTGCTCTGCGTCATGGCCATGCGGGCGCTGTGCGAGGTGCTCCGCGCGCCCCACGGCGAGGGCGCCACGCTCTTGGGCCCCTCGGGCACCTTGTCGGGCAGCGCCGGGAAGGCCTCGCTGTAGTTGAGACCGCTCTCCTGCGCCTGCGGCGGCTGGCCGTTGCCGCTTCCGCTGGCCTGCATCGCGCTGTCGCCGTTGTACATCGTTCAGCACGGATTAAAATTAATCGAGCTCAACACGCAGTAATCTCTCGTCTAATCCAATCGACTGACTGACTGCTCGCAAGTAGCAACAGGTGCACACGTTTCCAAGTCTGTTCCAAACTCAATCCAATCGACAGAGCGGCCAACCCAGTACTCTGCCAAACACACGCCACATTATCAATAACAGAATATTCCCCATTAAAAATGACGAAATTATGCGATACAGCGCTCAGCATGCACTTATGCTGCACAGACCAATGTGTTTATTTAATTACGGTAAATGTTCAGCTAGCGCGGCTAATAACCTTCCTTCCCATCTGACTGCCGATCATCGCCTCGTTCACGATCGCTTGGTCGCTCGCGCTGACTCTTCCTTGACAAGTGTACACTGCAGTCGGCAGTTATCGCTCAAGGCCACTCGCCAAACCGGCTCGGCTAACTGCAGATGCACTGCCGCACTGCTGCGCTGCTTCTTTGCCGGCCTGCTGCTTAAAGCGCCGATCGTCAACACTGTGCCCTACTTTTTCTCTGCGGCCTTTTTTTGCAGCCGATTTACCGCATTGCACGCCGACTATTCAGCCTTTCACAAGAACCAGCCAACCCGAAAATTAATCAGGATTCAGTGGAATAAAATTCACATTGCAATCACAGATTTTTAAGAAATGATGTCCACATAAAGCCAGAAAGCTGGAATTATTTATTTATTTTTTCCTTGGCTGCTCACCATGAGCGTGACAACAAAAGTCAACTTTTTACAATTAAAAAAGCCGGACTGAACTTTAAACAGTCACCGGAAATATGAGCTACCGTTCCGCGAGAAAGCGGCAAAACAGCCAATAACGGCGTGGCTGGCCTATCTATCGGCATCCATCGGCGCATTTTGCTGAATTGCTACACGCTTATCCTTATCAGATATCAGTTATCTCGCTGATTGTTCAATGTTACTGTACAATTACGACTGAAGCGCGCTGCCAGCGGGAAAACGACAGGGAAAACGCTTATCTTTTCTCAAGGAATAATTACGAAACTATGTCGGTGGTGAAATCTGAACGACAGGATTAATGCATACAAATAAAAGTCAATTACGGAAAATCGAAAACTGAAAAAACCGCTCTTTCTTAAAATTAGATCACGAACCATTTTTAAATTTAAATCCGCATTTCATTTCGAATCAGACTTAATTACTCTTGCTTTATTTAGTTCAGTTTATTAAACAGAAAACTTTTAACCGGCCCGGACTACAAAACGTCACTAAACCGATAAGAACCGCCAAAAAGTGCGGAAACGAATGCGCAGAAATCATCACAGAATAGTCAAAACTGGGCAGAATTTGGAACACATCGCCAGCTGAAAATCCCGATATTAGCTCAATATTATTAATAATAATTAACTTTAGCAAATATCTGCGCTGCTTTCCTCAAAAAATCCAGAAAACATGGAAGTAAAACTGCGCCGCAATTGCAAACATTATGCCAATATTTAAAAACGTTGAAAAACCACCCGAAAATCGCCAAGAGTAATAATTACAATTTGAAAAGCCAAAGAGGCCCAAAGTATCAATAAAAAAAGAGAAAAATGATGATAGAAGGGGGACTTACTAGAGTACTGTTTCCAGGGAGTCCAGTGGGGGAGAACAGGGCTCGTCAAGGTCCAGGGTGAGGCGATGGGGGCTCAGTGGGGGCAGAAGGGTCCCGAGAACCACTGATTAGTCGGAACGAACACGGAAAGGAAGAATAAGACGGCCTGCAACGCAGTCAACACGCTCAACAATGATCTGCGCCAAGTTGCCAACACACGCGTTGGCCGCGACGTGGCAGGGCAGCAACACCAGCTGCAAGCTGCAGTTCGTCACTCGTACACCACACAGTGGCTGCTGCGGGTCGCCACGTCGTTAGCGCCGTCAGCGAATCAGCTCGTCGTTGGCTGTTGAGTGGCGGCGGACGCTGCACTCACCTGCCCAGAAGACACTTCACCAGGCCGTACGCGGCATGTCTGTATTCATACGGCCAACACTAGTCAGCGGATAAATATCAAAACACATCACTCCATTTCCACACTGTTCTTCTCCATACGCGCCAACAAATCTAATCAGGTTTTACCAGAAATGAAAAATCGCTATCGCCGTGTCGCCGACGCGCCGTACACCGCAATGCGCATCAATACACGGCAGTGTAGGTGCACTGCAGTCACTCTGCCGATGGTGAGCCGCACTGTGCAGTGCTGAGTGCGCTGACGCATCGCTTGTCAATATGGACTGGGTGGCAGCTGCGTGAACACCGAACACTTTCCAAAATAACAGCAAGTGCAATAATATTCGCAATTTCACGGTGAAATATGGATAACATATTTTATCATCTACGTGCTATCCAATGCAGACAAAAAAATTGCAGTATGTAAAATTGTAAATATCACAAATGTTGTAGGATCGTGCGTGCATGCCAGTGCATTAATGCAGCAGTAAGGAAAACGATTTATGGAAACCTGCCAGAAATTTTCCTAGTCAAGTCAAATAACGCTGCCACACCAGGAGGGTGCCATTTCTTTACCAACCGGAAACGGTGCGAAATCATCGTTTTAAAAGTTTCACTTTGTTTGTTTCTACCAAATGTTTGATGAAATAAAAAGCAAACAAATTTTTGAAGGAGCTTTTACTAGGTAGGAAGAACTCAACTGCCATTATGACGTTTCATGAGTTTGTGGATGATTAAATGCGCCACCGTCAAGCACAGAATGCGTATGCGAATGTGACGTAGTGTACTTATGTACTTTGTATGTACAGATACCTACCGATTTAATCATTACAGCAACTGATTACGCCATTGGCATTTTCTAATATCGTAGACTTGGTCATTACACAATTTAATTTTAATTTGTGTAATAATTTTGTATTTACAGCATCCGAAAACGGCTCCAAGTCCCAACTGTAAATAGTACAGGAAGTAACAGCTGTTGAGCGTTAAAGCTTTCATTAGACATTACTGTTGTCGATACATTACCGAGCTACATCAAAAGTGCAACTGACGTATAATTATATCACCAGTATCACAATGCATCAGTGTGGCAGCAAAGGTCACTCTGATAATGGTAATGAAAACCATCGCTCGCGATTGGGATTGGCAAAAAGCAAAAACGTCCGTGCCCTGCAGCTGCCAACTTGACCAAAAACGATAACCTTTTGACCACACTCGTATTAGTGACATGAAGTGGTTTCCTCACTGTGCATAGCTACTCGTATAATGTCATGTAGCGGGACTCGCTGCGTGAGTATACACGGCCACCGTGCATGTACATGTGTGCCTCCGGTAACAAACGTCACCGTGTATACTGTATGTGCATTTGGTGGCAGCGACCGACGTATACGTACATGTACAGCCAGTCAGACACCACATTTTTCATTAGCGCTGAACATAGAAGACCCTCGCTACGCTTCCGTCGATTCATGTTATCTGCAAAATGACTGGCCCAGGAAGTATTAGCGCATAAACTAGTACAGTACGAGTAGTTTATTATTGTAGCCAAAGTACACAATACTCGTACAGTACACTGAGTTTATCATAACTCGTTAGTACAACCGATTACAGAAAGGATAATAAAAATTTACTGAACAGATCCCACAAAATGTTCCAATAATCAGGTAAGAGATCTCCGTTAATGGAGTTTGGCTACAACACGTCAAACTCCAGATCCAGCGCAGCAATGCAAGGAAGGAAAACTAACAGATAAACTGAATGACGATAATTCCCAGGAAATGCAAAGCCGCTTTTGTCCTTAGGAAATTAAAGTTAGACCGTCGACAGCGATAAGCCCCGTCTAGTTGTTGTAATGCTTGCCGTCTCCCGTTATCTGCAATCTCTTGATCGATTGTGTCCCTGTCCAGCGGCAGCAACCAATAATAATCAGGAATTCCGGATGGTCGGTCTGTTATGTTTCACGAGATCAGCATCGATATCGATGCACTGGCATGGTTCACAGATCACACTCGAAACACCTCGTTAATTCCGTATATGGCCATTTTGCTCCATGTGGAAACATCCATACGCCGCAGATCGATGCCGTCCCACACTGTTGGGCTTCCGTCCGAAATCTACGTGCTATCAATGCAGACAAAAAATTGCAGTATGTAAAATTGTAAATATCACAAATGTTGTAGGATCGTGCGTGCATGCCAGTGCATTAATGCAGCAGTAAGGAAAACGATTTATGGAAACCTGCCAGAAATTTTCCTAGTCAAGTCAAATAACGCTGCCACACCAGGAGGGTGCCATTTCTTTACCAACCGGAAACGGTGCGAAATCATCGTTTTAAAAGTTTCACTTTGTTTGTTTCTACCAAATGTTTGATGAAATAAAAAGCAAACAAATTTTTGAAGGAGCTTTTACTAGGTAGGAAGAACTCAACTGCCATTATGACGTTTCATGAGTTTGTGGATGATTAAATGCGCCACCGTCAAGCACAGAATGCGTATGCGAATGTGACGTAGTGTACTTATGTACTTTGTATGTACAGATACCTACCGATTTAATCATTACAGCAACTGATTACGCCATTGGCATTTTCTAATATCGTAGACTTGGTCATTACACAATTTAATTTTAATTTGTGTAATAATTTTGTATTTACAGCATCCGAAAACGGCTCCAAGTCCCAACTGTAAATAGTACAGGAAGTAACAGCTGTTGAGCGTTAAAGCTTTCATTAGACATTACTGTTGTCGATACATTACCGAGCTACATCAAAAGTGCAACTGACGTATAATTATATCACCAGTATCACAATGCATCAGTGTGGCAGCAAAGGTCACTCTGATAATGGTAATGAAAACCATCGCTCGCGATTGGGATTGGCAAAAAGCAAAAACGTCCGTGCCCTGCAGCTGCCAACTTGACCAAAAACGATAACCTTTTGACCACACTCGTATTAGTGACATGAAGTGGTTTCCTCACTGTGCATAGCTACTCGTATAATGTCATGTAGCGGGACTCGCTGCGTGAGTATACACGGCCACCGTGCATGTACATGTGTGCCTCCGGTAACAAACGTCACCGTGTATACTGTATGTGCATTTGGTGGCAGCGACCGACGTATACGTACATGTACAGCCAGTCAGACACCACATTTTTCATTAGCGCTGAACATAGAAGACCCTCGCTACGCTTCCGTCGATTCATGTTATCTGCAAAATGACTGGCCCAGGAAGTATTAGCGCATAAACTAGTACAGTACGAGTAGTTTATTATTGTAGCCAAAGTACACAATACTCGTACAGTACACTGAGTTTATCATAACTCGTTAGTACAACCGATTACAGAAAGGATAATAAAATTTACTGAACAGATCCCACAAAATGTTCCAATAATCAGGTAAGAGATCTCCGTTAATGGAGTTTGGCTACAACACGTCAAACTCCAGATCCAGCGCAGCAATGCAAGGAAGGAAAACTAACAGATAAACTGAATGACGATAATTCCCAGGAAATGCAAAGCCGCTTTTGTCCTTAGGAAATTAAAGTTAGACCGTCGACAGCGATAAGCCCCGTCTAGTTGTTGTAATGCTTGCCGTCTCCCGTTATCTGCAATCTCTTGATCGATTGTGTCCCCTGTCCAGCGGCAGCAACCAATAATAATCAGGAATTCCGGATGGTCGGTCTGTTATGTTTCACGAGATCAGCATCGATATCGATGCACTGGCATGGCTTCACAGATCACACTCGAAACACCTCGTTAATTCCGTATATGGCCATTTTGCTCCATGTGGAAACATCCATACGCCGCAGATCGATGCCGTCCCACACTGTTGGGCTTCCGTCCGAACGAAATCCGCTGTACCTGCAGAACAGGGAAAAAATCAAATTGGAAATCAAAGCGTTGGAAGTGGAAGAGTAGCCTAGCCGTTAATGCTCTCCAAGGCTGACTGTACTTGTATTGGTATTATGACGCGTATATACCGGGATACGTATAACTTACAGTAAGAGGTAGTCGCGAATACGCTGCCAATCCTCAGGATAGGTCAGAGTGCGCAGCCAGCGCGCATGAACGGCCGTGACCTTTGCCAGCATGTCCGGCGTGACCGGCGGGAAGTTGTCGTTTAAGGCGCACATGAAGCGACTGGTCATGCGCATCTTGCGGCTGCAGGGCAGGAGCAGCTTGGGAATGGTGATCTGCAGTTGGTCGACGGCCAGCTGCGGTGCCTGCGACTGGCATGCGAGGGGCACCATCCACTCCCGTTCATGCGCCGGCAGGGAACAAGTGGTCACGCCGGCTTGAGGTTTGTAGTAAATATTGCCCACAAAGACTTCGTGCATTTGCTGACCGAAAAGCTGCGACACTTTCCAGTTGTGCAGGCAAACAAAGTTGGCATTGTGCTTGTACAGCGTTATAATATTTGACTCGGCGTGCTTTAAACGCGACCGTTTGTGTCGTTGAAATCCCCTTGCTTCACCGTTAATTATAACGTGGTCCTTGAGCACCAGTAAAGGCAGCCTAATTTCCATGGCACGCAACAGCGGCCTCAAAAATGCAGAGTCATGCGGGGGGAAAAGTGTCAGGAGAGTGAGGCTGATGGTCGTTGTGCTGATGGAGCGGCTGAGCAGTGAGGCCGCGCGGAAGCAGTTGTCGTTGTCCGTCTGGAGCAGGCAGTAATCGCCGTCGGCTTGGAGGTGCCAGCAGCTTTCGAAAGAGATGCTGACGTGTTCCGTCATTCCACAGCTGCTCAACAGCAACTGCCAGAGGGCACACACCCTACGATCGAAGAAACCAATGCAACACAGTTTGCGGTTGTCTGACGATGACCTTTAGTGTACCACTGTACGTTATGGCATGCATCCAGGGCCGTCGCGGCCGCGGACTTGGAGGGAGGGGAAGGGTGCACGGCTGCGCGTCCGTGCGCCCGCTGCGCCAGTTGGAAAACGGCCTAAAACCGGCCTTGGAGAAAGACGTAGTAAACGGGCTCAACAAAGCCACTTCGCTACGCGTTTTCACCACATTTTATTTTCGGTGCCCTCTTGCGCCCGGCCCATTTTCGCATTTTCGCTCTTTTCTGCGCCTGCGTTAGTGCAACACCTCCGGGCGCGCCGTTTTCCCGTTTTCTGCCTCCGCGAAGGGTGGGAGTCATGGGACCGTGGGGCGCCAGTACCAGTACGTTCCCCTCGCAACGACTGTGGATAGACATCCCAACTGCTACAGACTGGCCTTGGACTGTACAATTCCACTTCGCAAGACCGCTACCGACCCTTGGACACATTATTGCTTCTGTTTTTCGAAAAACAATTAGTGCGGGCAGAGATCCATCGTACCTACCGTTTGGCTTTCATGCGTGAATGCAAGTCCAAATGCGACAAGATGTCGCTCAGCAGGGAAGGCGTCAAATCCCGGATGCGGGCCGGCCACGTCACTGCATCCTCTGGTACACCTGAATTAAGGAAGACCGACATTCACACTGCTGCGACAACCAGCAAACTGAACATACTAAATAGCCTAGACTAACTGTACCGAAGCGCTTCTGTAAACTTGCCGGGAACGGACATTAAAACATGTACGTTAGAAAATTGTCTGTACGCTTTTGCTGCGCGCAAAACTCGGAACGACAACACTTTATTACTGAAAAAATACAGGAGCACTGCGAGGCTAGTAACTACTAAGTAGTAACCGGCCGCTATAGTTTTGCTGCAAGGTTTCTTCGCTTGATAGTTTCAGACTTTCGGACACAGTCACGCACAGAAGCAGTAGTACTTCTATATAAAACTAACAAATATTTCACTTTAGAAGACCGTAATTAACTCATTAACGGCTCTCGACAAACGTTCAGATTTCAGTCGGTTAGAAAAACAGTCGTTTTTGATGCGGCTTACAGATATACACTAAGATGAGTAAATTACTTAAAGTATGCCAGTAATAAGTTTAATATGCCAAATTTGCTACACCAAGTAAAAAGTAAATAGGGTGATGCTACAGGCATCCCTTTCTGCATCTCGTTTTACTGTACGCACTCCTTTTTGTTTATTATTTCGTGCACCCGGTTTTTTCGCGGACGTTATCTGTAGACACCCCACCCCGTTGGCCGTTGCGACGCAGTGTTTTGACATAATCTGTTGTTATGCGCCACGATAGCTTGCAGGTGTTAACAGATCTGGCGACAAGTTTTACTTTAGTTTGACTGTATAATTTAACTGGATTACTCGTATACTTATTACGAAGGGACCGAAACAGACTCAGCGAGCGACGAAAACGAAGCATTACAGGTCCAGACCTAGACCTAGGGCAGCTATCCTGTTCAGTTCCTAATTTTTACAGTAGTGTCGGATGGATTAATATTATTTAATATTAGTACTACTCTGTAATCTGTAGTATTAGCATAAGCGATATGGATTGGATTCAGAGGGACGCAGGAATCCGGGTATTGCGACACACGACACGCCCCCTTTCTAGTGGTCTCTGTTACAGTTATGTGTGTGTGAATTGGTATAAATTGGGAAATGCTAAGCGCTAACATGTGTCACTTGCTTCGTAAAATTTTTTTACCGGTATTTTGTATACTGAATGCATACCGGTATTTTTTGTGTAGTTCTGTCGTGACCTTTCGCATTTACGCGCCATCATGATTCTAGCGTCTTTTTGCTATCAGCTTGCAGTTGTTTTGAGGTATAACTATAATAATTCATCATGTCTGCATCGGTTTATGCAAGTGTCGGGTATGTATCTGGTGATTTTGTTGGACCAGCTAGTAAGAAGAAGTTGATCGCATCAATCGGCAACACGTCAAATGCACCATTTATTATATGGAAAGAACAACTGCCTGTAACACGAAGATGAATGCGGACTTCCTTTTGGATCCAGCCACCGTAGTTATTGCCAGTATTCTACCTGTTTTGCATCACTCGCTCAGCCTTGTGGACGCGGTTTTATGGCTTATGCCCACTTGGCGGAATCCCGTCAAACCTTCAAACACCCACAACGTATTTTTCAAAGTCGTCAGGAGGTTTCGCCCGCTGCCCCGCATTTTACCGCACACACTTGTGCGCAAACCTTGCCGGAGACATCGCCGCGAGACCTGTTTCACCGAAAAGCCGGTAAGCCAGTACCATCTGACTTGCATTATGTTCCTGGAGAGTTACTCCTGTCTGGTTCCTACCTAAAGTTTTTCCTGACCCGGATTCATCGTCTTCGCTTACGTGTCCTGTTATCATTAAATTGTTACCGCTATTGCTGCATGACCTCCTGCCTTTCACATTCCGGAAGGCGGTAAAGATGCTAACCGATTTCACAGAAGACTTGACGATTTGCAGTTGCCGCTTGGTTGTGGTCCTTGTGGATAGGCGGTAGATGAGCGCGGCTGGCCAGATGTGTTTCCAGGATTGTCGCCAGGCTGCCGGCCAGCCAGTGCGTCTGCGTCTGCGTCGGCTGCGCGTCCGGATCGACATCCGTTGCGAGACTGACGAAGACAAACATGCAACCGTCCTCTTCGATGCGCAGATGAAACCGGCAACAGTCCGGTGCGTACATATTGGCGGTTAAGCCCAGCTTGGCTCGGATAGCCTCGTATATATGTCTAACGATGCGGTGTTTATCGGAAGGCTCGCACAGAAGGCTTTGGGCACGGCCGAATGGGACAAAGTGCTTGGTGTAGAACACACCGCTGCGGCGTTCCAGCAGCGGTGGACCAGATGGCGGCAGCTCACTGGCCACTTGGCGCACGTGGACCACCTCCAAACCGGCTGTGCGTGGAGGAACGTTGCTGTGGGCAACGCCAGTCCCCGTACGCGTTGTGATGCAAAACATTTGACAGCCCCACTGACAGCCAAACAATACGTCCAGCAGAACGGCTGGCCGGAAACGGAACGGTCCGTCATCGTCATCACGCAGTGCCGCGAACACCGGAATGTTGTGGTGACCTTTACTGGCCAGCTCGGTGTCCCAGTAGTACGGCAGAGGCCAGACGGCGCTCATGTGCACCCAGTGAGCCGCGACTAGTGTGCAGTTGAAATGAATAAAGGCTTGCTCACCGTCAATATCCTGAATGTATCCCAACCACCACGTGTCGTCGCGGCTGCGGACAACGACAGTGTTGTGATAGCTGATTTGACTGGCCTCGGCCAACAGCGCCTCATACGGCGGCATCGCGCCCACCGCATCCACAGGGGCCTAAGGAAATCAGCAAAATAGAGAATTCATTGCGAATGATACTGTAAGGCCAGTAACGGTTTTTAATTGTAGGCCTACTATAGTAATTAGTGTACATATAATCTGCCAGACAGACTTTCAGGCGCTTTAATATAATTAGAGATACTTTTAACTTAATTTTCTCATAGAAAAACCTTGCCTCTCGTTCCATTGCTAAACGAGAAACTCACCCTGCCCACGATTTTGTACTCCGTACTTTCGTCCATGATAGAAACTGGGAAAAAGAACAGCATCGATGTCTGATAATCGGTTGTAGTATTTCCTTCAAATGTCAAGTGTTGTTCTAAAACTCCGTAATTGCTCAGCAAATTACCACATTCGAAATCTTTAATTAGTGTACATCAGCGCTGGCTTTTGTTATATTAATTGGCTATTGCCTGAATAAAGTAGTAAAAAGTCACACACATTGTGAAGAACCCGGATATATACGAGTATTTCAGAGGCGTAACAATGCCTTTGTCAAAAAATAACAGAGCATACTTTATCGTAACATATAACATAACATAATAACATATTTTATCATCTACGGACTACGTGCTATCCATTGTGACAAAAAAATTGCAGTACTGTATATAAAATTGTAAATAACACGAATGTGGTAGGATCAGGTGTGCATGCCAGTGCATTAATGCACTAGCAGTAAGGAAACGACCTGCCAGAAATCTCTAGTCAAGTCAAATAACACACCAGGAGGGTGCCATTTTTACCAACCGGAAACGGTGCGAAATCATCGTTTTAAAGTTTCACTTTGCTTGTTTCACCAAATGTTGGATGAAATTAAAAGCAAATGAATTTATGAAGGATTTATACTAGGTAACAAGAAATTAACTGCCATTATGACGTTCCACGAAAATCGATGTGATGAATCGATGATTAAATGCGCTTCAGTCCCAAGCACGCAACCGGAACGTATACAAAATAATAGCCTATTTCAGATTGCACGTGTTTTTCACTTTCGTTCAGTAGACCGTACGCCGTAACATAGGCCGCACGTCGGCGGACCGGAAACACTTCAGATGCCTTACAGCTGCAGTGACGTACAATAACACTGAAATATCAGCCAGAAAAATTCAAAAATATTGTGTCACTGATTCTCACGAATATGCACGGTAAATCATCATAAATTGGTATAAATACCACCAGACGAAAATCATAATTACTCCTTCTATGCCACAAAATTTTTTAAAATTATAACCTGCCAGTATTACCTGCAGTTACCCAACAGTCCTGATATTCCACAATAAATTTGTTATAATAATGGCCCATTCGTTCAATAAAATTTTACAAACTATCATCGCCGTGGATGTTCGAACCTGAAGAGATCGCGCTTTTTCTGGCGTTCCACAACCAAGAAAATCTTAGGAGCAAAAGGCTGCCAGAAAGAAATTCGCTCTTCAAGACATCCCTGATCAGCAGTGTGTCGACTGGTTCAGATTCCAACGCGAGGATATCGAATTATTGCGCAAGGAGCTGCTCATCCCGGATGTGGTGCGTACTGAATCCGGGTCGATTTACGAAGGAACTGAAGCTCTGCATTTTCTCTGCGACTAGCATATCCGTGTCGCATACAGATCTGACAATAATCTTCCACAGATCCATAACGGAACTTTGTATGGCCTTTCACTGGGTTATTGAGCATATCTATTGCCACTTCATTCATCTCTTGAATACCCTGACGTGAAGGCTTTTACACGAGATGATTTGCAGGGCTTTGCTGATGCAGCCCTTGCCAAGGCCCCTGGATAACGTTTGGGGCTATATCGATGGCACTGTGCGACCGAGGTAGGCCTTCTGAGGGCAGCGTAGTCTGGAATGCACACTATCGCATGCACAGCATGATTTTCCAGTCTGTCGTTGCTCCAAATGGCATGATCGTGAATTTAGACGGTCCGTGGCCAGGAAGAAGACATGATGCAGGAATTCTCGCCGATAGTGGCCTAATGGATAAACTCCGGAGAAAATGGTGGAAATTGGGAAAAGTTTATTTTATACGGAGATCCTGCTTATCCATCAAACGAATACATTGAGGCACCGTTTCGAAGACGCATGGCGCCATTCCGGAGGATCAAGAGCAGTTCAACGAAGATATGAGCAGGTGAAGGATACGTAGAATGGGATTTAACAAATTGTGCAGTATTTTGCTTTGTCGATTTCTCGAAGAATTTAAAGTGCTGATGCAGCCAGTGGGCAAATTTTTCTGGTAGCTGCAATTTAACAAACTGTCACACCTCTCTATAAGTCAAACGGGAATTTATTTGGAGTCGATCCTCCTTCTTTAAAAGAATATCGAGGAATGTTAGGATTAATGAAGATTAATGGAAAAATGAAATAAACTTGTGCCGTTTTGTTATTCACCCGCAGAGAAAGCAAAACATGTAGTGCAAAACACAACCATCACAGCGGTACGACAAACACACACCGATACTAAATAATGAGATCCAGGAACAACATCTACAAACCACAATACGTCCAGCAGAACGGCTGGCCGGAAACGGAACGGTCCGTCATCGTCATCACGCAGTGCCGCGAACACCGGAATGTTGTGGTGACCTTTACTGGCCAGCTCGGTGTCCCAGTAGTACGGCAGAGGCCAGACGGCGCTCATGTGCACCCAGTGAGCCGCGACTAGTGTGCAGTTGAAATGAATAAAGGCTTGCTCACCGTCAATATCCTGAATGTATCCCAACCACCAAGTGTCGTCGCGGCTGCGGACAACGACAGTGTTGTGATAGCTGATTTGACTGGCCTCGGCCAACAGCGCCTCATACGGCGGCATCGCGCCCACCGCATCCACAGGGGCCTAAGGAAATCAGCAAAATAGAGAATTCATTGCGAATGATACTGTAAGGCCAGTAACGGTTTTTAATTGTAGGCCTACTATAGTAATTAGTGTACATATAATCTGCCAGACAGACTTTCAGGCGCTTTAATATAATTAGAGATACTTTTAACTTAATTTTCTCATAGAAAAACCTTGCCTCTCGTTCCATTGCTAAACGAGAAACTCACCCTGCCCACGATTTTGTACTCCGTACTTTCGTCCATGATAGAAACTGGGAAAAAGAACAGCATCGATGTCTGATAATCGGTTGTAGTATTTCCTTCAAATGTCAAGTGTTGTTCTAAAACTCCGTAATTGCTCAGTAATCAAATTACACACATTCGAAATCTTTAATTAGTGTACATCAGCGCTGGCTTTTTGTTATATTAATTGGCTATTGCCTGAATAAAGTAGTAAAAAGTCACACACATTGTGAAGAACCCGGGATATATATACGAGTATTTCAGAGGCGTAACAATGCCTTTGTCAAAAATAACAGAGCATACTTTATCGTAACATATAACATAACATAATAACATATTTTATCATCTACGGACTACGTGCTATCCATTGTAGACAAAAAATTGCAGTACTGTATATAAAATTGTAAATAACACGAATGTGGTAGGATCGTGCGTGCATGCCAGTGCATTAATGCACTAGCAGTAAGGAAACGACCTGCCAGAAATTTCCTAGTCAAGTCAAATAACGCTGCCACACCAGGAGGGTGCCATTTCTTTACCAACCGGAAACGGTGCGAAATCATCGTTTTAAAAGTTTCACTTTGCTTGTTTCCACCAAATGTTGGATGAAATTAAAAGCAAATGAATTTATGAAGGGATTTATACTAGGTAACAAGAAATTAACTGCCATTATGACGTTCCACGAAAATCTGATGTGATGAATCGATGATTAAATGCGCTTCAGTCCCAAGCACGCAACCGGAACGTATACAAAATAATGTGAAGTATGCACGGATTCCTATCGATCGAAATCAAGCGATTACTGTACTGTCTGACTCTGTACATGCATACTTACTTTCCCCGTCGAAGTACACAATTTCTATTATCGCAGACATGGTCATTCTACAATTTTAATTTGCGTAACAGTTATGTATTTACAGCATCCAAAACTGCTCCAAGTCACAATTGTAAACGGTACAAGAATTAAAAGCTGTTGAGCGCTAAAGATTTCATTGAACAGTTGTCGATACATTACCAAAAGTGCAACTGTCATATGTTACTCAGCGTATTTTATTTATCACCAGTATCACAATGCATCAGTGCGACAGCAAAGGTCACCAGCGTGAATTCAGTACTTCGTCAGAGGAATATCTCCTGCAGGTGTTTATCGTCGTTGAGCTGGCTGACGTAGCGCAGGAAGAGCGTGACGACGGTCAAGGTGGCGGCGTTGGTGGGGAAGGCGCGCAGCACCGTGGACCACAGGCCGCGGCCGAAGACGCGGAGGCCCTCCTCGCGGTAGCTGAGGAGGGCGCAGTGCGTGGCGCTGCGGTACTGGTCGTCGGCCTGGAAGCGGGACTTGACGACGTCCTGCGGGAAGCTGACCAGCCAGGAGATGATGCCGCTCAGGCCGCCGGCCAGCAGCAGCCGGCCGATGCCGATCTCGCCGGGTGGGCCGCCGGGCTCCTCGGAGGGCGGGGTCATCAGGCGCACCAGGTACTCGTAGGCGAAGAAGTAGGTGCCGAAGCCGGGCAGCTCGCGGCTGAGCGTGGCGTTGAAGCCGCGGTAGACGGCGCGCAGGCCGCGCTGGCGGTACAGCTGCCACAGGCAGTCGGAGGGCGACTTATAAAGCGGCGGCTTCTGGTGCGCCGCGAAGCCGCTCTTGATGGCCTCCATGGGGTCGGGGCCTGTATATAAGTACATGGTTATCCTAAGCTTAACTGAATGTTGCCGGTTGATTAAGGGTCCTGACCGAGGATGCCCTGGATCTGGATCTTGGTCTTGGCCAGCTCCATGGGGCAGGAGATGAGGGACTGCACGCCGCCGGCCAGCATGCCGGCCAGGAAGTGGTTGGTCAGCGAAGCGTTGTTGTTCAGGTAGCGCATGGCGTTGCCGTAGACGCCGAAGACGATGGCGTTGATGACGGCGACGCCGCACAACGGACTGCTCATGCCCTTGTACAGACCCCAGGCCGACTCGTTGCGCACGATGGTCGAGAGGCAGTGGTAGGTGCCCTTGTACAGGGGCGCCGCCGCGCTCTGCGTCTGCAGCCGCACCTTCACCGTGTCCAGCGGCTGTACAGATATGTATTCAATAAATATATTTGCTAGAGTTATTATGTTAACTTCAAGCCGTAAGATTCATTTCGCACTGAGTCGGTCACGACAACATATAGCGGCCTTTTATTAATTAGTTTTAATAACATTATGGTTCCTTTAATATGATATACAAGTATAGCATGTTTTCCGTTTCTGGTACATAGTGTCCAACAGCGTAACAAAATTAAAGCGTATTAAGCAATGAAAATGCATAGTATTATAAACCTACGTATCCGACGATGACTCCAGCGCAACCGCCCAGAGTACCCGCCACAAAATCAGCCAGAACGGGATCCATTCAGCCCGGCTGGCGTAGGAACGCGCCTGTGTGTTTTGCTATCCAAAATGTAGTGTGCCAGCGTTCTCCTTAATTCGTCCGTGAACATCAGCTGATTCCCAATAAAGTTTCCCGTGGCGTGGTAGCAAAATAATTTAGACAAAAATTTTGATTATCCGTAAGACAGATAAAGCAGGCGCTTTTTACCGGCATCGTTGATAATTGGTCCACGGTAAAATAATATGTTTATACGTAAGCATCACAAGCCGGGTGAGCTTCACCGAGAAATGTGTTTAGTTTTGATCGGCGTGTTTTCTGCACCAAGGAGCATGAGTAAGCGGCGGTGACGATGCGGTGTACTGATAAGGTCACGCACAAAATTAATCACAGGGATCAATAGCGTTCACGGAGGCCGGAGGCTAGCGTACTGTACAGCGTGTAGTACTTGTAGTTCCTGTCTGCAGACTGCAGCAGGTACAATCGTGCGATAGATCCTTGATCCTGGCCTCCTTTGACGAAAAACCGCGCGTGTGCAGCGGAATCCGGGTGCAGTAGGACTGAATTTACTTGCGGTCGGGATTGCGCAACCGCGACGATCGTGTGCAAGCAGATGATTGTTCAACGTCAAAGCAGTCGAGCCAGGTGTATAGTTTAGCGTTTGCTGTTAGTTCGCAAAAGGTAAAGACGATTTTCGGATAGCTAAGAATATTATCCTCCCACAGAATTTAACTAGATATCCACAGACAGCGGCAGGAACTAGGAAGCGACGACTAGAGTGTCTTCGTACTTATATTATAGCGACAAAACGTGCACCTGCAGTGCTGCAGCGTGTGAAATATGAATGTTGCGTTGGTGTAGTAAGAGGGACCAGCAGGCAGTGGCACTGTTGGATCTTCTGCCCATGACTACCGAGTAGCGTTTGCGCTAGCTACAATAGTACGGGGCATATACTGTGCACTGTACAGACGTGGTAGCGACAACTGACAAGGCGCAGATCGCTCCTTATCATCCACAGGAATCTCCCGTTCAGCGAGCAAAGGTCACCACGACGCGATCGCATCGGATTGCATTCAGTGATCGACGTTCAACGTCGCGTACATATTCGGTGCGGACGACCCCGGCCCAATCGCCTTTAGTGATACTTTCTATACAGTATTTTACAGTACAGTATAAACCGCCTAGTAGTGATAGACACTCGTTTATTTGTCAACGTGCCGGATAATGCGGGAGCGGTGTTGTATGTACAGTTTCCGATTGTCAAATTTTCCAGCCCGCATCCGCTGTAGAATATAGCGATCGTCGTAATATTATATATTTCCTGCACTGCATTTCGTGATGGAAAATTTAATATCATTCCTAATTTTGCTGCTCGGTAACTTACAATAATAAAATTCTGCGTATATGATGTTTAATTTTGGCCGTACTGCATGGAATATTAGTGGAAGTACAATACACGGACACCGGTGGCGATCGCTTCCGGTCTGTTTATTTATTTGACCGCACACGACACACTCAGAATTCCCAATTACGTAGGAATTAAGTCCACTTACAAGTTACAAGTTAGATGTGCACCGCTGAATATATACAAGAATAAAGCATATACCTATTATTCATAAGTCATGTCGACATTTTTAGATACGTGTGCAGCCTACGGGTGTGTCTAGAGTTATAATTATTATGCATTGTATAAGAACAAACAACGGTCGCATACGTCCGCACACGGTATGCCCATTCGGGCTATTCCCATTAAGCATTTATAGCGGCGCTGTCTGCAGGACGATGAGTGGTATCCCGCGATGCTTCGCTGTCTGTGAACTGTGTAGTATTGTACTGCACATACACACAAGCACTGGCACGTGGGATGCACCGGGAAGAGCACAATGCCGTGTATTGATTTCACGGGAACATGTGCACGTGCTGCATCTGTACTGTATGTACTGCCGCGAAAATGCAACTACAGTCACAGATACATTGTGACAGCTTGGCATGCGTGCAGGCCGGTTTATACCATACACTTCGTTTGTATAAGACACATTACTGTAATAATTATTTAATTATAACAAGTGATATTATTGTATTGCATACTCCTGTCGACAGTATAAGTACTTGTATATCCGCGGTATACATAGTTACATACTGCATAAGTATAAGTACAAGATCCCACCCGTATAATTTGTTATGGGCTTACATAACGGTTCAATACACCGCTTAGTCTTAACGTGGATAGTCCTGGATACTATACATGCACAGCTCAGCGTTGGCTAATCGCACAGCACGCCGCCTTATATTTCGCCCGGTTACGTGTACATCCGGGAGGTGCTAGTCAATAGGGATCGGGATAGGAGTCTGCAGCTGCAAAACGCGTGCCAGTCGTTGCTGCGTGTATATCCGTATTAATTACTGAATTGCATGGGTATGGGCTGGTCGTGTCTTCCTTCGTTTTGTCTGCCTGAACACCCATTAAGATTAGCAGCAGTAATTACTGTGCTTCCTAATCCTGTCGCTCTTCGTCTTCACATCCCGACAGCCTTAATCAATTCCATTATGATGGTACATTATTTTCATCGTAATAATGCGCGCACGCTTTCCTTATTTGGCATTTATTGTCGATGTGCCTTTCCCAGTTAACCGTGCAGAGCCTCAAGTGCCTGTGTATACGCAGTCGACGAAATATTAGCCTGGAAATCTCGGAATGCTAATATCGCCCTCACTGCAACGTTTGGACGTATGGACCAATCTGTTGGCTGGTGTTGCTGAGAAACACCGGTCGACCGCTGCCCAAAAGGCTCTTGCACATTATTAGTATTATCTGTCGTATATGGTAGAGATTACTATATACCAAAGCCAGACCTTAGACTTCCGGTGCGCCTTGGACTTGTGAGTCTTCGCGCGGACGTCAAGGTAAGAGCGAAGAACGAATTGTCCGCCAGCTGAAGAACGTAGCCAGCGAGCAGCTCCATATAGCACTATCTGTATATTCCGGCTGTCCCTGAAGTTTTTTATAGAACGGTCGTAATAGTGAAACGAAGTCAGCATATATGTGCAAGTAGGGTCGGCCCTCGCGATCGGGTGCTCCATGCACTGCGCGTGCATTAAGTGTTCACTGCGGAAAAGCATCTAAGCAACCATGACAACAGATTGGCTGCGGCTAGAGAAACAATGTTGCGAGCTGCTTCCGGTGGTACTCAGGGCGCAGTTCGATGGAGAGATGTGCGACTGCAGCTGTGGTCTCCGAGGCTAGGTCCGCTCTCCTAGGAAACTGAGCCGTCGCTGCGCGGTCCCTCTATCTGTACATATATATATGTACTCGATCCCTCGTACAATGAATACGCATGCAATATGCATATCAGCAGCATATGACATTGTATGCATCGAGTGCTCTGCTTGTCCAGTCTGCTGTATAATTCGCAGCCATCACCACCGCTCGGGCTGGCGCGGGGCAGCGGAACAACTTGCGGCTGCGCAGGTGCCAGAGTAGCCAGCTGTACATAGGCGTCTAGATTCGGGACCGTTACATGTACATGTACAGCCCTTTGGATTTCTCGCCGGCCGAACTTAACGAACGGACCGGCGTGTACAACTGGCAGCACGAGTCCAACTTTTGGCGCATATCCTTCCGTCCATTCACCGAAGGCCTTTGCAAGTGCCTCGATTCAGCTAGACTACGGTCTGGCCGCGGAACTCGCTGCCGCCTGGCTCGATCCTCGGCCCCTCGTCCGTTCGGCGGGGCGACGCTAGCTGGCACCGCCGTGACCGCAACAGCACCTCCAGCTCATGACCAACACCTTCGCATTACTAGCAGCCGGTGCAGCTTCCTGTAAAATACTTGCGCGCTGCCCTGCGTTCTCACGCGGTCTCTAGGTTTCTTTTGCATCAAGAAAGATACGAGCTACAAATAGGCCATGCCGGCCGCTCCAGCCGGCCCGGATCGGATATATACAGATTCAGCTTGTACGAAATGTGGCAAAATCAATCTAATTCCTTGTCGGTAATTGTAAAATATTTATCCGCATTTCCGGTATTGACTTTGTACAGTACTGCATGTTATACAACCGCGCCTTGCCGACAATTACAACCATGCGTTCTCAGCTGTACAAAACAGAATAAAGTAGCACCCAGTACGATTTTAATTACTGTATTAACAAGACTCTTCCAGTAAGCTCCCGGCTACAGATACGTGGAGCGTACTGCTGCAGTATACAGGCAGATGTTCGTATTTTTATTCTGACTGCGCCATGAGTTGTATTTAAAAAATTAATAATAGTTTTTACGGTTTCTTGAACTACAACAGCGACGTACAGTACAGTACAGATTCGTGCTCGTGTTCGTTCGTCTGTACGAGACCCGTACAAAACCCTGCGCGGAGATGTAAGGCAATTTCGGTCATGTACGTATCGGTACACAGCACTTGACGGGCCGAGCCTGTCACGTACTAACGATAAGTACTTGCACACTGATACTTGTGCGCGCTGCGCCGTACGGAATTCGTTCTTTCTTTTCCGGTGCGCTGGCGCTGCTTACAGTTAGATTTCCGGCCAAAGAATGAAGAATTCGCTGCAGATGGAGATGGGCCTACCGGCGCGGCCTGTAGCACGCCTACAAGTTGACTTGCCAGTTCAGTCAGCCCGAAGAACGCGTCGCCGCGATCTAGAACAGCCGAACGCGTATTGTACAGATACACTGGTGCAATCACTGCATTAACAGTAATATTTTAGCGTTAGCAACTTAGCGTTAACCGGCACAGCAACAATCAAGTGTCTAATATTCGACCTGCCGGATCGGATAATCGCTATCTCTTCGCCGCTCTGTTCGCTCGCCTAACCCTCGCTGCCGCTTCTGTAATATTACTGTTATACATCAGGTCCGCTTCGCATCAGCGTTAACTGCCTTCACTTGCAGTTCGGCCGGACGCCACCGCCAAACAAGTAAGTCAAGCCAACGTTGGCGTGTTGTGTTTGTTTGTCTCGCACCTTATATGTTAAGCTAACCGTAAATGCTGCTGCTAATAGCCCTATCATTCACGGTATCTGTACATATATATACGGCTATGATATAATTTATATATACGCGGCCGCAGACGACAGTCACCTGTACACCGGAAGTGCTGCTTCGACGCCGTTACGCACCTCGCGTGATCGCTTCTAATTGTTCCTTTGTAAACAGTCTTGTGGCCAACTGCCTGACTGACAAAATAGCGCGTAATTATCGAGAGCAGCTAATAAATGCGAGTCACAATCGACGCGTGTTGCGGACATGTATGTAGTGTATGTTGTGGAATTCCCGAAGCTCCCCGCGGGATCGGATAGTCCAGTGCAAAGAAAGGCTCGTCAGATGCCAGCGGAATAATCATCATTCGGGTATTGCACTGCTCGAGCCAGCCTTCTGTTTTGGGCTGGTGTATTTTTGTTCGACTTCTATGAGTCGGCGTGATATTAGCAGCTTGCAGCCCAAATGGCAGCATGAGTAAACTCAGTAAACGCCGGCCGATAGATGGAATATTACGAGTATATTCAGCAAACACTGCGCCGCATTTCTGACTTATGAGTAAGAATTAAGAAATGCTGCTGCTGATGATGATCAGCCAGTAAAGCAGAAGCGCCGTCCGCTGGCTGCAGCTGGCTGGCATTATATATGCGCTAATGTTATGATGCCTGTGCAGTATGCAGTGCACTTCCGCCGGGACCGGCTCGGCTCGGCCGCCGAGCGTTGACACAACTTCCGCTGCTAACGGTTAGAGGAGGTTTAATGCAGAAGCAAAGCAGCTGTTCCTTTTTTGACCATTCCTAGCCGTGGCTGCTTTCTGCCGTTCTGCTGCTGAGGGCGACGTCATCGCGAGACATAAATGCATAACCAGTGATATGCCGCTAAATATAGATATAGTATACACTGTACAGCCGGCCTGACGTGCTGCATGTTTGGCGATAATTCGATATGTGTACATAATTGAACTGTGTATACTTTGCATAGAAGTATAATATGCAGGGAAGACAGTCCGCTGTATATTATATATAATCCACTGTGGGAGAGCATTATTTGCTGCGGCAGTCCGAGTAGCTGTCGATCTTCCGATCGAGGAAGAGGAATTCTCAGATATACATACAGTGGCAGCAGCAACCCGCAGAAATATACGACGATAGGCGTGTTTAGACGCGCAACGTTTATTGCCGAATGTTGGCCGGGTGCTTTTAATTCAAACAAACCTATTTGTTGACATCTTGTCAGCTGCTCTGACTCACGACTGCAATCACTTCTCCACGAACATTTCGTCATTGTTTCTTCAAATAATGCTACAGGCACCGACAATTAATTACAGCGAAATTCCGAGGATATAAATTACAGTGCATTAATAACAGAAGCGTTATTCCACTGTAATTTAAATTCCCAGGTTATCCCAATTACATTGTAATTTAATTTCCGGAATGCTTTAATTTGGTCAATAAACGAGGAACAATTCGGGGTTAAGTACGACAGTAACTAATGACGTCGTTCCGGCTGGGAACGATCAACAACAGACCGAGGCTGATTCAGCAGGACTCGTGTATTCCACTGCCGCAAACAATTCAATCGGTAAATATGTGTTTATTTGGAATTTTTAGTGGCATAAGTCGTTGTGTTAGTGGAATGCCGGAAGGTGCAGCCTCCCGTTGATTACATTGCTGAGTGGTCACACGTATCAATCGGGTTATAATCGTTACTTTATTAAAACGCATTTGCGCCCGCCGCGAGGCAGCATTAATGCATTTATGGAGGACAGCGCGGCAGGGCTTGATGACCGCAAAGACTTTATTAATGTTTAAATGTGGCAGCAGCACCGTTTAACTGGTGGCCTATTTGTTTTCATCCATTTATTGGATATTACTTTCACGATGTGTCGTTTTCTACGAAATTATTCGGATAAAAAGCAATACAGACAGAAAAATTAAACACACGCCGATTTTGCGCAACAAGCAAAGGAGTTCTGTATTAAAAATGTTTTATTTTATTATCAGCAATATAATACTGCTTCTTTACATTGAATTCTTAAAATGTTTTCTGCTCACTAAGTTCAGTTTGCTTATTCGAACGGCTACCGGCAATCCGTGCACGTAATAGTTTATCGTCCACTTCAGCGCTCTTATCAGCTGAAAACGCTGTGTTTGTAAACCAAAATGCGCTCAGCGCTGTTTATGGCAAAAATTGGAAAGCATCCAAAATTTTCAAAGCACACTTATTGCTACTATCCACATCGTTCAGACAACCGGCAGATGATTAATAATTTCATAATAATTATTGACGTGAGTAGCGAAAGCGCGCTGCATTCCCACTGTGGCAAAGCGTGGGAATAACCGTGCGCCTTATTATCCTACGGCCGCTCTTCTACCTCCCCGTGAGCGCAGTTGTGATTGTGAATTAAAGAAAAGCCAAAGTTACCGAAAATTAATTTGTTCCTTATACTGGCGTTGACTTGTAGCGTTGCGAACTGCTGACAACAGCCGAATGCAGAAAATCAGCTGATGCCGGCGCGATTTCCGCTGGGTCGCCGTTACTCGGCAGCAGTGTGTTACAAGGTCAAACAGTCGCTCCCCGCTTTTGTTCCGGTAGCAACGACGCTGCTTTTGTTCAGCAGAAATCGCCGGCAACATCAACATCAGCATTAGGCAGTGTTTTGAGCATACAGAGCGCAACGCTACCGGTTGACGTCTAGCTGCGCCGTCAAATTGCAAACTGCGTCGACGCATAACAATCGCGCTAACTGCCGTTTAGAGAATTGGAGCTGTGTGTTTTTTGAGTGGCGCGACTTGATGAGGCTGGCCAGTCGATTAAAAAGCAATTGTGCCGTTTACGGCGAGTACGTGCTCGAGGAGCATTCGGGATGGGGAGCTGGGATGTCTAATAACCGGCGGCGATGTGCATATATATGTCGTATATACAGCTGAATCGCGGCTGATTGCAGCGGCGCTGTCGTTGTTGTGCCGGCTCATTAGGGCGACCGACGGGAGAGGATCCCGATCGCCATCAGTGATAGGATAATGGGCGAATTAATTGTTCAAGTGTACGGCTGCGCCCTCCTGATAATGATGGGTAGACAGAGAGATGCGACGTGCCGGATCGTGGCGCAGTGCAATGTACACGACCGAAGGGAGCAACTGCCGAGACGACTGACGACAATTCCCAGCCTGCGCCTACATATGTCGCCGGTTGATTGTCGACCCTTGCTTTCCGCTTCCCTGCCTGCGTCTTCCAGCAGAGCAGATGCCGGGAAGAGAAAAAAAAGGAACAAACGGAAGACAGGCCAATTAAAAAGACATCCGCGCAGCGTCCGAACGGATGCATATGCCGGCCCGCGTTCGGCGCTGGCGTTGGGCGCAGCGATGCCGCATTAGCCGGGTCAAACGCTGCATTACTGAGCCGTGCGCCCGGGTCCCGTCGGGCCGCTGCCGGCGCGTCCCTGGTGACCTGCCCCGGCCACGGGAGCAGATATAGGCCCGACCTTGAAAGCATTTGTGTACATATAATATACAGTCGGATCAATAGTGCCGAGGAAGGCGCATTAATGTAGAGTGCACGATGAATAATTCATCGGCTTGATTTTGCTTTTTATTGCCTGTACATGGGCGCACAAGTGGCCGCCAGCGGAAGTCCCGGAGGGAGCACGCTGGCCGTGACCTTTCGCGGTTCCTGCTGAACGGGCAGTGTGTCTGTATATGCGCTGATCGAGTGCGATGCGCATGGCCGGCCTTTGCGTGTGATCTAAGAGGACGCCTAATGTACACATGCACTTCCGGTGGCAGCTGTGCCAACGCAGCAGAAGGCGCTGCACGCCAAGATGCCGAGGCAGGCAGGGTGCGCTGTGTTACAGCATAATACACACATCGGAGGAGAGAATAACAATTTGCCTACATGATGATTTACTGGCAAGCGCCTAGCTGGGCAGTGGCAGTCCGCATGCAACGGCCGTCTTAACGGCTAAGACGCTGCGATCATTAAATTCTTGACGCACTTCGCGGCACGCCATGCACATTTGCCGAATAAATCACGGGCCTTCGTGTTTTGCGCATATTGCACTATGAAGCTATATACATACGCAGATATCTCGATGCGGATGCGGCGTGGGCGACGCCGGTTCCGCTGAGCTGGCTTCCGTTTATTTAATTTATCAATGCGCTGCTTATGCCATAGTTTAACTATGCTGTATATGCAGTGTATACTTAATAACATACGGCATATAGACAACTACAGCACTGGTACCTTCGCGTAAAGTGCTGCAATAAAAGTGGCTGCTTTCGTGGCAGCGCTGCTCTGGCTGCAGCACTAGCCGATGTAGACAGCCGGAAATGAGAAAGTCGGCCCATTGATCAGCTGTGGGCGGATGCGATCGGAAGAGAAGGTCCGGGATATACGTTGGCGGCAGATGTCGCATTCCCAGCGCTGCGCTAAACGTTCAACCTTCTGCTAGCTTATATAGCCAGACAGTAGAGTTTTCTTTTTTCCATCCTTGTTGGCTGTGTGCAGACTTGCGCGTTGCTGTCTTACTGTTCTTCCCGTCGCGATTCTCACCGGTAATTGCAGTGGAGATTTAATTAACGTTCACGAGAGTAAGCTGCACTTCTTAGTCGTCTCCATCAAGGCGTCTGCTAAAACAGTAGTAGTGCGTTACGTTGATCACGAGCCTGGTGCCACGCCCAGTGCGTTGACCGTTGGCTCCTTTACGTAACTGCACATTCTCCAAATCGTTTCCGGGAAGGCCAGGGCTGCTCCCATTTTTAGCGTGCTGGATAAGAATTTTCTGCTGCCGGACTTGTTTTACCACACTTACGAATTATCACTGATTACTAATCTGCTATTTACAGCCAGCAGGCTCGGTTCCGCTTTATATTAATTATTTATTTAGGGGCGACGCTGTACATGTACATGCCATGATCAACCCTGGCTGTTTTCGTTTAGGTTGCATTTAGCGAGGGGAGTGGATTATCGTGGATAATATATACATTTTGTTGATTGCACCTGAATCCGGGCGAGAATGACGGCGGACGTGGTGGACGTGGGACAGCCGTGCATCGCCTGCGGCGACAAGTGCCCGGGCTACCAGCCGCAGGAGTGGAAGAAGTTCTGCGCCAACTGCAAGTGCCCGCGCATGGGCCACGAGGTCTACATCCAAGGTCAGCTTCTTTATGCGCTACATATACACAACTCTGCTTACTGTGCTTTCGAGGTTGCAACTTCCGCTGCTTGCTGACGTCATATGCCAGTCACGCTTCTGCTTGGAATATTCTTGCAAAATGTTATGCTTACTATACATACATATATGCTCGAATATACCGGGTTACGGGTATATTGTTATACAGGCTCGTTGGCGGTGAACGAGCGCGTGCCGATCAAGCTGCCGGACGCGATGCGCATGGTGTCGACGGCCAAGTCCAACTACGTGCCGGCCAAGTACATCTGGGCGCCGGTGGGCCTGCCGCGCGAGAAGATCGAGGAGTTCTTCAAGTCCATCCCCGACGAGAAGAAGCCCATGAAGAACAGTCCGGGCGAGGTCTACTGGCACCAGCAGCTCATCCAGCAGTTCCCGCCCCAGGTGGGCAGTTGTTGATTGCCCTTTAACAACGTAGACTGACGATACACTTAACTGCGTCCAACAGGACTTTAGCCTGGAGGAGTGCCACTTCATCGACGAGAGCCACAAAAAGTCCTACGAGGAGTTCGTGCAGACGCGCAACGAGCACTGCCTGGACCGCGGCTACGTGCGCGACATCCTGCCGGACACCAGCACGTGCCGGCACTGCAAGGGCGTCATCCACAAGGGCTCGGTGGTGGTGGTGGCGCCCAAGTGCGGCGAGACGGCCTACTACCATCCCGGCTGCTTCGTCTGCTCCACCTGCAACGAGCTCCTCGTCGAGCTGGTCTACTGCGTCGGCCCGCCCACCGACGAGAACAACGGTACATCCACAATTACGCAATATGTATTTATATATAAACATGTATCGCACCTGTATATACGAATACGGTACTGTGTATAAACAACGATGCGTACGAAAGGCCAATATATGTACACATATAAAAAGTGACCTTTGCTGCATCCAATGCCTGTCGTTTTCTACGCAGCTGCCAAAATCTTCTGTGAGCGGCATTTCGCCGAGCAGGCCAAGCCGCGGTGCGCCGCCTGCGAGGAGCTGATCTTTGCCGGGGAATACACACGGGTAAGGTGACCTTTCCTATCTGTAGTGACAGTGCTGATAAAATGCTAATACATATATGGATGCACAGGCGATGAACCGCGACTGGCACGCCAACCACTTCACCTGCAGCAGCTGCGTGCAGCCGCTGACCGGCAAGCGCTACGTGCTGCGCGACGGCAACCCGGTGTGCCTCAAGTGCTACGAAGACAACTTCGCCAACACCTGCTCCGACTGCCACAAGCCCATCGGCATCGAGGGCCGCGACCTGGCCTACAAGGAGCGCCACTGGCACGAGGCCTGCTTTCTGTGCGCGCTGTGCAAGATGAGTCTGGTGGACAAGGCCTTCGGCACGAAGGACGAGAAGATCTACTGCGGCAACTGCTACGACACCTCCTTCGGCCAGAAGTGCGACGGCTGCGGCGAGATATTCCGGGTACGCTCAACTTTTAATTGGTGACCTTTGCCAAAAGTGCGACTGTATTGAAGCACGCTTAACTGTTCCCACAGGCCGGCACGAAGAAGCTGGAGTACAAGGGGCGTCAGTGGCACGAGAAGTGCTTCGTCTGCGTCTCCTGCAAGCACGCCATCGGGACGGGCTCCTTCGTGCCCAAGGACAATGAGATCTACTGCGGCCGCTGTTACGAGGAGAAGTTTGCGCTCCGCTGCTCAAAATGCTCAGGCAAGTACTTACTCAGCGTTCAGCGGTGTATTTGGTTAAAAGGTCACCGTTTATATATGAACATACTGCCGCGGTTTAATTAATTATAAAGGTCACCGCCGTATGTATAATAGTATGCATATACAGTAATGTAATAAACGGTTTAAGTTTGGTCAAAGGTCATCATCGGCCGGGGCGTACATTTACAGAGACATACAGTAATCGTGTCCGTGTAATTGATTGCAGAGGTGATAGCGACGAACGGCATCACGTACAAGAACGCGCCGTACCACAAGGAGTGCTTCCTGTGCAGCAACTGCAACACGACGCTGGCCGGCCAGAAGTTCACGGTGAAGGAGGACAAGCCGTACTGCGCGACCTGCTACGCGCAGCTCTTCGCCAAGCGCTGCACGGCCTGCCAGCAGCCCATCATCGGGCAGGCCGGCGGCAGCACCAAGTTCATCTCCTTCGAGAACCGGCACTGGCACAACGAGTGCTTCCTCTGCTCGCTGTGCCAGCAGTCGCTGGTCGGCAAGGGCTTCATCACCGACGAGGAGAACATCATCTGCCCCGACTGCGCCAAGACCAAGTTCTAGGCCGGTCCGCGTCCATCGCTCCACCGGAATGTAACCGGCACCGGAAGGAATGATGTCATTATTATATCTTTAACCCGACTCCTGCGGCCGTGCAATCGTCATACTACCGGCAACACACTGGCCGCCGCTGCAGCATTAATCACACTCTAGTCCCGCCATCCGTAAAGGCAATCAACGCGTCACCTTGGGGCGCATGCGCCTGCTCCCGCTGGATATACTTATGCACTCGATGGATACATATATAGACAATATCCTAATCTGAACCTCTTCAAACTACAATGTGCCAAAACTATTCGTACTAACCTGTTCTGCATCAATATTTAATTAGCCTATCTGCGTTTTTTATTATGTCCGCCTTGAGCGCGGTCTCTGTTAAATAGATATTATTATGATACTTGCTTGCCTAGCTACAGATTTACACAGGCGCCTTAATATTGTGTAGATTGAATCTGCATCCAGTAATCAGCGTGCATTTACTTACTTGCAATTGTGCATTAGAATAAAGGAAACGTACCGAACCAAACAGAGAAAAGCTCCTTGGCAGACTTATTTGCCTTAAAGTTATTATCGTCATGATTATAGAAGCCTTTGCCTTACGAAGTTGTCAAAGTGGCTCACATTTGGAAAGCACACTGCTTTTTTTCCATCAAGTGGCTGCACGTTCACAAAAAAAAAACTGTGTTCAATATGCTCCGATGATCCTAGATATGTAAGTATGTTGTTCTTACCCATTTTAAACTAGCGCATTTCCCACAATCACCTGCTGATGATATCAAGACTTTATCGGCTTATTGATGTGGATACATCCCTAAATCAGAAATGTAGCGAACCATATCTGGATGAACTTCAGAGCTTCACCCGCAAATTAAAAGCCGCAGTAACCCCATTTGCTGTCTGAAACATTATGTTAACACCACAGTACTTACTACATTTTGTCGGTTTTAACAGCCGGTGCTAATTAGTAATCGATATGGAACGTATGCGATACTAGTACGGTGCTGGGTACGTGAGTACTGAGTAGTACTATTGTATAATATATATTAGTACTTAATATAATTTTAGTACGCAGTTTTGCTCGTCGCGTATACGATGTTGTTATATAACCACTTTTTAAACCTTTTGCTTCGGGAGGAGGCTGAATGAAGTGTAGATGTGCTGAAAATAATAATGTACTGCGTGATTTAGCATTTAACCACTGTTTATTTGTGTAACCCATAAAAACGTCTCGTTTTTAGAAGATTTAATAATTACCATATTATTTAATGCGCAGTCACCTTAGTAACGTGAAAGCAGTTCTATGAAGCTTGCCAGATATTATAATTATTATATACTTGCTAAAAATAAATCAGCTGACTTAAAAACATCCATATCGTTGAAGCAACTCCCCTTGATCTATCTTTGATTCCTGCTCAAGGTAGGTTAAAAAATTACCCGCATGACTACGGTGCCTGACGCCCGCGGTATCAGTAGTTTTAGCGTTTCGTCACCGACACCGAAGACGATAATAACTGGTCGCATTACATGATGTACTCGTAATTCTGATATTCTCTTTGGAACTATGTTATTTGTGTTGCTATATAAATGTTATACTTTGTGGAATTGTTCTTCTTGTTAAGATCACACTTCGTCGCATCATGAGGTCTTTCGTAATGACCTTAAAATTGTTGCGTTTATGCGTCACACGTATCTGTACAGGGTGGACATGTTGTTGCACATCTGTGTTTTGCAGTTTTCCATCGAAAAAAAAGCCAGTATGGACGCGAGACGCATAGCACTACTGCTGCTTCTGTCTTGTGATCATATTATTCTTAACGAAACTTGCCCTTCCAAACCGAGTACTGGGCGTATGAACATTGTAGCACAAGCAGAAATTCTCCTTAAAGAGCTGGAAAAATGCGGAAACGTTACTGGTTGGTAGCACTACGTAGTGGCAGACTGCAGTTGACACCAGACTCGCATTTAAAATGTTAACATAAAGAATCCAGTAGGTCGTGCGAAAAGTGCGGAGCTGGGATATTTTGTTGCGCAGTTAGATCCTTGTTTATTCTATCGCTGTTCTATTCTGTTTTCTTATGGCGTCCATGGTAATAAGCTGATGACTGACCACTGGATCTCAAAAAAATAAAATTAGCTAAAGGTCAAGAGGTAAATGTTACTGGCATAATTATATAAAAATTGAGAGGCTTCTGTTGCATTTTAAATTAATTAATTTGGACGAGTAGAAGCTGAGATCATTTGCCGGGAAGGAAAGGGGCCGAAATCCTGGCACAGATAAATTGTCGATTGTTAGTATTCATATATATAATAACCAGAGATGGTGTGTAGGTGAAAGTAATTATGTGACTTTAATTGTTGTTTGTTTGGTTATTTACGGAATTGCTTTTTATTAATGTTGTTGATTTCAGTGCTGCGCGCATTCGTGTCTGCCGTAAGAAACCGTACGCGTCACAGGATCAAACTACCGCAGTTAACTCCGGTAGCGGCCGACCCCCATGCTTCTGTCCAGCGGCCATTTATCGGCGATACCAGCAGCCTGCCCTGTGTGCTGGGCATGTCCGCGGATACCGACTACGTGTGGAAACACAACGACCACTTGGTGGATCCCAAGCAGAGCGCGACCTCCATCGGTCCACTGCACTACTCTCACGCCCGCAGCAGTGACCTCGTATTCCTCCTCCTTCGCAATATCTCCTACGCAGCTACGGGCCGGATCGAGTGTCTGCAGCGCTGTGGCGATGCGTGGTGCTTGCAGAAAGAGTACCTCTTGCTACCGCAGCCCCGAGCGGTCGGCGAGGTCTTCCGGCAGCCCCTGCCGTCCCTTACCGTGCCCCGCTTCACGCCCGTGACCTTTACATGCTCCCTGCAGTTTGCCTGTAGTGCCGAGCCACAGCAGCATTTTACTTGGATGTATGCCGGTACACTGATGAGTGAAGCGATGCCGCAGGACCATTATCTGCGCAGTATCACCGGCTGCCAAATGAATGAAGAGCGCACGCTTGCGGCTAACAGCAGTGCCATCAACGTCCAGCCAGCCGGCACCGGTAGCCGCTACTGCCAGTCTGATCTCACTCTGACGGTCCACCGGGGCGCACAGCATGCAGGCGGTCGCGTGGAGTGCTGGGCGAGGGCTGACCCCACCAGCCAGGACTGGTTCTCCCAAGATGCCACACTTTCTTTCGTTTAAGTTTTACGTGTATAATATTGTACCGGCATTCGTAACAGTAACTGTCTTAGTATGGTACACGCCTTATCAGTTTATCATGTCCACTATTCTGCATACAGTATATATATATATATATATATATATATATATATATATATATATATGTATATGTATATACAAGAAACAGCCTCGGCTTCGCCTCCGCGTTTCTTGTGGTCCCCAGTCTACGGCCGGTTTATTCAAATGATTTCGATCAGCTGTTTAGTTAACATCTTACTTCCTTCAGCAAAACAAAACGGTCCGAAAGTAGCTCTAAAACGTATATAGGATAATAAGTGAATTTACGGCTTTTGTGCACTCATATGCATTCACTTCGACTCAGAAGGGAATCTTTGTTAAATTTTCCATCCCGACTCTGAGTCTACGAAGTAGAAAATTTCAACGTAAAGAACGCTTGCAATAGATGCTGATGGTAGTTCGGTCATTCCATCACCAAGCGGGCTGTGTGCTCTGGACAGTAACGGTAGTTCGGTCACTCGTTCACCTAGCGGACTGTGTGCTCTGGACTGTGCTCAGATAATGGAAACGGTTTTTGCTGATTCTGTACGGGAAAGCTGGGTTCGTGTATCCCTTTTTTTGTAATAATAGAGATCTCGAATGTAGATACCGTATTACTATTCCGTATTCTACGGAAAAATTTACGGACTGTATAAGTGTATATGCTATGAAATTACTAACGAAAAGGGCAAATCTTTGAACCGAACTACATGAATTTACCGATTTTTTAAGCCATGGGATAAGGAGAAATGGCGAAAGGTCTAGGAGAAGATGTTGGCTAGAATAACTGCAAAATTCGTTTTCAAAATTTAAATCAAAATGTGAACATGTCGGATTTGCAGTGTGTTACAGTAAATGTTTCCACCTTCCGCATTTTCCCGGCCTTGTAAAAACTTTTGATTTTCAGAGGCGTAATCTATTTTAATTAAATGCGGTAAAGCAAAGTCATATAAAGATAAATCGTCATGATTTGTAAGACTGGCTGTTTGCATCTAGAATTTCGCATCCAGTCTTTCATCCGTCCAAACCGAAGTGCGGGTCCTGGGGGAATCCAGTGATGATTAGTAGTCTGGTAGCCTGTGGAAAGAGGAAAAATTAGTACATGTCGAAAACAAACAAGTAATGTACAAAACCGTTTTCTTTACCGTCTGTTGCCGGCGGCTTCTGCACCTTTCGATGATGCCGGATTTGGGTTTGGCGTAGTGGAAACCGTGGCGGTAATACGCCAAGGTACCCAAGATGCCAAACCCAAATCCAGACAAGCCAAACACCGCTCCATTGGAGCGCTCCATTGAAGCGCACAGCTACAAACTATCATTCGGCTTTAATGTAGCTCCATTGTGAAGCTACATTAAAGCCGAATGATATTTTGTAGCTGTCCTCCAGTCCTCCTGCTTTTGTCGGTTCTCCTCCTGGTTTTTTAAGACACTTTGCAGGAAACAGATGACGAGCGCATCGTGCTCTGTTGGTGTACAGTACTGCAGATACGGCGGCAGCGGACCACTGTTAATCGGCACGGACATTGTTGTCAGGCCGTCAAAACTGGAGGACCCATTGCTAAGGGAAACATAAAATTTAATAGCGTAAAAGCCAAAAGAGTGGTCAAAAATTTTTGCATCTTAAAAATGAACAGCTAATCAATGAGAAAAATGAAATTAAATGACTGCGAGGAAGTGCACGAGTGAGAGCTCCTTTTAACGGAGCCAGACTGAGCGATGTTGCATGACTAAGCGACAAAACGTCGCTCATTGGTTGTTTTTTTGGACCACCACAATCTGTCTGGAACTTTCTAATTTTTGACATGTTTTACTGAGTGGAAGAGTTCTGCGCCAACTGCAAGTGCCCGCGCATGGGCCACGAGGTCTACTTCAAGGTCGGTACTAATTTTCCATTTCTAAGGCACAGCTATCTGTAACTAGAGTAGTGCTGCTCACTGACGTCATACAATATATTTAACTACAGTAATCATAATTCATAGCAACTTACCGGTATCATCTATCACATGCACATGCATCACTGCGTGCTGCCAAAATAGTTTTAATTTACGCTGTATGCTGACATTAATATTGTGAGCTGCTGGAAAAGCATCCAGATATATATGAAGGAGTAGAAATTATTAATAGTAACACAATTAAAGAATTTATTGGCGAACGAACTAACCGTATCTCTGTAGAGAATCACCAATAGGCAATAGTGACTGCGAATGAACGCGTGCCGGCGTAGAGAAGCAGTCACTGCGGCAACTGCTACGAGACCTCCTTCGGCCAGAAGTGCGACGGCTGCGGCGAGATATTCCAGGTGTATTTAATGGGTGACCTTTGCAAAAAGTGCGGCTATATTGTTGCACGTTTTAACTGTCTATGCAGGCCGGCACGAAGAAGCTGGAGTACAAGGGGCGTCAGTGGCACGAGAAGTGCTTCGTCTGCGTCTCCTGCAAGCACGCCATCGGCACGGGCTCCTTCGTGCCCAAGGACAATGAGATCTACTGCGGCCGCTGCTACGAGGAGAAGTTTGCGCTCCGCTGCTCAAAATGCATGATGCAGCCATCCAACAAGCGGGCCGGGTTTGTAAGGGTGAAGCTGTCATAAAATTAATACAAAAATATGCCATCGAAATATATACTAATAAATGTAAAGAACGGGAAAATCGGTCAGTCGGTCTGCAAAGTGTTGCATTATTTATTTACTGTCTAGCAAAGAGTACCTACCGATTTAAGGAGTATACAACATCCTAATCCACACGAACGACAGCTTGCCAGAAACACTATAAAGCGAAACATTTATCTTTATTGTTTTATCATTTATGTATCGCATAGTCATTGCGTTTAGATACATGCCACAGCAGAACAATTCTATTATATATCTGAATTAGAACTGGTATCGAGCTAGATCGATCGTTGATTACGAAGGATGCAGAGTTATCATTTCGTCGCTTTTGATCACAGATTTGCCACTGAAATAGGATGGCTAACCGCCAACTGCACAAGAAAACTATTTAGTATCCGTCTGATACACATGTATATGCTACGTAGCATATACATGTGTATCAGACGGATATTATACGTCACGTGTACGTGACTGACATCTGCAGTTATCATAATTATTATATATGTAAATTTTATATGCGTATTCGTCAGCACTTTACAAGCCGCGCGCGGTAGATCGTTCCGTATGAGCTCACATTAACGAAGGCAAAAAGAAAGCGGTAAAATATACCAATAATATCAGATATGTATATAGTGTAGCAAAGTCGAAAATGTCCCTTTCCGTGACCTTATATTCTACGTAATGACTGCCGGCGAACAGTATTATTCAGCATTACCGGCCTGTTCGAGAAATAACTGCTTTTGATCACCGTTAAATTATTTTACAGTTCAACGAAGAGGAAATGCCGCTTCTGTTGGTACCGTGGAAAATATTGTTTTGTTTAAAAGTAACTGACCCTTAATATAATACTGTTATCGCGTTACTGGAAACACATTTCAATAATAAATAAAACATTCAGCGAATAAACTGGATGATTAAATGGTAAACTGCTATAAACTGGTATCGCTGAGCGTGAACCGAATTTTACTTACGTCTTTGGATGATTTTAACGGTTTTGTCAGAAACTGTTCTCGCTGTTAACCTGCGCAAAAGGATGGCAAACCGGATGATGCGTATGTTCGTGATTGGTGGGAGCGTTTTTGTCAGGACGTGTGACAACAATTTAACCGTTGTATATTCAAACGTTGCATTTTACTCTGTGGGCATACAAATTGTAACATGCAAAGTGCGTACAAATACAGTATATACCGTATTAAAAGAAAGATCCGCTTTCGCTTATGACCGTATGCAAGTCCCTGAAAGCCTGTGATGCTGTTCGGACCACGAAAGGTCGCTCGTACCCGTGTTTTCCATGCATACACCTGGCTATTATATCACTTAATCTTAACGTATGAGAATTTATTGCTGTACCTGATCAAGCATCAGTCACGATTTCTCCATCGTTGAACACATTTCGATAGAGCCACGGTGCTCAAAACACCCGCAATAAGGCTAATTGAAACAGCGGCGGTGTAAGCAGGAAAAGTACAGTGAGGTCGACTTTGGATTTACTGTTATAAGTCCCCGGTCCACTTCGCCGTCCTTTTCCTGCTTACGGGTCAGAGTGAGGAGTAAGTGGTTGTCATGTTCGAACATGACAGCCAATGTGATGGACATGCTTGCCAATTTGACAAAGAACCAGGAATTCCTGGTTCCTGGTTCTTGTCACACCGGCAAGCATGTCCATAATCAGGAGACTGCATGCAGAAGAATAATAAGCGCCAAGATGAACTGGGTCGGTCGCGTTAGCGGCCGTGCTCATAGGTCGAGCATGCGCTCCGGTGAAAAGATTTACAAAGAGACGGAAGAAAAACAGAAAAAATTGCATTTTTGCGCGCGGTGACTAACTGTAAGAAGGAAGTTCCACTGCATGAACAGTGAAACTTCACAGTTCCAAGCTATTATAACTGCGAAGCGACAACTGAGCGACAGAATTAACATCGCTCATCCAGCAAGTTTTTTTAGCTTGTGGTTGCTCGAAACCACCACAATCCGTATCAATTCCCAGTGCAATTTCTAGAAACGAAATCAAGCCCGTTCGGGGCACGAAACATGCTGGCCTATCCGGAACATTTTCTGTTCCAGGACAATGGCATTTCCGGGCCAACCTATTGTGGGCCAGATCTGGTTCAGTTTCGTGGGAAGAACTTGCCCAGAGTGGTGCTGAAATATTCTGGCCCAAAAAAATCATAGTTCTGGCCCACAAATAAAGTTTTCTTTATCTGGATATTTTTAATTCAGGTAGCGAACAAAATCTAGCGATGTCAGCTACAAAATTCCTGTTGATTCAGAAGCCATGATAACTGACCGGCAGTATGTACATGTATGCAATGTACATATTGTATTACGTACGTAAAATGTCGTATATCCGGTCCGAATAGAGCCTAGTAATAATAAGTAATAATAATATTATTACTTATTATTGCGGAGCTCTATTATGAATTATTATTACATTATAATAAAATATAATAATAATTCATAACTGCTTTAAACTGACACAACGCGCTGCAGTCACTGCATATAATAATATCTATATTATATTATTTGAAAGGAATTTATGAGCATTGTTCTATAAATCCAAAGTTGAAAACTACTACTACATCAACAAAATTAATCATGCAGGTAATTAAAGAAATATTATTGTAAATTGTAATACAATTTACTGAAACAATTTGCTGGACCATTTGGAAACTGCCAGCCGGGGTAGTTCGCTTTTCCCGCGCTTGGAGGCGGTACTGCCGTTGCTCTAGATGCACCATACTGTACTTATTGCACATCACTGTGCTGGAACCGCAAGGTATCTTTCCAACAGACAGTAAGCGACCAGACGGAGTTACCTTGACACCATGGGATAGAGGACGAATGCTGGCATGGGATGCTACTTGCGTCAACACAATGGCCATATCGCATATTATTGCGACATCCGCACGAGCGGGAGCAGCAGCAGCACAGGCCGAACAGGGCAAGATCGAGAAATATCGCGATATCGGCCAAGAGTACTGGTTCCGTCCTCTGGGTTTTGAAACGCTCGGGCCGCCCGGACCGGAAGCTGCCCGCACGATAACGGAATTTGGACAGCTCATACAACAAGAAACTGGCGAAAAACGTGCCACGGAATACCTTCGCCAACGGATCAGCATTGAAATTCAACGAGGAAATGCGGCATCGATCATGGGGACAGCGCCATTGGGAGCAAATTTAGATCAAATTTTCTCTGTAATTAGGCCGCCCCTCTCGATTGATGCTTAATAAGAGTGATTGCCTTCTAAGTTACTGTAAATGCTTTGGTGAGGAAAAATAAAAGTAAGTACATCACTGTCAAAGACTTATAAGTACTGACATTGTTGGCTTCTGGCTATTGCAAACTTTTAAACAATAAACAGCTCTTCTTCTACTTTGATTTTATTTTGTTCATGTTCTACTTAATTGTTGTAATCACGAAGGCATTTTTGTGCATTTCAAACTTGTAACGACTGCTTCTGGGAATTTGTTAAGAGCGCTGTCTTGACGCTGTAATTTCGTGCAGTTCAGCCTTTACTGTTCCAACGGTTCGTGTAGTTTGCCAGCTCTCGACTTGCGTCGGTTCTCTGATCGTCAAAAACCTCTTTTCCACTGAGAAACCGCCTTGTCGAAACCTTCTACGGCTTAGGATCAAGCAGAAATGTTCCGAAAGATGTGGAAATTAATACAAATTAGAACAGGATGATCCCGTGCAGGTGCGTGCGTAGCGTTAAAAGTACTTTGAATAGTGAATACGGTAATATTATCAGTATATGCAAACAGCAGAAATACGCGCATAGTTTATTTGCACTGGGAAACTATTTATACTAAATACTGATGGGAACTATTTATACTAAATTTATACTGATGGGACACGTAACTACAACGCGTACTTAACTACGTACTGCTGTTGTTTTATTTTTTAATTAATTATTGTCGCAGCTTATTGTGGATAATTTTTTTCGCGTGTGTGAGAATTGCAATTTGTGGAAAAAGTCCTATTTGTTTGTAGTCCATTTTTGTTATTTTCAAACTGCAATAAATTATTGATTTTAAGTGTTAAAATGATTATTTTATTGACTAATGAGTGGATTAATAAGTATAATAATTGCAGGATTTTTCTCAGAAATTCCCCATTTCCCGATGAACATTATTCAAGAACGCCTGCCCACAGCCAGCACGCGCATGAACCCATTGAAGCTGCCGAATATTTCCAACAAGAAGTTGCGAGAAAAACTGTATGCCATCGGGTCGGAGGCGCCTTCGAAGAGAGCTGATGCGAATGTTAATTACGAAATTATTGAGCCGAAATACTGAGAAATGATTGTACACATATATACGCTGTGCATCTTGTTTTTTACATGTTTATGACGTGCTTAACGCAGCCCTGTGATCAGTGCATGTGATGCGCTACATGATCATTATGTTATATAAATGTTAATAAAGCATACTAATTGTATATCACTGAATAATAAAGCTAAGTCGTGTTAAGGCGTTGGTTTAAGTAAATATAAAATAAAAAAGCTACTGCAAACCAAAGTCAGTTAATGTATGGACTGGGCCTGAATGCTGTTACATATCGTGTTTAGATAGGCCCAGGCGGAACCAGAACTTGCTCAGAGTGGGTCTACAAATAGGCCTTCCGCCCGTATGCCGGTAGGCCTGAGCTCTCTGGCCCGCACAATGGCACCTCGGACTTGGTTTCTGGTCCCGAACAGGGTAGTTTGACAGGCCCAAACAACCCCTGTTCGGGTTTCAGATTAGCACTGGGAAGTCTGTCACTAGTTGATTGGTTACGCTTAAATCTGGCTTCCGGTTATCATGATCTTTAGACATTTTGTTCACATGTATATATGTATATTTATAGATCGTGCAACAAGAAATGCGTTCTTTTCCGTTTAGCGGAATTGGTTCATTCGTTCAGAAGGGACAATTATAGCAACAGATTCCATGGGGATTGCGGCGGTTCGATCTGACTTAATCTAAAAAATGTTCTGCTGGATGAGCCATGTTCTGTCGCTCAGCTATCGATTGACAGTTTCGCTGTTTCTAGAAACAGCGGGTGCTATTTTCACACCCAGTACACCGGATCCGCCTGCTCCCAATCCTGTCTCCGAGTCAGACAGTTTACCACTTGCCCTCCGCTGGGAAAGTTATCGGTGGCTGTACAGATACGATTAATGCTCAGTTATTCAACAACTCCGTGCTTGGCCAAAGATCACCGCCGGCACATATATGATATACATAATCGTGGTCAATGGTCACCATCGACCGGGACGTATATTTACAGAATCATATTAACAGTGCTTGTATTTCCGTAATTGTTGAATAACTGCAGAGGTGATAGCGACGCACGGATGTCATTATTATATCTTTAATTCAGCTCCTGCTGCCGTGCAAACGCCATATATATACTACCGACAGAACACTGGCCGCCGCTGCAGCATTACTCACACTCTGGTCCCGGCGTCCCGTCATCCGAATTCCGATGGCCGTAACTAAAGGCCTTTAACGCGTCATCTTGTGGCGCATTCGCCTGCCCCCGCTGGATATAAATAATTATGCACTCGATGGATACATACAGGGCCGTCGTTAGACCCCTATCCAATTTTCAAAACGCTACTCCTCCTACAGTTTCCATCCGATAATTTTTCTGAATACACCATTGAACTCAGCGTAAAATTCTGAACAAGATGATTGAGGCCGATTTTTGAAATTCGAATTTCCCCTGGATCGACTACAACGGGCGGTTGCCCTGTGCGACAGACATGTTTTTGGGGCTTTCCCCCCTGGCCCCCCTAAACATATTTTGACACTAAAAAACACGTTTTTAGCTTGTTTTAACTCGTTTTTCATGAACTTTAACTAATATTGAGTGATTTAAATTTTTTCATGATTCTACATCGTAAATATCATCATCATTCGCTGGAAGGAAAGTATTAAAAGGCCAGTCGTTATCCGATTCTTGCTCCAATCGATCGTTTTCCGGCACATCGTTAAAAGATTTACAATACCGTAATATTGTGCAATTTCCAGTCCGTTTTAATGTGATCGTAAACATTTATTTTTGGTAAAATACCCCCTTCCTTCTCCGAGCAGATCGACATGTCGTTAAAAGACCGCGAAAGATCATCACGAATAAAGTCGGTAAAACAGAATTTGTCTTCGGTCGACGTTCTTAACTTTTTAAAGTTGTAACGACTTTCATGTTTTTTTTTATGTCGAGGTGCGCATACTGAGCTGACGCTTGCTAGAAAAACAAAATATTTCAACACCTTCATTTCTTTACCTAACATTGGCGCTTTGTAAAATATTATTCTACAAAGAGAAACGGCTACACGAGCTGGTGATCAAGCAAAAAGACGGCACAAAAAACAAGTAGAGCTTCGTTTTGGTAGCCCGGAGCGATTGCATACTTGGTGAAACTGGTTAGAAAGTTGGCCCTGTTTGGCACAGCAAAAATAAAATCGCTCAAAACCATTTAAATTTGATGAAAACGAGTAAAAACAAGCTAAAGACGTGTTTTTAGTGCCAAAATATGTTTAGGGGGCCAGGGGAAAGCCCCAAAAACATGTCTGTCGCACAGGGCAACCGCCCGTGGTAGTCGATCCAGGGAAATTGAATTTCAAAATCGGCCTCAATCATCTTGTTCAGAATTTTACGCTGAGTTCAATGGTGTATTCAGAAAAATTATCGGATGGAAACCGTAGGAGGAGTAGTGTTTTGAAAATTGGATAGGGGTCTAACGACGGCCCTGGATACATATACAATATTTATACCGAACCTCTTCAAACTTCATTGTGCCACAAATACATATTTGAATAACTTGTGTATTAACCTCTATTTTGCATCTCTACCTCTATTTTGGATCCGGTGTACAGTACTTGTTTAGCTTATCTGAATTCACTGTTTTCTCTGCCTTATGTACTGCTTTCTACGTATTACAGAAGCTTTCTACTACATATCTACCTACTTATTTGCGAAGGCACATTATGTATTCTGTAGGCTGATCATGAATCTGCATCCAGTAATCAGCGTGCATTTATGCGTTATTACAATGAACGATACTAATTTGATGGTTAAAGTTTATGTTACTGCTGTATGGCGAATACTGTAAGTCAGAGAAATCGCTGTTAAAGCCTAACAGACTCTTCGAATAATTTGTTGGGTTCGACGAGCGACGAAGACTATCTATTGCAGGAAAAGCGATAATACCGTATATGCCGCTTAAGAAAGTACAAGCACATACTGTAATTCAAGATAAGTATGTAATCACCGAGGTCTCCGTAACCGTGCAGTACCGTAATATCGCAACGTACATGTGGAAAGCCTGTGCCGGTAGCCGTTTTGTGTTGTAAGCCCATGCCGGCATATTGGCTATTGTTACACATGATGCGTGTTGATGCCGTACAGATCCGTACTTTATGATCTGACTGATTTTCGGCGGGAAGAAGATGGAGAAGAAGGAGACGCAGATCCACAATTAGCGCGCACTGAATACGGATCGGTCTTCAACGAGTTTTCTACCTCCAGCATCCCTATGCACAAGATCCACGACGCCGTAACAAGATACAGTAACCAAAACGCGGATAGGTTGAAGAATCTGACCGGTCACGCAGCAAGTGGACAACAATTTTTAATTTCATGAAGATTACTGTAATGTTGCAACCGGAAGTCATCTGGCATCCGGTGCACAAATCAAAATAAGTTAAGAACTGCCGGAGCGCCGCCTTAATTGTGCGCTTAATTTTGTTACTGAATGGAAGTACATTTGTATGACTAACGGACGGACGGACGGGCTAACACAGCCTGGTAATGGGGACGTGATCAATTGGTGAATGACAGATAGGCGGCCTGCACCAGCCATTCGTGGAGGTCGGGATCGGCCTTGAACCAGCACTCGTAGCGGCCAGCGTCGCCGCGCTGACCGTCACGATCTGCAGCCGCGAGGGGCAGCAGCCGACGCCGTCGGTGTAATTATAATTATTTATTCGCTGGGTGTGGATGCGGAAAGCACTGCCCAGACCGTCGGCGCCGGCGCCGATCTCATAGGCTTTGGCCGGGTGATTGTCCGGCGCCCGCAGCACGCCGCGTTCGTGGTACCAGATGAAGCGCCGCTTGTAGCCCTCCGGCGACTCCTGCAGCTCCTCCAGGCGCGTGTTGCAGTAGAACTCGGCGCTTCCGCCGGGCGGAGCACTGGCGTCGCGCATGGCCGGGACGAAGATGTCGCTGGCGCGGTAAAGGGGACTGACCAGGAAGTGCTCCACCGTTGCGGCCGTGTCATTTATGTGATCGCTGCCTCGCGGCGGCCGCTCCGTGCAGGTGTAGCGGCCGGCAAAGCGCGACAACGTGTTGCTTATTCGCAGCTCGTAATACATGGACGAGCGGCCGGCCACGCTGACGATCTGCTGGTGGAAGCTGGACACCGGCGGCGTGGAAGTGTCGTGGCCGCAGCGGCAGACGAAGCAGGGCTCGGGGCAGGGGTTGAAGGTCGGGCGGTTGTGTTGGAGCGCGCCCAGGGTCTGGTGCTGCCACAGGGGAAAGGTCGCCGGGTCGTCCGGGTCGATCCAGTCGGGGTGCGCCACCGGGCAGGCCAAGGTGAAGGAGCTGCCGAAAACTGGCCGCACGCGGGTGACGACGGGCTGGTTGGGTTGGGGCCGTTGGGGCCGTTGGGCGGAGAACGCTGCTTCCACCGATACCAAGTTGATCACGTCGCCGTGGCGGTGGCGCACGGCGTAGTCGAAATTGTCGCGCACTGCATGTTGAAACAATAACCTCAATATGCAGCAGATAATACTCGTGCTCGTGCTGCAATTGCATTAACCCAACAATGACGACGCATTCGCTCATGCACTTACATCTGGCATGGTTGCGTGCCATGTGCGTCGGGATCGAGCAAGCCATCGCGATCCCGACGGAAGAAGGCGGCAAAATATATACCCACAGGACAAGGAGACAGGATAGTGCCATCGACGCCCAACGCAGTCGACATTTAATCCGTTTTCCGACAGATTCCTGTTAGTACATATAAAATGCCGCTTGCTGAAATATCCGTGCGCACGGACAACTACTGCACGGACACGGTTAAGACGAAATCCAACTGCACAATTTAATCAAGAACGCTTCTCCACCTTATTAACGATAATAATGATACAAGTACTATGGGGTATTCATATCGTGCTGAAGCAAGTTACTGTAAGTTTAGCAATTTGATCGAAGTATCGAACACTTTGTAATCATCAATAAACAAAATAAATGCAATAAAAAAATTATTGTTCAATATGCAATAAAAATATTTGTTCAATATGCAATAAAAATATTGACGTTAGTTGCATGTTTATATGTTGTTGTTGTTGCATAAATATACAATGTAATGAATGTATTTTATTAATGCTGTCAAATTTGAATCGTCAAGGCAACAAGCATTGACAGTACCGATTAGACGCTTATTAAAAACATCACTGAATTCTACTGAAAAACTCCAAAACTTTTAGAACGCAGCGGCAACACCCATTTTCTGTTAAGGATGATAAGGCCCATAAAGCCAAGTGTTTCAGGAATATCCGTACTGCAGTAATGGATGGATGGTTACCAGCCGAACAACGATAAGGAATTCGCGTTGTTTCCGGTGTATGATATTATGTACTAAGTTACTTACTAACCTGAATATTAACTTTCCGTGTTTATGCAGTTTACGGAAGCTAGTTGCCTAGCAATCTAGCGTCGTTTGCAGAAAGACCGGTTCTTACTAGCTATAGCGCAGTCACGAGCGGTCAGTCAGGATCTGTACAATCAAGGAACAGGATCTAAGATCTTGTTCCCTGAGTGTTCCTTAATTGATGCTGCACATACTTGTATGTTCAGTGAAATCTTACGATATATACTGTCTATACACACTGTTAACTCGTCCCAGGTTCAGCTTCATCTGCCATGTCCGTCCATCCAAGCCATGCAAGCCGCAAGGTGCGGGTCCCGTGGGACATGCATACCGCTGAGGAAATGGTCATCCTTAATAATATCCATGACAGCCGACAGTTAAATAAATAAAATAAGTAAGAAGAATTAAGAAAAATAACAATCAGTAATTATGTTTTAAAGAAGCATGTGGCGTCATATGCCATAATAACTACAGTACTGCCCACTGCACTTGTTAATGTATCCGCAAATCGTCAAAAAACGAGGACTCTCCACACATATCCCAGAATCAGGGCGGTGATGCTTGATGCTCATAGATGGGCAGCAAAAACAACATATCGACAGTGAAGTTGTAGCGACTTCGCTATCGTGCTGCTGCTTTTGTTGCACGGTTAGCAGTGCGCGGATCGAGGATGAAGGAATCCCACGAAGCTACCAAGTACCAACTGCGGAATCCATGGCGTTATTCGCGATCTCGAGATCGGGAGGCGCTAATTTGGTATTTATACTATGCTCGCCCTGTTCACGTCGTGAGCGATCGCGAGCATATACCAGATCAACAAAAACCGTTCTAATAAAGGTCAAGAAATTGTTGCTTTTCGCATTTTCGGATCTTGCATGCAAGACCTTGACCTTGACCTTCACGTTACTTCAGTTCACTTCCTCAGAATTCTGCGCAGAATTCTGAGCAAGTGAACTGAAGTAAAGTGAAGGGAAGCGAAGTGGAGAAAGCGAGATAAAAAACGGAGAAACCTCAGACTGAAAGACTGAGATCAGAGAAAACGTTGCCTGGCCAAAATTAATACTCGTGTTTTTTTAAGTTGTGGTAACTAGAACCACCACAACGTGAACCCAGCGGCCAGCTACTACACTGAACAGCATGTTTTGGTGTGCTAAATATCCTGCTGCAGGATGCCAGCAATAACTGCTTATTAAACGCGTTTCAAATTCTTGACAATTCACATTCTATAAATACGAGTACGTACATGCTCTTGGATCGTACGCTCTCTGCAAGGCACACTGCACTGAGTGTATTCTGCACGATGGCTCTGTTTCTCGCATAAGAAACCGCTAAACATCCATTAACCAACACCACCACGCTGCCGACCAGCAGTTCCGGTGAAGGAGGACAACCCTTTAATAGCTTAGTACACCACCTGCTACGCCCAGCTCTCCGCCACGCACTCGCTGTGCCGGTCAGCAGTCGCTGGTGGGCAAGGGCTTTATCACCGACAAGGAGAACATCATCTGCCCCGACTGCACCAAGGCCGAGTTCTAGGCCAGTCCCATTGTGCGCTCCGCCGGAAGGATCGAGCGATATCCTTACTTAGATCTCTAACCCAACTCCTGCGATCATGCGACGGTGCAGACGCTCGGCAGTACACTGGCCGCGCTGCCGCGTCATATAAATCATGTACACTCTACGGGTAGTTGATTCCGCCATCCGCGTTGACCGTTATTGCGAGCGAAATTATTTCGGATTTATTTTGAAGTTACTTACGAAATATTAACAAAATGTCCTCGTTACTACTCGCTATTAACGGAACGATACCCCCTTCGTTTCGTCAATAACGACGGATGCTGCCGTTTAAACGTTCGTTAATTGTGCCCCGTCGTTAATTCTATCGTCAGTCGTACACCTTCTTGATACAGGCAACCAGCAGCTTAACAATGACGTTGACACCGCACGATGCACCGGAAGTCTGCAAATGAATCCGACACATAGCGAGTAATTAGGACTACAAAATACGCAATAAAATGATGCTCCTTAAGTAGCAAAGTACTTTGTACTTACCTCGTCATAATGCGACCAGAAAATTTGCGCAAAAACTCTTCAAAGGATTTGGAATTTTGGACGAAGAAGCTAATCAAGCTGTAGGTAAAAAACAACATAATATTATAGTATATGTATTACCAGTTTCTGGTAATTGTACGCGTTGTTCATGTACAATACTGTCAGACAGAGTGTCAGTAGTCAGTACATCAGAGTAGATACAGTAATAAATTACATGATCAACAGCGGAATTAAAACATTTACTCGTACATTTTTTAGCTTAACATTAGCTGAAATACTGTACACAATACAAAATTAAATACAAACGAAATCAAAAGTAATAAGAATAATAATAATTATTCGTTATTGATACTCGTAATTAAGTACACAGGTACCTATTACGATCAGTTGAGAAGATCCGTCCATACTCACTTGTCAGCAGTCACTGCCAGTCAGCATTTGCATTTATCAGACTTCACGCAACAGCACCAGTTTCTGTTTCGCCCTTGTTTTCCTTTATGTTATAATTATTGGCTTATTACATCGCTCAAAACCATCTAAATCTTATTTTTATGTGCTGAATTATTTTGTTAAGAAGATGCCCGACTGTGTAGCGCCTGGGTGTGATTCGGGGCGGGCTGGATGCTCGAAAAGCCTTTCGCGATTTCTGTTCCCCAAAGACGCTGAGCGAAGAGCTGCGTGGACACGTGCTGTATCCCGACGGAATTTCTCTCCTTCTTATGCGTCGTGTTTATGCGAGCAGCATTTCGAGGCGCGCTATATCATTCGTACGGACATCCTGAGGAAACCGGACGGAACGACTCTGGAGTACAAACGCGAGCGGCCCAAACTGACGAAGGACGCCATACCCACCATATTCCCTCGAAACGCTGCAGTGCTCAGCGAAACTGGCAACCCTGTCTCCGTCCAGAAACATTTGCGGAGGAAAACCACGAAGGCACCCCCTGCCACTGCCACGGCGAATCACTGCCACGGCGCACAGGAGCGAGAATTTACAGAAGCGGAGATGGAAAGCGACGAGTCTCGTGTGGAGAACTTGCACGATCTGCAACGAGTGCTGGCGTCTGACCACGTATCGCGCATCTTATCAACGCGTGGATGGAAACAGGATTGTACTGATGCCTGCGTAATCTTGTACAAAGTGTCGCGCACTCCGGGGTATTTATTTATCGACCGCCAGATCCGAATTTCCGAAGCGTTGGAAGTGAGTGTCATTGTGAACAGCAGCAGCAGCGCAGCGTCTGTGCGCAGGTTCGCAGCTGTCCCTGCAACGTTGTCCTCCTCATCCGAATTGTTGGATCTGCTGCGCTGTGTGGAATCTCTGTCCAGTGGGAATCCTACTGGAGCTGGAGCGGAAGAAGACGTAGATTCCCGACTTGCATAAACCGCAATCTAGTTTCTGGCCTCGTTACCCTGTGCTGTACTGCCGTTGTTGTGAAGCTGGCATTTGCCAGCTTTTAAAGAAGTGTACTTACTAGCGGTGGTCGTGAACCACATTATTGCACAAGCGCGAGCGCCAATACCACTGGGAAATGGTATTGGGGTTGTGGAATTGGAAAAGCGTGACGTACGCTCTTCGTGGCGTCAGACAAATTTTATGCTCTTGACGAAGACTTATTGCAGCACCTCGCGCTTCGCGCTCGGTGCAAATTAGCAACGAATATGATTGATCTCTTTAATGTCTCTGCACTTCTTCAATATTTTCCGTTTTCGTGTGATGTGATCATTTGGCTGATTAAAGAACCTCATTCCGTGTTGAGAATATGATGTAGTTAAGTATAACAAATATTGTACGTCTGTGCAGTGTATACAAGCAGCTGCAAGAACAGGAACAGATCCAAAAGACAAAATTCGTGAGCATGATGTTGCAGTTGCACGGCGGAACCGGAAGTGGAAGCAGCAGCCGTAGGCCAGTCGTAAGCGCCGCCGCCCACCGGGTGGCGGCGCTTGCCGTGGCGGCTTGCGCTCCTGTCGGCGTGCCACGTGCAGGTGAATCATGCCGCCGTCGCGCTTGTTCATCGCATTTAGCGTCCATTGCGTTTGGCTGTAATCGCAGCGTTATCATTCATATTTCATACGCTGATTGGCAACATTTCTGTGATTTGAATTCTGGCAGTGCCAGCGGAGATAAGCTGTGTCAGTGTGGCATTCGAATTTTTAGAATCTGCTCAGTTTATTATTATGATGCCACGCTGCTTCGTTACATGCCATTCAGTGAATGGCATTCACTCCTGTTTATTACTGTAAAATCTCTTGTTTATGGCTGCTGATGGATGGTTTTATTCTCGCCACTCACTTTTCTGACTTTATTTGTCGTTTCGTGGACCTTGGACGTGTTTTGGGGGATGCAACGTGATTGTGACGCGGGGCTGGCCAACGAGGTCCCTTCTGCATGATTGAAGAGCGATCCACATTGGCCAAGATCCAAGTGCAGTGCTGATCATTAATTGTGTTTTGCTATCTTGTTATGGCGTCAACAGGCAGCCCTTGAAGGCCGCTGTGCTGGTGAAAAAGGTAAGAGGCGTGCGAGGATGGCGTGTGCAGTGTCAGTGGCAGCCCAAGAATAAGATTTGGCCAGCGCTGTAGTGGGTTGCTATACCCAGTGTTGTCTCTGGTTAAAAATGGTTATTTAGTTCCCGATTACGGTGAGTTAATGGTTGCATGGGAAGGCGTCTAATACTGTGCAGGGAGCGCGCTGCTTAGCGATTGTGCTCCGTTGTGGACGTGCTGCGAAAGTGTTGCATTGATGTGGATGATACGGGTAGAAGTAGACCTGAACTGGCGTTGGCGTTGCGAAGCGGCTGATTGTGATTGAAATGCTGACGGCGCAGTGCCAGACACCTGGCAAGACAGGGCAAAACAATGCTGGCACTGCGGAGCGGAGTGCTGCAGAATGAAATTCTTCGATGGTGTAACACAAAGTACAGCAGAACTCAGGCTGGGCACGTGCTTGCGCTGCGCAGGCAGCGTCGCCGATCGGATAACCGCCATAACGATATTAATTCACTATTTGATTAGTATTATGGTGTCCGTGTGTTTCTCTGTGTTTGCGTAATTGTCAGCTTCGCAGTTTTATTGCTACTCTGTACTTACTACCCTGGCCAGTAGATCCATCTGCAGGGAATGGCAAATTCGGACGAGTGCGTTAATTAGGCGTTTGTGAAACACGCTGTTGATCAGTTGGCTTAATTGGGATGCAAAGTGCAAACGTCCCAATCAAAATAATTATTTTATGCTTGGCAGATTATTTTTCTCTGTAGGTTGGATGTTTTGGTGTTAATAAATGGTGACTTATTGGATGCGCATTTCGTAGGTTAGACGCTAGTGGGATTTCGATTAAGGATCGACGCGTCACGCGACGGAAGGGAAGTCGTCGGTCTCGCAGTGCAGACACTGCAGAGCGGCAGCGGATGCTGAATTGCTGATGGTGGCAGCTGGCGACAGGCGCGCGCAGTGGCATCGCAGTCGGACGTCGCGTCAAGGCAGACATGAGGTACGTAACGGTAAGGGCTGGGACTCCGTGGGATCTGTCTCCGCAGATTGTCTCGCTGGGGTTGGGACTGGGCATTCCTCACAAGACAGCTGCACTGCGAGCTGCGCTCCTCAACTGGGACGAAACGGGCCTTTTCTATAATGCATTACATAAGGCCGGCATTCGGTTCGGGGTGCTCTGTGGCGACACTGACAGCGATGCGGGGAGGAAAGGAAGCGCTGGCGTCTTCGTGTAGTCGGTGTGTCGACACCGCCGAATGATTATTATTCATTCTGTTGGGACGGTGGCAAGTGCCAAATTGGCTGGCAGTGGCATGCAGGAGCGCAGTAGACGTGTTGTTGTTAATATTGCATTATGTACAACTTGGTGCTGTTGTAGTGTTGTGCACTTGCCGACAGCTGAACAGCATAAACATGGGTGTGGGCATGAATAGTCACAGCCGAACTGGCCGCCACTGAGCCTTCGTTCTGGGTTTGTTCTGATCACTCATGCAGATAGATATAGACAGATTACAGCGTGTCGTCGCCTTCTCGTCTCGCGTTGCCGCGATAAACCTGTGACTGGACCGACTGGCAGTATCGTTTGTTTTTGTGGAGAGTATCATCTAGGAAGCCGACTGTATTCTGTCTTTAAATTTAGATATGGGCTTGGGAGCGATATTTTAATTTGCTTACGCACCGTGCTGTATAGCGTGGCAGTTTGTGTGCTAATGGGAGAATGTTAATTAATTGCAGCGGAATGGAGCAGGCCGTGACGACGGCGCACGCATCCGTTATGGTGTACGATGACGTGAACAAGCGCTGGCTGCCGGCGGGCAGTTCCGGCGTCAACGGCACCTCCAAGGTGCAGATCTACCAGCACACCCTCAACAACACATTCCGCGTCGTCGGCCGGCGCATGCAGGACCACGAGGTACGGGAGATCACTGTTTCCCTCGTCTCTGTCAGGGTGCTTCAGTGGGGGATGTGTTTGCGCAGGTGGTGATCAACTGCGCCATCCTCAAGGGCCTCAAGTACAACCAGGCCACGCCCACCTTCCACCAGTGGCGCGACAGTCGCCAGGTGTACGGGCTCAACTTCGCCAGCAAGGAGGACGCCGAGGGCTTCGCGGCGGCCATGGGCCAGGCCGTCGAGGCCCTCAACGCCACCAACCAGGCTCCGAGCCTCAACAGTAATCCCCCGGGTATGTGACGCTGCTCACTGTATATCTGCGTACATTTGGTTTGGGCTGCGCTTTCTAATAGAGCACAATAAACAGCAGTGTGCCCGCTTTCCGATCCCACTGCTTCCCAGCGTGCTCACACAGGGGCGCTTGCGTAATAACTGGTTTGTGATGGTTAGTGACTGGTGGTGTTGACAGGTAACCGGTACGGAAGCACTTCGGCCTCGCTGAGTGCCGCCTTCATTCAGCAGCAGCAGCAGATGGGCGGCCTGTACGAGCCGCAACAGCAGCAGCAGTCGCAATCCAATCCCTACGGAAACGGAGGCTCGCTGTACGGCCAGAGCGTCAGTGCCGGGTCGGGCGGAGGCCAAGGCCGCGCGCAGCAGCTGCTGACCAACGGCAACACCAACGGCAACGACGACCACGACATCTACAGCCAGTCCAACTAGTAAGCCTACGCTCTGTTAATTAAATGACGCTATTTATCTTAGCTTCAGTGAACTGTTAAAAACAAAATTAAACTAAAAAATAAGTTTTATTATTAATTGGGACTTGATGATCGCAGTGGCCAGCAGCGCGAGGACCACTACGGCAGTCGGCCCGAATGGACCTCGCAGCCGGCGATGTACCACACCACCTCCAGCGCCAACATCACGCTGTCGCAGCCGCAGCCGCGGGGCGTCCCTCCCGGCCACGCCACCTCCATCCAGAACGTGAGCAGTGCGTCGTCAGCCAACCAGTCCACGGTGCACACCGTCTCCTCGGCGCCCGTTCTGCACCAACCGACGACGGAGACGCAGCAGCAGCCACCGCGTCCGCCACCTCCACCGGCCGTCGTTACCGCTTCCTCGGCTCCCCCGGCGCCGCCCCCACCGCCGCCCATGACCAGCGGGGCGCCGGCGGCAGCGGGAGGCCTCGCCGCGGCCCTGCAGAACGCCACGTTGAAACGGGCGGCCGGCAGCACCGCGGCGGCTCCGGCAGCGGCCGCGCCGGTCAAAACCGGGTCGGGGCTAATCAGCGAGATGCAGGCGACGCTGGCTCGAAGGTAAAGGATAGATTCAGGCTAGACAGTCAACCGATAATGAGGAATGCCCATTTTGTGGTGTACAGAAGAGCCAAACAGGACCGCAGCGCGGAGGAGAACGGGACGGGCGATGGCGCCAGCGGCGGCGGTGCGGCGCTGAAGGCCGCGTCGATAACGGACAAGAAGACGTGGGAGCGGCCGGACGGGGTCGGGCAGCGGTCCATGTCGCTGTCGGGGCCGAGCGGGCAGGCCGCCAAGAACGCCGCGACGGTCCCGCCGGCGGTCACCACCGCGGCGGCCCACAACAACGGGCTGGTCAACGGGCTGGAGTCGCCCAAGTTCCCCCGCAAGTAGGTGGCTGTTGCGGGCGTTGCCTGATTGTGGTTATGATCAGCGCGGTGTCTGTGTGTGCGCAGGGAGTCGATGCAGGAGGAGGCGTACCGCTCCAGCGGCCAGCTGGACCGTCTGGACGCCCGCAGTCTGGCCAGCGAGCTGGAGCGCTTCAAGCAGGACCTCCTCGCGGAGGTGCGACGCGAGCTGAACGAGTTCAAGGTGGATCTCATTAAAGGTCAGTTGGGAGGGTCAAAGGCTCGAGGCGCACTCTGGTCATACAGTATGGTTTTTAACAACACTATTTTTGACTGTCTGCGAGACAATAATAAAGGTCCTAGCTCCTAACGCACTTGGGGCATTTCCTTCCGAGTAGCCTGGTTTCCTGTTAAAATCGCTTTTACGTCTAACAGCATTAATTTTTTTGGAAACCTATAAGCCAGAAATCTCAGAGGAGGGAAATGCAGGGACTTCCGGTGCTTGACGCAACAGCCACCTCTCGGTGTGGCAGCGTCATGCCTTTTAATCTTGAAAATTTTCGACGATCCCATTTTTTGCCTTTTCGATGCGCGTAACAGAAATGGTTTTCTCTCAGCTACTTTCATTAAAAAATAAATGATTACCAGAAACTCTTCTAAGTTGTAATTGCGTAGTTTGCTGAGGAGACTGATTCACAACCAATCGACACGCCTTCACGACGCATATAATTGCGATGTAATTCCTTGTTGAAGTAGTGCGAGTGTTAGACGTTCCACTTTTCACTATTTCAGTTAACCAAATTATCCCAAAGTCAAACTGAGCTTTGTGCATTTAAAAGCGCTTGAAATGGAATTAAAATGTAACATAAATGTAATTGAAATGGAAGTTATGGAATGGCGGAGTTCACTGATTACGTGAGAGTTCAGTCAAACAGATTTACAATTGAAAATCGTGGATTAGTTTTAGTTGTTATTTAGTGTTAATTTCTGTACTTACTCTGATTTTTTAATCTTGCTAAAAAAATTGTAATTACTATTAAGGTTCACAATAATTTCAAAGCAGTGTTATTTGCGGTCGTAAGAAAACTACCTGGAAGGCTATTTTGTTTTTAGTGCCTTGATTGTCGTCTTAATGGTGCTGTTTGTCTTGCAGCTATCCGACAAGAAATGGGCCCGCAGCAGCAGCAGCAGCAGCAGCCGTCGTCGGCGATGCTGATGGGGCGGCGCTGAAGCCCGCAGTGCTCCCTTTCCCTTCCGGGGACACTTGACCGGGAAGAAGGGAGTCTGCCGTCGGATCGGATCGGTGGGAGGATCTCAGTGTGTAAACGTTTGGCTGCTTGTCTGGTTACTTGCTTTCTTTCATTCTCGTGCGTTCCGTGTTTTCTACTGGACATTTGCGTTGGTTTCCTTGGTTGGGCGTTGGTTAAGTTGTTTTTTACGGGCGGCCTTTCCTTTTCCACAGTTGCCGGGACCAGTTGGACCGCGTTTCACTGCATCATGCATGCGTGCCAGCCTTGCAATACCTGCTCTGCGCGACCGCCGCCGCGTGGCGGTCAGCAGAATGTAAGTTTAGTCAGGAAGCAGCTTGCTCCTTCTTTTTTTGGTACTTTTGGTTTTAACGAAAGCTTTATGTGCATGCTGTGGATCTTCGCGTAAGCGCTTATTTATTATTATTATCGCCGCTTGTGTATTTACCTAGCTTTGGAGGGATTTTTAACAAGAAACACAGTTGCAGCTGACGGGGCGGTCGCTGTTGCGACAGCGCTGAGAATTCCTGCAAAATCGTGTAGTTTGTAATCATGCAGCAGCCTACACTCGTTCGAGGTAAAAGTGGGGATCACATGTCCCTTAATCTCCGGCATTGGCCTTAACAAGCGAAGAGGGACAGACGGAGGCGGCCGGGAAGAGAGCGCGCTGCTTGCCGCTGTTCACAGTCATAAGCATGAACGTGTTGACAGTAAAGTGGCCTTGTTAAGCGCTCGCTAATTGCAGCCGCTGCTAATTGTTCCCGCTGGAGGGCCCGCACTCGCGCAGGAGTTGAGAAGAGGCGCAGGCAGTTGTTGCGCGGGATTAGCGAGGGTAAGCGCCCATTGTGGCTGCTCACTTGCCAGCACCTGGGTAAACACACCGGCAAATACGCACTTGACCAGTCATTGTAGCGCCATTATCCGCCACAGAAATGCTGTACACAAATATCATATACTAGCTGCTGACTATACAGTAACAGTACAGGTACGCAGAGGGATAAAGCCGGCCTGCTTACGGCTCAGCCGACAAGGCATTTTACACGCTGCAGCAATCACAACGGTGTCAATTAATCAGGAACGGCGTGGATTTCCTCCTTAATGCCGTGTAATCCGCTCGTACCTACAAATACACGTTTGTTGACTTTCCACCTACTGCAGCTCTTAATTGATGCGCTACAAGATATACGAGAATATACATATTTTCCCAAGCGCTGGCATAATGATTAAGTTCTGGCATATCATCCTTGATGTTATGTTCAAATGGAAATGTGCACCTCGTGTACAAATTAAAAAATAATTTATTATATGTGCATCAGCCAGATGAACATGCCGGTAAGTTGGAGGTAGTCTTTGGCCGGCCTTTGCCTTTCTTCACGTTTTCTACCTGCGGAATTACAAACGATTGGCATACATACTTACGGCAATACTACTAGTTAAAGGAAAAATCTCTGTACGCAAGCAAAAAAATATATTCTGTTTATCCGTATGTAAAAATTCTGCATGTAGAATATCAAGAAACATACAGATACGTATGTGTGTACCTGTACCACATTTTACATATAAATAAAATTATAATAGTGTACACATTGTAGATGGCCTTAGTTAAGTTAACGTTAACGAAGTCTTTGTTAGGTGGACGGTTGGTTAGCGCCTTAGCGGATAGATTTGTTGGCAGAGCAGAGCAGCGGGCATAGAATTCAATTCCCAGTACAAACCGGGCATTGTTGTGTCGTTGGCAGCGGGATGAATAGAGGCTGTACATGTGGGGGAATGTGGCTGGGGCATGAATAGTATTAGCGGGGATCAGAGGCGCGTTTGTGCGGCCAGACAAACAACAATCAGGCAGCACAGAAGCCTAACCAGTGTACACTTACAGTATGTACCGGCGCGGCCTGGGATCTGTTGCGGATTAGGGCCACAATGGCCGGCATTGTGGCCGGCTACTTGAGCTCGGGTTAAGTTGGCGCTCGATACTTATTAGCCTCAGCGCCGGCTTAGTTACATATACAGCCCGAGAATATATGCTAAATACGCGCTACACGCACTTGTTGACAACACTGGCCCGTAATTCCCTTTGACGCCTTTCAGCCCGGCCGGCCTTTGTTCGCTCCCGAATGCCAAGAAAGGAGAGCACAGCATCCTTTACAGTTGGCACTGAACAGTTCACCTGTACGTGAAATGGCAGCAGCGCGGTGTGCAGGTGTACATGTCCAGATTAGCGGGAAGCGCATTAGTATTAGTCTTAGCATTAGTCTTAGGCCGACAATCTTCCGGTCCGTCGGATTAGCTGATTACGCGCGGAATCGGATCAGCCTAATGCACTCGCTAATCCTGCAACACGAATACACTGCGCCGAATGTTCCCGGCGCTGTACAGGTGCGCTGTGTCATGCTCACGCAGCGGAAAAGCCCGCCAACAGCACATCGGCATTTCTACCTTCCCGGCTTTAATTTTGCCATCTTTTCCAGTTAGATTACAGATTATACATTTGATTAATCTAACCGGCAAGCTTCTACATCTTTGGCGGAATCAGTCAGCACCGTCATTTGCGGTGCGAAATAAGCCTGCGCGATTATCCCCGAAAGGTCACCCTTCGTCCTACACGTTGGCATTTACGATTCTGCGCAATTCTTCTCAAAGTGACTAACATGCGAAGAATGCGGCAACAAAGTGGCTGGCTAATCAGTATGGATTTGTTGTTTGAGCCGCTGTGAGTTAGTAAATTGGTGAATTGGCAATTGATTGCTGGTAGCGTATTGTGTGGCTGTGTACACAAGGCCGCAATTGATTCCGCTGCCGACGGGCATCAGTGGACGGAGATTGGTAAGCTGAACTGTTTGCACGCGGCTAATTCGCCAGCGAGTCAGATTACACTAGCCAATCTGCGTAATGTAATGACTGCCCGCTCTGTGCGTCAGTTAGCCGGGCCGGCGGACTGGCCAATGGCGAGCGAGGGGCGGGGCGGGCGGCGGCGCCCATTGGCTACGACCGGCAGCCGTTGTGCCGCTGTACTATGCTACGGTCTGTTATACAGCGCAAAGTGGCCTAAGCGGATTGGCCGGCTTCTAAGCCAGCTAAAGCGGATTCCTGGCTTTGCGGCTCATTGTCGAGTAAGCGCATTGTGCGGCAGTGCATCGCTGTACTGTACATGTTGGGTGAATTAAGGGAAGCCCTGGTTGTTGTCTTGTCTTGAGCGTGTCCCGCTTCTTCTCGTTGCCGGGATTATCCGCTGTTCCGCTGGCTGCGGGATTGAATTGGGCTGGATTGGGCCGGATTGGAGGGAATCGCGGACGGGATGCGGCTAATCGGCTAAGCGATTCTAATCGCAGATCGCGGAGAGAAGGGAATTCATTAGCGATTAGTGTGGACTTAGGCCGGGATTGTTAGCAACCCAATACCTACGCGTACAGATAGACGCTGTAGCCAGCCGAGCCCATCTCCATCTCATCCGCTCATTCCGCTATTTTACCCGAACTGAAGCGCCGGGATTCGGGACTGGGATTTCCACGACAGCCGCTGCGGGCAGAGCTCGGGACAGTCGACTACTTGCTCTTGCTGCTTACGAGAATCGGATGAAAAGATGTAGGCCGATGCGGCATTAGCATCAGCATCAGCATTAGTGGGCCATTATCCGCCTCGTGAATCTCTGATCGCCAATTCGCCGTTAATGCCGGCAGCAGTATAATTCCATATTGGCCGGGTACTGTGCACTGTCGTGCAGCGGAAACACGACGTTGGTCGTCTTGGAATTGGGGAATCCTTGCAATTCTGGCTATCGGCTAATCGGATTAAGGGCCACTTGGTCGGCATAGGTAGATAGGTCGGTCCTCTTTCTCCCGTCCCGCTGGCCCGGCGTTAGCGCTGCCGGATAGGAAAGGATCCGCACCGGCACCGGCATTCCTTGGTCACACGCATCCGCATCCACTCACCTGTGCAGCACATGTACCCTGTGTATGCAGTTCAGAAGGCGACGCCGTTGACTTCGCTTTGTGCGCTGCTGCTAGTCAGTGCTGTTGTGGGGCTGTTCACATCCCGACACAACTGCGACCATTGCCCTCCGAAGGAGACACGGCGAATTGTTAGGCTACTGGATCGCCATGGCCGCGTGCTGCCAGTGACGTCTACTGGACGTCCGGTTTTCTGGATGAGTGACTAACTGAAACCTACGTCGTCAGCACGATTTATACGGAATTTAACTGCTGCTTCTTGGCCGGCCATCACATTATTCAGTTAGGTAAACGGCTCTCTTTATACGCCAAATTACATTCGCACTAATTTTTATTGCCCACCGGCCCACCGTTAATTGCAGTCTGTACTTTTATTTTATTACCCATACATGATAAACAATAATACCGTATTATAATATATATTATGTATGTGAATTGATTATTGTACTTACACGGGTACACTCCAGTGCTTGGGCTACTCAATCGCCAACGCAGTCTCGTACTGGCAACGTAGCGCCCCAACAATGATTGTTGCAAGACATCATAGATGCATAATTATTAATTACTGCGATAGTACCTCGTGTATGTATAAATTATAAATTAGAACGTAATGCCTGTTGGTGACCGCGGCGCACTGCTGCTGCACCGAACGGCCGAACACTTGTCTCAATCCCGCTGGCCCTTGCCAGTCGCCAGATAGACCCCTTCCGCTACAAAGGGAGCTAATATATGCTGACCCTTTGTTTTAGTCCACCATGCCGAATACCGCTGCATGCGTGCAGCCATGCCATTTGTATAAGTTTGTGCAGTTGCTCAAGCACGAGCACATAAAAATAATAATGATGTACGTACACTAGTCGCACGCCATTAGTATGACATTGCATTATACGAGTACATACGTACATCAACTACTCGTTTACCACTTTAACGATCCACGTGTTGCTTTTGAAATTCGGAAAAATTACGGACATTACATCCCCTATCCTGTTAAATTAAGCGTTAATCATCGTGAGTACGTGTTTATATGGAAATACAAAATCCAAGAGATGTTCACGGTGAGGGGCGGTTGGTCATGCGGCAGACAGGCTGCAGAATACGACATAGATGTAATGCAGAATCGGGATTACCGACCAGTTAATCGGCTCACGGGAAGCCCAAGCTGAGCACGTGTAGTGTACCGGCGTTGAACGGCCAGTCAGCAGGGCCGAGCAGGCCCTTCGTTCCAATAGTATGCAAGCGACATTTTCTGACAACATCGACTTTCTTGCTGTTATAAAGGCCAAGTTCCATATAGCGCTTTTTGCTAGGCCGGCCTGGTCCGTACAGTTACAGTTGAACGCCAGTTGTCTGTGCTTCTTATAACCGCTGTGTTAACTGCTGCAGGTAGTGCAGGAAACAAGCCGCCGGAAGTACAGCCTACCTTCGACCGCGTCAGCAGCACGGGCAGCATGCAGCCGTACTACGGCGCCCCGGTGGGCTCGGCGCTAAGCTACGTCCCGGTGGCCCACCTGCACGCCCACGGCCCCTTGAACCACGGTCCACTCCCGGGCCTCTGCGACACCGTCTACAACCTGGCCGCCCTGCAGCCCCTCGGATGCGGCACCGCCCCCAACATCAGCCTCCTCTTCCCGCCCTACCCCGCCCCCCTGCCCAGCCACACCTACCGCGCAGGTCGGTCAGATTGTCATCCCCGTCAAAAAGGTCACTCATTACACTGTCCCTCTTGCAGACAGCACCTCCAGCGCCGTGGCCCGCAAGCAGCGCCGCAGTCGCACGGCCTTCACCAACCACCAGCTGGGCACCCTCGAAAAGACCTTCGCCAGCACCCACTACCCGGACGTCGGCCTGCGTGAGCAGCTGGCCCTCTGCACCAACCTCCCCGAGTCCCGCATCCAGGTACACACCACTTCCGGGGCAAATCCACTTCGGCCTATACGCAGTTCCTTCCGTTTACAGGTGTGGTTTAAGAACCGGCGCGCCAAACACCGGAAGCGCCTGAAGAACCGCCCCTGCTCCCCGGACGACGACGGCTCGGACCTGGAAGCCCCGCGGCCACCCCACCGCCTCCCCTCCCCGGTGCCGGTTGCCCTGAACGCCCGCGTCTCGGTCATTAAGAGCACCAACACCCTCCTGAAGCCCCCGCGGCTCGACGCGACGGCCCTGCCGCCGGCGCCGCTGCCTGCAAGCGCCCCCGCCCCGCAGGGCGGTTACCCGGCCCCTTTCTGGTTGACCGGCGGTGGCTACTACACCTCCGCGGACCTGCCCAGCGGAATGAAGGCCGAGCGGACACCGGCGGCGCAAGAGTGGACCGGCGCGGCTGTCCAGGCGGCGGTGACCTTACCGGACAGTATTCAGCACCTGCGCAGTCGGGCGCGCCAGCACGAGGCGGCCCTGCAACTGCAGAGCGCCTGCGGCGGCCGTTAATTGCATGACTGCAACTGTGATGCCGTCGACACTAGCGTTGTTCTCTCTCATACCAAAGTTTCGCTGTGTAGTACAGTAGTATTGAATTTGATACACACGTTCCTTTAAATAAACAAGCGCTGTGTGCAGCCAAACACTGCTCTGTGTTGAAGGGTGTATTTGCCGCATCATGTGGCGTATTGTGTCAATGTGTAGCAACAACATTACCGTATATACAAAGCGGTACATAGTACAAAACGCAGTTCAACCGGCACTGCGGCAGCGCGGAGAAATTGCCCGGCGAGGACCGGTTGGGATGTGCTGAGTCGTGTTGTTCTTCGGGGATTCACAGGACCGCGCGCTGAGGCGGAACGTCCTTGCTGCCCACCAACAATGGCGCTGATAAATGTTCGAGGCGGTGTGCCTGTCCTTCCAGGCGCCGGTTCCGGGTACCGCGTGTTTTCTCATGCCGACAAAAAGGCTGGCTTGGCCTTCTTTGGAGAATAGTAAAATATGCTGCCTACTTAAGCCATATAATGTTCTGGTTACCAGCGAATGTCCATTGTCGCACATGGATCTTCCATAAACACGAATCAAAGCCACTTAGTTTTATTCTAGACTTGCTTATCACTGTATCGAAAATCTGCCTTAAAGTTCCGATTCCGGTGCAACTCACATAATTATAACGTATTTGTTTCTCAAGACCACGATGGAGCGCAACATGTGTGTTTTGATCGGTAAGTAAAGTAGTTTGCTCCTTATAATAATCGACGGGGCACCGCGAAGTTAGCTTAAAATCCCGTCGACTGCGTAACTCTTGACTTGTTGCGCCCGGTATGGAAATCACGTCGTGGCCCAGTCGCTCCCGTGCCAGGAGCCGGTTCGCCGTGTCCGTTTTAATTTCCGTCCGTTAGGAATGGACGATGGGAGTAAATAAGCCATGTTGTGTCATTGCAGTGTTGGTGGCGGTGGTGACCTTTAGCTGCATGGTTCAGAGGTGCTCGGCGCAGTACTACACGGTGGTGGTGGGCACGCCCACCACCGGCACGCTCAACTACGGTCGCGGCTACCGCAACAACGGCTGGAGCGGCTACAACAGCTACTGGCCCTACAACCGCTGGATCAACAACGGCAACAACGGCTACGGCCGCTACCGCTACAACAACGGCTACAATAACGTTAACGCATACAGCAACGGCGGCTACCGCGTCGTCTACGTCAACGGATAGCCAACCATTAATTCATATAACGATTTCTACGACGATCCCTACCGTACGAATACGAAGGAAAACCATCCCTTATTCCTTGGCCTGGCAGCGAGGCGGATGCTTTATACCTACACAGCGGTCCGCAACTAGCATGCTGCCGTTGCATTTGTATGTCCTTGACTGGGTCGACGCACTACTTAATTTTGTTTTCCGGGCTTTGTTGTTTATACAGTACATTAGCGACTTGTATGCAGTTGAATTCCTTGTCTTGTGCGGTAGCAGACAGCAGTGCTATTAACAGTTGGATTCCTGTTGCCTGCACATGTTGGGGTTGGCAGCTGTCAGAGTTTTAAAGGAATCTGCAGCAAAATGCAGCCCGTGCTACCAAAGTATTTACCCGATTGCATGGCCGCACGTCGGACATTTTTAATTATACGTATGTATTATACGTATACGTATGTGTATTGTACACTACGATTCGTAACATTTAAATTACGCAAGCGCGTGCATACCTGGACCCACTGCATGGTTAACATTGCCGGCTTAACTTCCGCTGGTTCCCCGGCCTGCCAGTCGGACACTGACTCAGGCGGGGAGCCGCCGAGTCAACAATGCTAGTCCCGTGTACGTGCCCGGCGGTTGGCGAAATACTAAACAATCACACTCGGGACCATCTGCATGCATAACGTGGATGTCAACCGTACAAGCTTGTCCCGTAATTTCCATCGTAAAAGTACAGCTAGCGTGAAATTTGCGCTTGAAACGATGGCCACGTCACTACGCTTATCTGATTGCCTAAATCCGCTCCGTAGTTAGATTTGTCCATTACCACACCGACCGTTTCTTAGCCACTTACGCCAGGCAGTTACTGTTATTCTCATTGAATTGTATGGCGTGTACCAAGGCACCAGCCAGCCAAATGCACGTTACGTGTTTAAACAGTGTGGCGTGGCGCGCCGTAGTACGGATTTACGCGCAACACGTAAATTTGTAATGTTCGCTGTTCTGATGCGATGGAAATTACGGGACAAGCTTGTACACAGAACGTACGCGGGATAATTATTATCTTCAATAATTACAATTAAAAATAACTAGCCGCTACGTTAATGTATATGCCGCGCAAAAGTCACGAGTGCGGCTGGGTCAGTTTGCGACAAATTCCCAGTATTTGCGGATTATCACTGTGATCTGATGAAAGAAAATTTAATATTATAAAAATATCATTACATTATAATACGTACGGGTGTGTATATTCGTGTAGATACGACTTACGAGTACATGTGCGGCATTTTGCGCTGTAATTTAATTTGCCGGTCTACCCCTACTTCCGGTGACGCCATCCGGTAAATGTATCTGTACGGTGCAGTACCTACAGGCTACAGTAGCTTTTTTACCGGCACAAATACAGTAATAAATATTTGTTATGTACGGCACTTATGTTGTTATGTACATTTGTTGTGTACGGCAGCCGCAAAATTAACATTGCTAATTTTGCGGCTGCCGTATACGCTTATGTATTTATACGGTACGGCATATCACTGTTAAATCGTGTGAAAGTTGGCCTGCCAACATCCCAACGCATTGCGCTTTTCTATGCCTTTGTCCAGTCTCATCTGGACTACTGCTCTACAGTGTGGAGCGGGGCATCTGTGCGCTTGCGGGACAAATTGGCCGCCATGCATCGTAGCGGCCTGCGAGCGGCTGCAAACTACTCTGGAATATCCACGGAATCGTTTATGACCAAGCACGGGATCCTTTCTCTGTTCACAAGATGGAGACAAAACGAAGCGACGTGGTTGTACAAAATCATGCATCCGGAAAAATTTCATGTGCCGCAGTACATCAGCGAGATGGTGGAATTTAAAGAGGAAGTGAAACCGTACAATCTTCGAAAAGGGAACCGGACCATAATCAAGGCGAAAGCAAAGAAAAAAGTTGGCGAAACAACCTTGGCTTGGAAGCTTAATAAAATGTGGAAATTTTTCGTGGATTCTAATTTTTCTGATATTTTTAGTGTTCGATCTGTTAGTGCGTTTAAGCATGCGTTGCGCAGTGTAAATTTTGTTTAAGCGTGCTGGGAATTTCTCTGTGCAGTTACTGTTTGGCCAGGTTTAAAATCCCATGCTAGTATGTCACCCTAGCCGGAAATGGGCTACCTGCTCCACGAAGAAATAATAATAAAATAATAACTAGCTCGTGTGTCGCCGTTCCGCAACGCTAGAGTACATAACGATGTATCTCTACTACTTTTGTAACGGCAACTCTGCGAGGACAGTACGAGAACGTACACAATTACGTATCATGCCAATGTGCCCAGGATAAATCGGGTAGGTTTCCGGTCATAAGACTTACGTTAGCAATGTACGAGTATTAACCTTTTGTACACTTCGCACTCGCCTGCACTTGTCAAAATGTTGCGCAACTGCCCAATAACGTGGATCTTCATACTACTCACCGTGGTCAGATATACCGGTACCAAAATTTATACACCAAAACATAATATGGATGAGTACACGTACATAAACCGATCCGTAGGTATATGCAATATGCAAAGCCAGATTGATAATTAAATATTTTTACATGAGAGTAGTAGTACTGTACAGATATACTACGAATACGCATTTGGTATACATCTTTTTAGTGTTAACATTGATATGAATGCTTGTACAACAACAACATACGATAAAATATTATTTAATTAAGGAGCGATAGAAAAGGAAAAGAAACAATACTTGTTCATAAACAGCACAAGTCTGCTTTCACCCATAATTAACCAGAGATACACCGTTCATTTATACAGATCATTCAGCAACGGATTAAATTCGAAATACGTAAGTCCTGTTTTCCCCCAGTGTCACCGAATTGCTTGCTCCGGCCCAACCGCAACTGTTGGCGCGTCATATGTTCTGCAGCGCCGCCGTGTTGACGTTGACGCCGGCCAGCACCATGTCCGTTAGGTCCACGTGACCGCCCACCGCCGCCGGGTAGGCGCTGAACATGCCGCCGCCATTGGCCCCGCCCATCCCGCCGCCGCCGCCGTGCTTGCTCTTGGACAGGCGTCCCGCGTCGCTGCCCAACACAGCCGCGTTCCTGTCGCCACCAACCACCCGTGGAAAGGTCACCCTTACCAAACTCAGTGTAAAAGCGAACTTACCGGTAATGCTGCATGTAGGAGGAATGCGCTGCCGCCGATCCGTACGCCTGGGACACGTAGGCCCCGCCCCCGGGCGTGTAGCCGTCGGTGGGCGTGCCGGCCCCCGTGGAGGCGCCGAAGGAGGTCTGCACCGGCATGTTCATGTTGACGGGCGCGGAATGGCAGTTCCAGGCGAAGGCGGCGGCCGGCTTGGAGGGGCAGGGGATCTTGGAGGCCCAGTTAGGACCGCAGTAGACGTTGGAGTAGTTGGCCGCACCCACGGAGTAGAAGGGGTCCACGGCGTCGGCCACCGGGAACTGGCTGGCCACCGGGAAGGAGGGCATGAAGGAGTTGAACTGCGCCGCCGCCGCCACGGCGTGCCCCGCGCTGTTGAAGGCCCCGCCCCCCGCCACGCCCACGCCCACGCCCGCCTTGTACGCCTCGCCCAGGTTGCGCTCGCGCTTGCGCCACTTGGCGCGCCGGTTCTTGAACCACACCTGTATAACCATTAAACACTGCATAAAATGGTGCTTATATGTAATCGGCAAAATATTTATACGAGTAGTGTGTTTACAGTAACAGCGGCGTGCAATGTAAATGCGGATTGTTATGGACGTGAGATTAGGCTGGAGCAGTGTCGTCCGCATTGAGCGAGTTGACAGCTGAAGCGGAGTGTAATTTATCGCGCACTTCTGCATGATTTGCCGCGCTCCGTTTAACCTTCACTGCGCCGAACGCTGAACGCGGAATGCTGATACAGCTCATGCGGCAGAGTAATTTGGGGTCAAAGAGTGAAAAATTAATGATGTCTTGTGAATAAATAGTCCCGCTGACTGTGCACTGCGTACAGAGTATCTCCGCTGCAGTCTTGACAGTCCATCCACGTCGGCCATTTATCAGCAGGATGCTGTGATTAATCTCCCCGCAACACAAACGACAAAACCGCTGCATGTACAGGGAAGCGGCCAAGTATGCAAAGGTCATCGGCGCTCGTGCGTTGGTTATCGGCTTCGCACGTTGCCGGCTTAATTGCGCCGGCGTTTAGCACGAGAATACTGCATGCCGAATGCCGATGGTGTTTATGTGCGGAATGCGGCTGCACTCTTTAGTTGAGAGCTTTGCGGCGGGATTGCCGGTAATCCCGGCCAAATCCCGGCTGAGCTCGGCACTAGCTGGCTAATGAGCTCTACCCGCTGATTGGGCCGCTTACCAGCAACAATCTAACTTAACCGCACATGCAGCCATAACAATAACGATATTAATTCTGCGCCGCTGTCGATTATGCGAAGTTGGCGTGCTGCGCACTTGCTCATATATGTATTGAATCGATCTATATATTGTGTGTTGTTGGTGCAATTTGGCGGGCTGTCGGTACGAATTAGCGCTGGCGGATTGCGATGGGAAGACGCGTCTATCGCGTCGCGAAAAAGCAGCCTGACGAAGCGGACGCACATGGCAGTGTCACAACGCGCTGAACGCATCCCTGTCTCCGTCAGCGCTGCAGCGATCACGCTCTCCCATCCATCACGACCGCGCATCCCGCAATCACTCACAACTGTCACTCGCGATCCTATCACCCGAATTGCATTGCTATCCATTTATGTTCCACGACGGAGAAGACGTTTTCGTTGTATAAAGAAATATCCGCGCATGCACACAAATATTATACGTTCAATGACGGTTTACCCGCACGCGGGGCTCGGTCAGCGTGGTCCACATGGCGATCTCCTCGCGGGTCTGCATGTCGGGGTAGCGGTTACGTGAGAATACTGCTTCCAAGTCTGCCAACAAATCGGGACTAGCAAACAGTTTTATTAGTTGCAGGTGAATAGGCAATTACAGTAATTACCCTGTAGTTGTTGACTGGTGAAGTGGGTGCGCTGACGCCGCTGGCGTTTGAGTTTCCGCTTGGCGTCGTCTTCCGAGTCGCTGTCGTTGGCCTGCGTGTCGGTGGCCGTCTTGTCGGCAGCAGCGGCCGCGCTGTCGTTAACGTGGCTGGCGCCACGGGCGGCCGGTGTGTCGTCCTTGGCGGAGTGTGTATGTGCATGTGCGTGGGCAGGTGATGCGGATGCGGCACCTGAGCCGTTGCGACTGCCGCCGCCGGCAGCGTCGCCGCTCTCTGCAGCACAACGCACGTACACTGTCAACAATTATCTGACATGCAGCGACACCTATCATTAACAGGCTCTTCTTGTCGCTGCTTATGCGACATCTCATCCAACTTCCGCTAATTTACAGTATGTTCGTATCCATCCTTCTAATTGGTCGGACGAGACGAGACTATTGCACATATTAACTAACTAACCTGATTATTATGCTTGTAAGTTGTAACCTTCCTTTCCTGACGCATTATTAAAACAGTATTGGAACTTTACCAATAACTTCCGGCCGACTTTTTGAAGACTTTCTGTACAGAGAGAATCGGCCAGAAAATCTGAATTGCGAGCGATGCCGTTGCAGAGCCCTAAGTTTAATTAAAGGTCACGCGTCTGCCCATATACAGATACAAGTACCTGTACGAGTACATGTACATTCCGTTTTCGCCTCGACGACCAGTCCCTGGTATGAGAAAATCCAGTGTGCGGCAACAGTATGGAGCGTGTTGCCCGTGTGCGAATGCCATCCCCAGTAAAGAACGTGTCTGCCGTATATATGCAAACGAGTTGTTGATTATTCATTGAACGTGTGTGTTGGCAGTTGTGTTACGCATGTTGTATTATTATTGCGGAATGTGCGGTTGGATGGAATCAGGGAAGACGGACGGGAGTGGGCTGAATGCGAATGGGTCAAAGCGGATCAAATCGGCGTTAACGTTAGTGGGACTGCTCTTTCTACCGCTGCTGCCTGCTGCTAAGTGCAGACAGGCTCAGGCCGATACTTCTATCTGTCGCATTTGGCATTCATTAATCCATTAATTCTTTTCATCCCCGACTCAATCATTTCCTCCATGCAAATGCCAATGTCCATTGGCCCAACCGCCTCCTTCCCATCAGCATCCACACTGACACCATCACACTTGATCAAGCAGTAATTGCACTGCACTGCCAAACTAACCAATGCAGTCCTTTTCCAATCACATCAAGTCAGCGCAAATGTTTTCTTTATAAAACAACGGAGTGCCGCTCTTTAACAGTTTAACGCATATAACAGTTATTGCAGCGTAAATTAGGCCGATACGACGCACGCTACGTGGACGTATTAAAGGTCACCGTAAGTGACCATCTTACAGCTTTTAATCAGCCAGATTCTCCGCAGCTATCAATATCAATTTATGGACATGATACGCGTATCGCGCGGCAGTTGTTCTCTAAACGTCAACATCCACTTCGTTATCATTTCTCATTCTGATGGTATTATGCACAATGCAGTTTTCAATCAAATTATACGATACTCCTGCAGCACACTTGTGAAATTAACCCCGGCGATAAATGCGCACAGTCGGGGCAGATGCGCCCCAGTGCGCACAAACAATTAGCCAGCGGCCAGAATTAAAGACAACACTCTGTAATTAACTGGCTGCATATACAGTACAGTACATGCTATACACGCATGCATCTGCTGATGATGCTTCATATAATTCCTGCTAATCAGCAGCGAGTGTCACTGTTGTTCCAAAATAGCAACAAGCAATTTCGTTTGTACAACTGATACCCTCTCTGAATTTCAAATGATGGCCAGCTAATCGCGCTGTTTGCAACTGCAAGTTGCCACGCGATACATACGCGAGATAAAATTAGCCTGCATTTTAAAATGGCCTGCAAGATGATTACAAATTTCGGCCGGCGCTGAGCATGAGTCTGGCAGTTAGTGACAAATTAAAAAGCCACGTGCGCCGCTTTATCAGGATCCGCTTTCCGCTTTCCGCTCTCGCCTCTGTCTCTCCGTTTCTCGACTGCTGCGCGCAATTGCAAGGTAGGCGACACTGTCTGACGAATGGGCGCAGTTGCTGAAATACGCGTATGACTCACTAATAACACCACAACTCCAGTTCGCACACACTAAGTCTTCTTATCCGTAATTGTCATCTGTTTTTCGCTAACAAAATTAATTTCCCTTCCCCAGAAAGGCCTCGTACGGATGCTTTAGGATGATATAATCTGATGATTAGTATGAAAATTCTGCGACATTTCATAACCAGTATTTATTGCGTAAATATTTAATTTTGCTATTCAGAGATAACATGGATAACGAATGTCTCAGCGAAGATCGCATTTTGTGACAATGCGCGCCACATACGCCGCAAAGGTCACGAGTGCAGACTGTTTGGATGGATTGCTGCTGCTTCTATCGCTATGGAAAGCTTAATTCCAGTTTTTTAATGCGATACTGCGGTAAATAAGCGGGGGAATGGCTTGTTGGCTGACCGTGCAATTAAAACGCCCGTGGCGAGTATTAAACGGTTGTGGTGGAATGCGCCATTAATAGTAATACACACAGCACTGCGTTGGGGAGCGATAATTCGGGGCGCAAAGTGTCAGTTACTCGATGGGTGGGCGCGTCGCCGGCGTTAATGAAGCGTGCCTGTACTCCTGTGGCAGTCAGAACGGGAAGAGTGGATGCGCGGCAATGCACATACGCATATACGAGCCTGTTACACGGGATGAGATTGTGCACTGTGCTCCCTTCTTACATATACAAGCATCCATTTTCCGATTCCCATCCAATAAATTGCCCTTTCCTTCCGATCCGCTTAACGCATTCAGCCGACGCTGGTCGGTGCGGCGGCCGCGGCTGACGTCCAGGGAAATCATCCTTCTTCCTTTTAGCGCACTTACAACACTGCCTGACAATGCTGTCGCCGCGGCGCCATTTAAATGACAATACATCTCCTTAATTACGTTTACACGCACAAGTCGCACTCACAATAATTTCCTTCTGATACAACGAGAAAAGCAAGTGCCTTTCTCATAAACTTCCCCAAACAATCACCAATGACACTATCTCTATTCCTGTTATTTTTCTTAAAATGCTGCTAAAACTGACGGTAGTAAACAGAAAAAAACTTGGCCAATCATAAAGTGTATATATGGGCCGTGACCTTTCCATGTCTATACATTTTTTAATACGCAAAAATAGATAAAGCTTTTTCTACAAGCTCATTCTTATTGCTGCATAGCCATATAGGTATGCATTTTCGGGTGACCTTACCGGAATGTTTGTGTTGGGAATAGGCGGTCCGGCTGCGCGGCTGGCTGTCCGGCGCATGCGTGTCGTATCCGTAGGATTTGGCGTGTTGTTTGGCGCCCGCGGCGCTGGTGGGGGCCGTGAGCGGCTGGCAGGCGGCAGCGGCCGCGGCGGGCGCGGAAAAACTAGCGAAGGCCGTGAACTGCCGTTGCGACTGCGCGGTGGAACGCGCCGACGCCGACGCGGCAAAGTCGGCGGTCGGCGAGGCGCTGTTATAGTGGGTGTGGGTGTGCAGGGGATCCAGCAAGGAATCCATCGCGGATTACGCCCGGCACCGCCGCTAATTCTCCCGCCTAACAATAAGACAGCAGCATTAAGAAAGCATTCTCCGTCGCTCTAAGGAAGCCGGGCTCGCTGGCGTCGCGCATGCGAATGCCCCGAATGGAATTAATCACTGGCCTTCGTGGCAGTACTGAGTGTATCGTATAACCAGCGATGGCGCGTGTAGTGGATAAAGCGGGCTTTGGTCCGCGCAGTGGGGGAGGGGCCAGCGCTGATCCCCCAAATACTTAGCATTTATACACACCAATTCACAGTGCCAACAACCGCTTACCTCTGCGCCTCCATATATTTTCATTAGATCGATGCTAATAGTATTATTTACAAGTTTTGCCTAAAGGTCACTCCAACATCCGCCGCAGCGGACGCGGATTCCGCCCACTTTCATCGCGCAGCAGCTTTGACAAGGTAAAAAAATACTCAATGTACCTTAATAGTGGCGGGTGTGTTGCGTAGATATGATATGGTCGGCAATGGCAGCGGTAATGGGATAATTATGAGTGGCTGTCAACGTGGCGAATTAGCCGGGACTGCTGTTAAGCCGCTTTAATCTCCCTCGACGTCCCCGTAAATTCGTCAACACGTACACACATTTCTGCGCAGCAACACAAACAAGCCAACGTTGAACGTTGGCGGTGTATAAAACACAGTGAGCAGAGACTCAGCCGCGGAATTAGCCGTGATCCTTGGGCGTCTTGAGGAGAGCCGTTAAGTTGATTCTAATAAATGACAATTGGCGTTGGCCCTTCTCAGCAGTAATCTGCCGGCAGAATAACACGGATATGCCGCATAATACAGCGTAATGCAGTGTAATACAGTGTAAATACGGGGTATATATATGGCGCGTGGCCAAACGGCAGTTTGCAGCTTAAAAATAGCATTAGGTTTAACGGCGACAGGCGTTAAGGCCAGCTTGGTTTGCGATGCAGGAAGCCCGGCTCTGGCTCTGGCTCTGGCTCTGGCTCGTGTCATCCAACAGGCAGCTGCCACGGGAAGGAGTTGGACCAATTGGCGCTAAGACGGCGATTGGCGGAGGCCGGCCATTGAAGTTGGATTGGACGGTAGTGGGCCAGCTGCTCACTGCTTGGCGGTCTTAACACTAAGCCGGTGGGATACTGCGTCGTAATGCGGTAGAGGCACTGCAGCTGGATGCAGGGATGAAGCGTAAGTGGCCGAGCCGGCATCTTGAGCTCTTAGGAAATTGCCATGCATGTGCCTCTTTCTCTCGCTCTCTCTGGCTGCGAGCCGACAGCAGCGGCTGCACTGGCCGGCTCGCACGTATCCCGCACACGACTCCATTCCCCTAATTTCCCATTTCCAATCAAAATGCGACGGGACCATGGATGAAATTCAGGGGGTTTACAAATACAGTCCAATATACAGACACAGAAAAAGCAAGCAGTCGGGCCGCGCACAACAAAAGCCCGCAATGACGCATTTGGTAGAAGATACTCCAACCGCTACAAGTGCTCGTGGTCCAACCTCAAATGATTTGTGTGCATTGGCGGGAAAACTGTTTGTGTGCCCAGCTTCCGGTTGAGGAGGGTAAAATAAAATTCCCAACAGTTCAAACGCATTCGGTTGTACGGTTGTACCACAAGGTACACAACCGAACTTTTTCAAATTTTGCTGACATATTGGCACATTTGTATACAGATCGTATTGCCACGGAATCAGAATTCTGGCAGCTTCTTGAATTTTTACAGTTTTACAATGTTTCAAGTTCTTTTATAAATTTGAAAGACATGGTAGAAAGCTGGTTCCGTGTTAAAGCAATCTTTACATGTACGTAACTTTTTCAACAAGACAAAAAAGCATTGTTTGGGAGTGCATGCACACGAATCTGTAGCCATGTACAGAGTACCTGGCCACTTCCCTTAACTGCGAACTACAGGCATCACTAGACTGATGTGCTTCAATTTTTTATGTACTTAAACAGCAGCAGCTGACTAGCAGCAGTTGTGTTGTGCATTTGTATTGTTTTTACGCGTACGTAGTTGTTTGTACCACGGCATAACATTACTAGCGTATAGCAGCGCAGTATAATCAACCGCTCGCAAATGATGACCGCACGCTTTAATAAGGAAAGCAAACAAAGCTGTCGCCCAGCCGAACTGCACATCTGCGCGGTCGGATACGAGCACTCTGCGCGTCTGCGCGACTGTCCGCTGCCCAGCACTGCTGTAGTGGCACCCGCACTGGGCGGCACCTTGAGCGATGCCGTCCCAGCGGCCAGCGCGCATCCGCCGTCCATATTGCACACAGCAATTTGGCTGTGCGGCAGCAATGTTTACCTACTTCATTAAGGATTGGAGCGTACATGTGAGTGTTGTTTAAAGAGGGCAGAGAGAGCGCTGCAGTGCTATCTCAGATTTATTTTGCCATGGTTGTACAGTGTACAGTAGTGTACACAGTACTGGTACACCTTCTTTAGTAGCAAGTTGGCAACTAACATGACCCCTGTTTTTTCCATATTGAAAATGCTTTGTAAGTGATCGAACGCTATCAATCAACGGAACAGTTGTCCATAGTCAATATGTTACTGTACTCTCGACTCACGATGTCTCCGTTTTGTATGGTCTTTCCATGCAACACTATACTGGCGTCACGTAATTCAATGAGTACGGTCTTTTAGGCCTAATGAACCGTCTGAACAACTCGAACCCTTCTTTGGGTACTCTAGTAATTGAAATCAGACGGTTCTTTGGAAAGCCAGACTTATTCTTTTACTTAAAGTCCCAAATTTGATTTTTGTTTTGATTTAAATTTTAAATTAGTTTTCTGAACTCGGTTCGACATTGCGAAATAAGATTCATTATTGTCGTCGTGGAAAGGATTTAAGAAACTGAAAGTTTAAGCTGTGAATCTGACGGAAAAAAACTGAACCGTTACTGTTCAACGCGCTCGAAAACCGATCGTTAGCCGTTCCTTTGACGAGTATTACAGCCAATCACGCTCATTGGTGGATTTATGTTCACCTGATTCAGCGAATTTTTTGAACCGCGTACAGTGCATGACTGGCTATACTTTACAAAACCGGGACATCTTGAGCCGAGAGTACAGTATTACGTATTATATAGTTTGTGTTAAAGTTATTTACTATGTTTAATGTTTTTATTTTTGTGTCAGTCGGGCAGCGTATAGCGTACACTGATGTCAGCGCTAATGACGTTAGACTGCGTTTTATTAGCGTAAAAACTGCTTCACACAGTGCTGCACTCGTTTTGTACATATTATAACGGAAGGCTGATGATGGGCCTCCGTTACTAGTGGGTTGGCTACACGCCGCGCCACGACGCACAATAACCGAAAGTGGTGGTCAAAGATGCAGACGTTACACAGTTAGGGAATTACAGGAATCAGGAAGACGAAAGGTCATTCCGAACGAACGATCGAACGAACGAAAGAAAGAAAGCTTTCACATCGAAGTTTATTAGCAATTGAAGAAATGCGGGTGGCTGCGAAGCAGCACCGTGCCCGACTGATTTCCGTAAACTCATTCTCATCTCCACAGAAGCTAGAAATTCGGAACACAGACCGCCCACAGGCTACCGATTACATCATCGGCTTTATCGCTGACCAATCAAATAAAACATAATTATTCGAATTCATAACACTCTTGCTATAATATAGTACAGTACAAGCGCTACAATACTGCGAAGGACAGTGTCAACTCAAATAAAACACTGTGTAAATTTATGCCGCATGCCATTAGGGGAAAACGTACAGTTAACAATTTATTGCCGACTACAAATCCCCAAAATCTCACTACTGCCGGATGATATCATCGCATCTGCTCGGTACAGTCTCGTTGAAAAATTCCATACACATCCACCTCTACCCGCGTATAATGGGGTACTAATAAACCCTGGGAATGAGATTTGGGAATTGGTATTGGGAATTGGTATTGGGAATGGTATTGGTAATGGGCAGGGTAATTGCTGGGAATGGTATTTCGTGACGGGAATGGGAATGGGAAATGATTGATAAAATTGCGCATGCGAAGCCGAAGATGTTCTTTGTATATCAGTACATACAGCCCTGCCAAGCCAAGTTGGAACATCAAAAAAATTCCTCAACTTCTGCCACTAAAGTCCAGATTTTTCCTAATTTCTGCGTGAAAGTTTTGGCGTATGGCATCTCTTATAATCATGTTTCTACGCAAAAAGCTAAGGCACAGGGAGCAGGAGTCACAATTTAATTTCTATTTTCCTCGCCGAAATCGTGCTGCTTAATAAGAAATCTGGGCTTCAACTAACTATTATTCTGGAAATGTTGAAAGGTTAATGACTACAAATTAATAGAGCAGTATAACAGTACCTAAGAATCACCAATTTTCAAAACGATATGCGCACTCGTTCTAGTACTTACTTGATTTTGGTGGGTTAAGTTATTTGTTGATATTACGATTGTTGGAAAAATCACGAAGATCTTTCTGATTATGCCAGAAATGCTACAAAACTTCATTCAGAGCCGGTCATAAACCTTTCTGGGAGAAAGCCCAACACTCAAAAAGTAAATGCCGGAAACTACTGCCAGTCTGGCAGCTATTGAACCATCGGTCTATTACTTTGTAGTTGCGCGAAGAGCCATCTGAAAGAACCGAAAACAGGGATGCGCTACATACCGTTATTAAAAAGTGGGGAGAAACCTACTGGCATGGAAATTTTAAGTGCAGAGAAATGGTTCAACATTTGTGAAAATACAAATCAAAACGGGTGCCCATAAAAACCGGCATCAGGGTGTGTTTACTTAAGTAATAAAAAATAAGGGTGTCTGTAATTAACGGGATGCGTAAAAGGGTGACTCACTGACTATAAAAACCGGGGTGGATAGGATTGGCCTTAGACCATAGCTTCATTTCCTAATAACAAATAAAATACTACCATTACTTCGAATATAACAGGTAAACATAATGACCACGAGCAAAGTCATACTGTAATATCGTAATTAACGAATTTTTTGAACATTTTTTATTTTTCAAACAGTATTTTTCGAAGGTGGCCGTTATGTTTCAAACAACTGCGTATTCTGTTCTATCAATCATTTCCCATTCCCATTCCTATTACAAAATACCATTCCCAGCAATTACCCTGATTCCCATTACCGATACCATTACCAATACCAATTCCCAATACCAGTTCCCAAATCCCATTCCCAGGGTTTATTAGTACCCCGTATACTGTACCTGTTCCCGTCAAAGACCTCATAAATCGCCGAATGCCGTCCCAGTTTGAGGTGTCTGGCAGCCATCAGATACCTGCACACGGGTTCGGTTTTCCTTGTTGAAATCGCAAGCACGTACGCACTGTATATAGTGCAGTCCACTGGCAACACAGCCCTGCGAGCTAACAGCGGGATTTATGGTATGTTGCTGGAAAAAGCCGGCTGTAACGTTGGCAGCAGTAAACAGCTAGCCCGCACCCAGAATTCTAAGGTCCTCCCTCCGGATGCCGACCGAGGAGTCCGGCGCGGCGACCGCATAATTTCTGACTGAGCTGATGCCCTCAGTGCATGTATATGTTGTTATACGTGCTCGAAACACCTACCTGTACTGTACTCGTAGAATATGTATATAAGAATTATACAGTTAACGGCAGTATGCAATTGACTGATCCTCTTCTTCTGCGTCAACTGCCTGTCGCCCATAACCGCCTCGGTAACACAATAATACACCTGCCGAAATTTCTCAGACTGCTTTCGTTCGTGCATGGTAATCATGGCTTCCCTGGGGTTAACGTCGTCCGTGGTGCGCCGTTTCATCCTGAGCTTCATGCTGGTCAGTCTATACATCCTTATCGTTGTCGTGGACTTTGTTGACCTTTCGGTGAACGGCACGCTGGACTACCGTAAAGCCTGTGCGCGCTACAAGTACAATCCCGTTCTGTTCTTCGTGGCCACCGGCTTCTCGCAGGTCAGTTCGGCCTTGGCCCTGCTCAATCTGCTGGCGGCCGTGTACTTTCACCGGCGCCAGCGACAGATTTGCCGCAAACTGCGATCCGGATACGGCTGTGATCGCGACAACCAGTCTGGTGGTGGATCCACTTGCGCCCCTAACAGCCAGCAGCGCCGCGTAAATATATCGGACGGGGTCTGGCGGTGGCCCTCGGCCCCAGCGCCGTCTTCCTCACCGCCACCTGCGGAATCTCCCTCAAGCGCATTCTGGACAACACCGGCAACACCGCCACGGAGCAGTACGCGACATTCACCATCTCGACATTGCTGGCCGAATCCTGGATGGTCGTGTTGCTGACCTTTAGCTGCCTGATCGTCTACGCCAGCTTCGCCATGGTATCTCTCGTGCTTCATCAGTACAACGAAACCGTCCAGCGGCTGCGCAGCGAGTTGAGCGACCTGTCACAGCGTCTCCCGTCCGGATGTCCGAAAAAGAGCTCTATCCGTTGGCGCGCCGTTACGCTGATGACTTGGATAAACTGTGCAACCTGCACGCCAAGATGGAGAGCAGCGTGGGCGTGCCGGTCTTATGTGTCATCGCCGCTACGTATTTCTCCTTGGTGCACACTATTGGCCAAGTCATGCTGGATACGGACAATTTCAAGAACGAAATATCAGTACTCAATTCGAGCGCCACCTGCGTGGAAGACCTTCTCATGTCGCACTGGAATAAATTTGTAAAGATTCTGGCAGATTTGTTGCTTATTTACGTTGAATACGCAGACTCATGTGGCGTGACGTGTCGAAGCACATTAAATGGCTCAAGCCCACGTTTCTTTAAATTCCCGCTTACAGCGGTCAAAGAATTGTTGGGCGGGCTTGTAGCTAAATTGCATAAATTACAGTATGTTACGTACTCTCGTATGTGCAGGTCAGTATGACAGTACGTACGGCCAGCGCCGTTGCTTCGACGAGCGGCAAGTCGCGCAAGCGCAAGGTCACCATCATCCGGACGCTGCTGGCGGCTGGCAAGCGCTTTTGTCGTGGAGAGTTTAAGGCCTTCCGCATGGTCACCGTTCTACGCGCCACGATTTTCCCGGTAAATGCTCGAATTCAGCGATTAACCCTACAGAATGATTATATTATTAATTCTGCGCACTATCTGTGTTTTACTAATGTGGCAACGTGGTCGGACGCATTATGCAGATTGTCATGCTGATCCTGACGGCCATTTTCTTCTTCTGGGATCGCCGTGAAGGCTACACGGGACCCGGCTGCGCTGACCTCAGCAGCAACCGGACAGTGACCTAGCTCAGCAGTAAGACCGGACTTCTTACTCTAGTTGTTGCCCCCAGGAAACACGTTTTTAATTCGTCTGTCGTTATGCAGGTCATTTGCAATTGTGGGCAGCTGCATGCAGCTGTACCTCAAATCTGAACGGAAACTGGTTTTCCATACTTGTTTATTTAGTTTTAAAAACGTGTACAACCTAATTTTAGTACACTTTGTGCAAAGAGTGTTTATTAGCTATGTACTGTACATGTACTCTGTATAATACAACAAAATTTCATTATCTGATGCTGCCGGAAGATTTTCTGACAAGTGATATAGTCATGTTTTTATTTGTCACAGCGGCGAGCTGAATGCCACGATTTAGCGGGAAAGCCATGCACATAGCTACAGAGATATTGTACTACAATTAATTATGTACTTACAGTATATATATACCGCGCAGTATTTAAATTTGCGTGCCGAACACAGGTACAAGTACGTATCTAAACATTACCTGTGTACCAGTACTTTACCTGATGTGAGTTTAGCATGCAAATTGAAATACTGCGCGGTGCATACAATAATATTGTGTTCGACCACAACGTACATAAAACACCAGCCGGATGGCGGCAGCAAGTACAGACTTTGCTGAAATTAATAAGTATCGTACGTACGCAGTTACAACAACACTGCGAGCGTAAAAATGTGTATATTTGTGCAGCTTTTACGCTCCACTATCCAGATCCACTGATCGTGGATCTGGCTACGGTACTGCGTTCGTATGATACTTGATGCAGTTTCCTACTCCCGTTTCAAAATTTAATGTAAGCAGCTGTAGTTAATAGTTATACAGTTAGGGGCACTGCCGTTGCTCTGCTATAGGAGTAACAGAGGAATGAATGAATGGAATGTTCATTCATTCCTCTCGTTATACTCCTAGAGCAACGGCAATGATAGAAGTGACATATCTATATTATCGGTATACATTGTAGATGTAGTTGTGTATCGCTATAATATAAAATACGAGCAGGCAGCGATGATTGAAAATACCTATCTTCAGCGCATAGAAAAGACAGGAGGCGCAATGGGGAGGTGTCGTTTGAGCGAAAATGATCAGCGGCATCTGCCGCTGCCCGGATGTTACCTGTATATCTGTATTATCGGGTTACCAGTGCAAAGGTAATCCGTCACAAGTCCACGCATAGTATTACAATACTTGTACTTGAGTTGCCTGCTCGATCCACTTCATACTGACCGTCATCAGTTAAATATCTCTTCGTTGTACATATACTTCAACCATCACTTCCTCCTGTACACGTTAATTATATTCTCACTGCTCTGTACAACTATTCGTTGCACGTTGCACTGCACGTGAGCGGACGCGATTTGCATGATTAATAATTATCAACTGCGCATGCGACTTGCCAGCAATCTTCCCAATTTCCGCGGCAATTACAATGACTGCTGGTTAGCGCTCATAATTACATTTTCGCCGAATAGCATCGATTCAAGGTGGTGGACAAGTGGACGAGTAATGGTTTCCGGTGTAGGTTGGTGATTGTATTTGCCGGTATAATCCCTCCACTGCCTTCTCCGATCTTGGCGGCGGTGCGTACGGGAATTGTGCGGTTGGATGGAAGTTCGGAGCGGCAATGGGGATATTGGGGACATATGTCGCCGGGTCGTTATCTATATCGGCTTTACCCGCTGTAGTTTCCGCCTGTATCATATGTTGTCTGAGTGCTGCGGCGGCGCAGAGTCAGCAGTCGCCCGGAAGTAACGGGACACCGACGGCCGTACCCGTCGCGGCCGCCGCCGCCGCCGCCCCGAGCAGTGCCGGCAGCGCCCCGGCGGCCGGGGCGCAGCTCTTCTCCTCAGCGCAGACCCTGGCGGATTCCGGCCACAGCCACAGTCACAGCCATCACGCCGCCGCCAGCGTCAGCGCCAACGCCCCCATCGCCGACCTATTCCCCGGCGTCGGCATCGGCATGGGCGGCGCCTTTCACAAGGTGCCCTTCAGCGACCGGCTGTCGTGCGACGGCGTCTTCCAGGACTACTGCTCCAAGCCCGGCATCTTCTATCCAAGGTGTGCACGATACTTTCTTCGCCTGTTCACGTACTGAGTGACCTTTATTTATGTATATGCATGCTGTATATACAGCTCGGTTGATTATAATAATTTGACCAATTTAAACGGTTCATGTAGGAGCGACATTTCTATGTTTATTGACGAGAACAAGGCGCTGATGCGGCGCATGTTTGGCTCAGTGTCGTCACGCAGTCTCATCCGCAAGGAAGAGGAGGACCAGCCCAACGGACCCAACGGCCAGCTGGACAACAGCGACCTGCGCCGCAAACGCATGGTCAAGAACGGCGCCGCCGCGGGGGCCGGGACCGGTGCCGGCGGGCCGCAACCGGCGCTGTAAGCGGACAGATACTGTATAATAATATTGGTTTTCTATTTCTCATTTGGGCTTGATAGTATTGCTTTCATTTCCGGCTGCTGCTGCACGTTCTTACAGCGTCCTTGTGCTGACCGCTCACTTACACGCAGATGCAGTCACTATATACGCTCAATGCCGGTTTCTTGTTACAGCACCAGCTATCTCTGCCCTGTTGAAGGTTAGTTAGTACAGCTAGCGATGTACAGTACGCTTTATCCATAAAATTAATACAAAGCAATATTATATAGACACTAAGGCACTTACCCTGTAACGATACAATATATAGATACTATAACTTATATAGACACGTTCTACTCGTTTCTCATTCATTGTCAAAACTTTTTACAGTATATACTATACTAGTTGCTTATCCGCTCATGCCTTTGTTACATATATAACTTTAATTTATACTTATTAGACTATTCTGCATACTTGTACAAATTTTCATGGATATATGTATATATGAATTCATGGATGTACTAGTATATACCTCGTAGATATGTAGCGATGTAGTGATGCGAAGACGCATACATAGTGGCGGCGTAAAGGTGGATACGACTAGTGTCGGACGTGTGCACACTGTACAGACTGTATACTGCATTGCAGAGGAGCTGGTGACGCCGTTCTGGGCGGTGAACGGGACGGGCGTGAAGCTGGCCATCGTCAACAGTCCGCCCTTCGAGCAGGCCGTCCACACCGTCAAGTGCGCCCGCTCCATGACGAGCAGCGGCCTCCCGCTGACGCCGGCGCAGCAGGGCACCGCCGGCGGCAGTGCCGGCACAATGCACAATCGCTGCCACCCCAGCCGGCCCTGCTGGTGCAGCCAGGAGTACAGCTGGTTCCGCCTCCTCGCCTACGACCCCCACGACAACTGCAAGGTACGTCACTTACGTCAGTGCCGCAGACCTACAAAAGTACTATTATAAAAGTACATACTGTATATCCCGCCGAAGCACCACCCTTCGCCATATAATGCTAGACAGTGGACAGATATTAACGACTGCCGAAGGCTTCTAATTGTATTAAATAGGACTAAAAATATGACAGTGTATTTGTACATGTGGCCAGGGTATCTTCATGGACTGGTTCAAATTCCCCTCGCACTGCGCCTGCAAGTGCATGCTGGCCGACCCCGCATCAAGCGGATAGAACTGAACGTACGATCATCCACAGAGTATCTCCGCGCGCCATTTAACCACACAAGGAGCAGCCCTTTCCCATACTGACCAGACGGATGGATGACCTTTGCTATTCGTTTCACCGGCGAGCAAGATTTGCTTATAATTCGTGTTAGTACGGATATACGGTACTTGTACATCTAACGATAACAGTTTACTATGTAGTATAAGTATAATTGTTGCAATATATTGTACGTACTGTCAGTGTCCGGTATATACTGTGTATATAGATAGATATAGGCTGTAGATTCGTGTTACTCTTTTACCTCGTTTCGGTATATTTATAACTGTCTGTAGATGTTGATAAGGAGTGATTCCTTGTGCTTATCTAGAGACGTTAAGCGATAAACCAAATTAAACCTGATGCCCCATGCGGATGCATACAACGCTCAAGTACTGTAACAATTGATCGTGACTGCGAATACGAAGCTGATACACTAGCACACTCAGTCCAAGAATAACACCGGCCACATCACTTTCGTAAGAGTTAAGACGTTCGCTACAAGTACGCTACATAATTAACAAGAAGAATGCATAACCGTAATGCAAGAAACAATAATAATCCAACACTGCAAATGCCGAATTCGGCAGGATCAGGTACAGTGAGTAAAGTCGTTAGTCTACTTTAATTGTGGGTGGAGAGATCGAGTTTGCGCTGGTAGCGCGCGAGGCCCTGGATCTTCATGTTGAGCCAGTCGGGCACCTTGGGCTCGGGGCAGGGGCTCTTGCTGTTGGTGTAGATCTGCTTGGGCAGCTGCGTGATGGACAGGCAGAAGGGGGCCACGGCCTGGTTGATGGCGGCGTCCAGCCGCGCCTGTTCGTCGCGCGACAGCAGGTCCGGGCGCTCGCGCACGTTGACGCAGATGTGCGGCCGGGCGCAGACGCCGCTCGCCGCGCTGTACTTCTGGCACTCGTAGTTGATCCACAGACCGAGCCGCTCGTCCAGCAGCAACGTGTAGAAGATGGTATACTCTGCCAAAGGTCATCCGCAGTCATTTTGATTATCTTATATATATGATTTTGCGTTCCTATTTAGTTTTCAAGCTTTTTCTCAACGTGGTATAGCAGAGGAGACTGACATACCGATGGGCGCCCGCTCCGGGAAGTAGGTGTCCATGACCTGCGTCCCGCGCAGCCCCAGGAAGCCGGCGTAGAAGATGTCGCTGCAGGAGTAGTCCTGCGAGCTCTGGTACCAGGAGGACGCGTACCAGGCCGCCATCGCCGGATAGTGCGTCGAAGGGATTTCGGCGCGGCCCAGCGGCCGCACGCGCAGCACGGGGTTGATCTGCAGCGGGCCGATGGGCGAGCGCCGGTACTGGAACCACTCCCCGCCCAACTGCAAAGGTCACGTTATAACACCGGTCAACTTCGTCATAAAGCGGCACCCACCTTTTCGGGATGGACGACCTGGGTGCCGCGCAGCACGTTGGGGATGCCGCAGTACAGCGTGCGGTCCACGCGCGTCTGCGCCGGCGCGCATAACCCGTCGGCCGCGTAATCTTCGTCCTCGTAGTGCTCCTCGTGGTACTCCCCGCCGTCTCCCGCCGGACTCAGGTACGGCGCATCCTGGACGCCCTGCATCTTGGGCGCGTAGTTGCGGCCGTCGGTGCGGTAGTGCCGGTAACCGCCGCCGGCGTGCGGCTGCCCGTAGAACTGCTCCCGCACCGTGCCGTTGGCCGGGGTGTACGCCGCTTGTGGCTGCAGGTAGCCGGCGTCCTTCACCGGCTGCACCGTGCGCGCGTAGTTCGCCGCGTCGCTGCGGTAGGAACGGTAGTCGCCGGCGTAAGTCTGCCCGTAATACTGTTGTTTCACCGGGGCGGCGGCCGGGTAGGGTTGGGCCGGGGTGGCGCCGCCGTACTGAAGCCCGTAGGCGGCGTCCTTGACGGCCGGGTCGTAGTTGGGCCGGTAGTTCTGCGCGCGGTAAGGCCGGTATTCACCGGCGTAAGGTTGCCCGTAGTCCTGGTCAGCCACCGCCGGGGCGGCGCTGGCGTACTGCTGTCCGTACGTGGAGTTCTTCACAGCGGTGTCCACCGTGGGAACGTAGTTACCGGCGCGGTACGGACGCGAGTAGTCGCCCGCGTAGGGTTGCCCGTAGTGTTGGTCGGTGACGGAGGTGTTGGCGGCGTATCCCCCGTATCCGGCGCCGAGGTAGGGCGCCTGCTTGGTGGTGGCGTTGACGGTGCGGGCGTAGTTGTGGGCGTCGTTGCGGTAGGGTCGGTAGTTGGCGGGGGCCACGGGTTGGCCGTAGTGTTGCTCTTTGACGGCGGGGCTGCTGTAGTTGCCGGCGGCGGGGTAGCTGGCGGAGGCGGAGAGGTAGCCGGCGTCCTTGACGGCGGGGTCGATGCGGATGTGGCCCTGGGCGGCGGCGCGGTACGACGGCTGGTAGCCGGCGGCGGCGTCGCCGTAGTGCTGGTCGGCCACGGCGCTGCTGCTGCTGTTGTTGTACAGGCTGACGTTGGCCGATTTGCCCGGGCCCGGACCCGGCGCCTGCACCGGCAGGTACGGCTGCTCCATGTACGCGCTGTGGTCATCCTCGCTCAAACTGTTCACAACTACGCACGACAAACACATGCTGTACAAAGCTATTATTAGCAAAATAACTTAAGTATGCATTTACGGATTATGTGATGACATAATTATTAGGTCACGATCATGTACAAAATAACTGACTGATTAACAAATTAATAAATAAAATATTAAAATAATAACAAATATATTAGCAAAGTAACTAATATGATTAGGCAAAGAAACTATTAACAAACAGTATAAAATCACTAATAGAATAAAATGTGGTTTTAAGAAAGTACTGATGTCCTGCTGTTTTCTACTTAACATTCCCTTAAAATAACACGACCCAAAAGATTGATCCAGTATTAAAGTATGTACCTTGCCAATATATGAGGACAATCCATATCAAGTGCATTCCGTAGCGCGGCATTTTTGCAAACGATCAATAAAAAGCAAAATTGTGCGAAACTAAATGCAGGTGTATCCAGAATATGCTGATAAGAAAATGGCCAGCGATAAATACTCCTTAAAAATATTCCGCTAAAACTAGTAGCAGTACTTGAATCCAGCCAAGCAGATAATTATTCGAAGGAACACGCGAAAGTAATTAACAGAAATAATCAACTTAACGCTGGCGCAACCCGGCGCATAATGCTGGACAGTCAGGGAAGCTAGCCGTAATTACTACCGGCAATCTTGTAGAATTCAACGCCGTGCATGAAGGAAGATGGCCCAGCAGATTGCCCCGTGTATTATCTAATTGTCAACAAAATCCAGTTTCCGCCGCGCATGCCGGCCTTGAAACTGATGCAGCACGTAACGAGGTCAGTGTAAGCATGTTAGTGGAACTGGAGCGGGCTGCGCAGTATTGTTTGCGCGCGGCAAAAACTAGCGACCTTTGCACCAGTGCCGACCGGCTTTTCACTTCGCAGCATAACGCCGTTAACGTTGACGAGATTAATTCTACATCATATTGAATTATTATTGCTTAATAATATACTAATTCAGATTCATGCCCGATCACCGTATTGATACCTCCTAAATGTGTCCTACAGTGCCTGGAAGAACGGCAGTGGAAAGTTGACTTTTTAACGGCATGCGAGAAGACGTGTGAATACGATCGGCCGCGTGCGTCTCAGTACAGAGAGATCCCGTATTTAGGATTCTTATTTTCATTTAATGCCGAAAAAGTCCATCACTCGCTTACGTGTACAAAAAAAGCGCTTGCTATAGATAAACACTAAACAGGCATGTTTTTCTGTCAGGAAAAGTAGCGGCAGAAACGCCTTACTTCCATTAACTAACCAAACCTTGACTCAGTGCAATCTCGCTCACCGATACACCGGAAACGGCGGAAAGCGGCGCAGTAGGCCATCGGAGCAAAAACAGACTCTGACAATGTGCGGCAATCACGTTGCGATCAGTTGACCGTTTCCCCACGGACACCGACCACGCCCACCGGGTGGGGGCGGTGGCTGACAAGTAATCACTTGTTGCGCTTGACGGTGCGCTGCTTCTCGGCGGAGACGACGACCTGTTCGCCGGCGTTGAAGAGGCCCTTGCGCCTCCTGACCTGGCCGACGTACTTGAGCGCGTGGTTCTCGGCGTCGGCCTTGTCGCCGTACAGCTCGTAGTCCTCCTCGCTGGCCGTCCTTCCCCCCGCCCCGGGCGTCCAGAAGGGGTCCACCTCCAGCACCTCCCAGTGGCTGAAGGTCAGCTGCGGCAAGGCCAGTCCGCTGCTGCGCTTCCGCATCTCCTCGCCCAGTCCGAAGCTCTCGCACACGGGCAGTAGCGTCGCGATGCTGAACACCTCCGAGCCTTCCACCATCTCGTCCTTCACGACGCGCCCGTGCCGCCGACTCACCACGCTGTACACTTTCCCTGCAACCACCGCCCCCAAATCAACACCAAAACAATCACAAGATACGGTAATAAAATCCCAGAAAATGATATTAATTAGAAATAAATACAAATCGCCATAAATCCACTGAAAAGACTCACCGAGAACGTCGCTGCTGGCCTGGATGACGCAGTAGTACATGGCCAGCATCAGCCGCTGCGGTTGTGCCTGGAAAGCGCGGCGACAGGCCTCCTTGACGCTGGAGATGACCTGGCCACCCCCCACCGACCCCGCCGCTTCCTCGTCCTCCCGCGGCGCCATCTGCAGGTCCTCGACGACGAAGGCCACACCCATCATGGGCTCCTCACACAGCGGCCCGGCCAGCGTCGCCAGGTTGAACCCGGCCGCCACGTTCTCCATCAAACCGCTGCCCTGTTCCGCGGCCGTCCACACACTGGGCAGTGGCGTCGCGCTGGCGTTCACCAGGACGTTCGGTCCGCAGTGCCGCGGTCCGAAGGCGCATATACTCTCCAGCGTGATCCCGCTCCCTTCCAGCGTGGCGCGCAGCTCCCCCTTCAACTTCTCCAGCTTCTCGTCGACGGCGGCGACTTCCGGGCGGCGCTTGCCCTTGCGTCGCTCGTGCAGGGTCTTCAGCACCCCCGCGTTGTCCTCCAGGAGGCGGGTGGTGGCTTCCGGGAGGGAGACGGCGCGCATCTTCAGTCGGTACATCCGGTCGGGGGTCTCCATCTCCACGCTGGCGTCGCCACCGTTGCCGGTGGTGAGGACGGTCTCCCGGAAAGGCACGATGGGTGGGGAGACGTTGATGTCCACTTTGGCGTAGGTCTCCTGGAGGTCACGGATGCAGCGCTGCAGGTGCACCTCGCCGGCCGTGATCAGCACGTGCTCGCCGCTCTCCTGCAGCAGCACCTCCACGCAGGGATCCGCCTGGTACAACAGCTTCAGACCCTCCACCAGACGCGGCAAATCCGCTACAACAAGATAAAAAATCGTCAATATTTATCGCAAATTTTACTGACTAGAACTGCCAACTATGTACAAACAAAAGGGAACTAACGCAGCGGAAACTTACTAGTTTTTTTCGGTTCTACGGCCACCCGCACGATGGGCAGGGACGTCGTGTACAGGTCGGTGAAGGCCGGACAGGCCAGCGTGCTGGACAGCGTCCCCGACCGGGTCAACACGCCCTCCAACCCGGCAATGCCTGCAAACGACACATACTCTCGCTAAGGGTTCAAAGCACAAATGATTCCAACTGAAGCTGAAACTTACAATTAATTAAATTAATTATACTTGGGTTAAATAGTCAATTTAAATTGTAATAAATTGTCGTCGTAAATCAATGCAAAGGAAAATGTTTGGTCAAAAACAGGTGTTTATTGTACAATTTTACATTGCTTTACTGTTTCGGTCAACTGCCTTTCGATAAAATTTCCAGTAAAATTCGTGCTTTCTCAGTTAGCATGTACTATTTCCAGCCATTTTTTTCAATTAAAAAATTGAAGTTTTTCAATTCAAACGCATAATACCAGCTGATGTACGGTATGTTTATGGAATGCAGTAATCTGAATGTTGATTTTCTGTTCAGTCATCAATGCCAACACACTACGATTGTCTGCAGTTTATGCAGTCAAGCCGGACAGTGGAGACTAAACGATTTAAATTCTAAACCAACGATGGTGAATTCTGCAGCGCTTACCGACCACATTGCCGGCGTAGGCCACCGGCATCCGCTGCATCTCCCGCCCCATCATGCAGTACACCGCGCCCACCACCACGCGACTGGCATGCGCCGGAAGTCCGCCCTCCGCCTCCGCCGCGTCCACCTGATACTTCGGTCCCAACGCGAACACCTCGTCACCCTCCTTCAGCGTCCCACTGAAGACGCGCGCAAAGGCCAGGAAGACCAACTCCTCGCCCTTCTCCTCACCGCTCACCGCCACCGGCTCCTCCACCGTGACCCCATCGCCCTCGGCCATCTCCCGCCGCTGCCGGACCGCTTCCCGTCTCGCCGCAATCTCCTCTAGCGACAGCGCCTGTCCCCGGGTCGGTGCAGCGCTGCTGTGGTTCGATAAATGCTTGGAACTGACGGCGAAGATCTTGGAGACGAAGGCGATGAGGGGGGCCGAGGGGGCGGCGGAGCAGGCCAGGAAGGCCGGTTTCAGGGCCTGGGTGGGGCCGGGGAGGGCGGCGAAGGGCTGCTGGCTGGCTAATAAGGATTCCACGCGCTCCTCGCTGATTTCCACCGGGCTGGGCAGCTGCCGACACACCGCGTCCAGGACGGCCTTGCCTAATGCGATGGCAGCAAAAAATTCAATAACGAAGGGTAAAATAGTGGCTGCACATACCGAGCGGCAGCCACTGCGAGCAGAGGGCGAAGATGAGCCCTTTGGGGTCGAGACGGAGATCGCGCGGATGAATCTTCAAGCCGAGCGCGGCGGCCATCTTCTCCACGAGCGCCTTGTCCTTTTTCACCCCGACAGCGTCGTACATCTGCCAGAGATTGTCCAGCACCAGCTGCACGAAGAGCGGCTTCTTGCCGCGGGCGCGCGCGTTCTTCTTGATGCGCTTCTCCTTCCCGTCCAGCCAGAAGTCGCCCCACAACGTCAGGTTGAGCACGCGCCGACTCAGGCCCAGTTTCTTGGCGTACAACTCGGCGAAGCGGTCGATGGAGAAGCCCCAGCCGTCCAGGGCGCTGGCGAAGACGACGTTGCCCTTCTCCGGCTGGAAGTAGAGCGCCGAGTCGTCGGCGGCCTCCAGCCCGGCGTCCCAGTCGTCGTACAGCGTCTCCGCCGTGTTCTCCTTGGCGTCGTCCTCCTCTGCAACGCAAGACGCTCATCACCACACCAGACAACACCACCATGTCCGCGGTACCTGCGCGTTGTCGTTCGCGCTTGAGCTCGGTCTGGCGCAGGGTGTGGGAGGCGAAGAGGGCGCCCATGAGGGCGTTGATCTGCTCGAGGATGTGGAGGAGGCGCTGGTAGGCCTCGGCGGGCGACAGTTGCTGCTCGCTGATCAATCTATCGACCTTGTTGATGACCAGCAAGGGACGGATGTTCTCCAGCCAGGCCTGGCGCAGCACCTGCACCGTCTGCGCCGCGCAGCCCTCCACCGCGTCCACCACGACCAGGGCGCCATCGCACACGCGCACCGCCGTCGACACCTCCCCGCAGAAATCCACGTGGCCTGCACAACCACCACAACCATTCAAACACTCAAATAAACTAAATACAATTACGCCAATCCGACAGCCACAACATACAGAATAAAATGCCTAAATTAATAGCTACATCTAGAAAAAAGAAAATGAAAAAATAGATAAATATAATAAAGCATAAAATGCATTAAAAAAGATAAGAATAATGTCGCTGACTACAAATTTAATAAGAAAACGTAGAATACTTGTACAGCCTGTTAGAAAACCTGAATAGGAAGAACGAAAACAGAAAGCCAGAAATCTTGGGTGAGGGAGAATACCTGGGGAGTCGATGAGGTTGACGAGGAAGGTGCCTGAGTGTGCAGGCGTTCCTTCGCTTCCTCCGTCGCTGAGTGTGTGCTTGAGCGTGATGGCGCTGGCCTTCATGGTGATGCCGCGCTGCTGCTCGTCCGGCCGGTCGTCCAGGTAGCGCAGACGGCCGGCCAGGCGCTGCGAGATGAGCCCGTTGCTGGCCAGCAGCGAGTCGGCCAGCGAGGTCTTCCCTGCACAGCACACACTGTCCACTGTCACGAGTCAAAGCACAGACAGCTGTCTTTCTGCCTCTCACCGTGGTCCACGTGCGCCAGAATGCAGATATTGCGGATCCGCTGCGGATCGCGCTGCAGCGCCGCCAGACCCTCCTGGTTCTTCGTGGACGCCATGCTCGACGGCCCAAATAAATTTCCAGGGCGATGGGATACACGGTCTGTCACCTGTTAACAGGTTGCTCTTCTGATTCTTTACAAATTAAACACACTCACAACTCCACTTAGACTTTACGATGCTTCGACTTGGTCTTCGCCTTCTCAAAAAACCCACGACCGATTTGCTGCTCAGCTGTGATTTCTACAATTACCCGCACATTATTCTTTTCATGTCTATGGAGAACTTTTATGAAGAAAAGCTAAATGACAACGAAAAACTCGCACAGCGCGCAAACTGCAGAATTTGCACAACTACATACTTATGCCACAACTGTCCTAGAGAAGAATGAGACTGAGAGAAGAAATGTGAACATTGTGTAGCCGTAGTCAGCCTGTACGTAACTGCCTCTTTCTGGGCCATTGCCGCGATTCCCATTGCGACACTAGTTTCTAAGCGTTAGGCGTACGCGGTTCAACTTCCGGCGGAAGACAAACCGCCTAATGTACCCACGTACTTCATTTTACAGAATCTGATAGAATATAGATATTCGATACAACTGTGTTTTATTTCATTAATAATCTCAGGTGCAAGTCACTGCAAGTCAAAAAAAGGTTACACATGCCTCATTTATTGTCAACTTGTACAAGCCAATGCCATTTACATTCAAACTTTAAAAACCCCAATAATTAGAACAAGTAAAATAACTCTTCTAACTCTCGAGAACACCCGACCGTCCCCAGGACAGAAGCCGCGTTTCCGCGCTGAATTTCCACACTTATACGTTGCCATAAATACTGAACAGCGCGCGCTTCTCCTGTTTGTTCTTTGATGCGCCGGCCGACTTCATTGATGAACTGGCGAGTACTTTCGCCACAACTTCCCATAGTTTCGAGAGCCACTGGCTGGAAAAAATGCCGATCAATGAGTTCGGAATAAAGGTTTCACTTCCGCGTCTTCAGCAGCCGATCCCGCTGCTTCTGAACAGCCAGCTATATACGAAGTAGCGAATGTGTCACAAACTGTCACATCCCATATCAGAGGGAGGTCTTTCTCCATGGGAAGAGTGATAAGCCGTCTGGACGCTTCCCGTTCAGTGTGCTCAGTCCGGAAGGCTCCAAGATTGTCGGCACCTTTGCTGATCCGAGGCTACGCTGAATCACGCTATTCAAACTCGCATGCCTCCTGAACCTTCCTTGGCTTTTGACGCACGACAATCCATGTAAGCCGCATGTATCCACCATTTCACCACACCGACAATTATTCTTCTTACAAATAGGCGCCCCCATCCGCAAAGCAACAGCGATCCGCAGACCGGCATCGTCCAGCAGTGTGCCAAGGCTGGCGACCGGCAATGCAAGCAACTAGGCACTGGCATCCTTGGCAGAGACAGCCAACAGACAAGCAGAGGCAATAACGTCGGCGCTCTCTTTTAAGGCTTCCAGTTTCCCGGCAGTCAGCATATCCGACCACAAGCGTTGGTTGCTCCGGTCTTCCAATCGCAGGTGCAGTCTTTCCTGTACGTTCTTCCCAGCACGACTCAACGTCAGACCGATCGTCGGGGCAATCTTCGGGCACAATAGTGCGTACTAGCTTGTCGGTAGAATAGAGCGAGGAGAGATGGGCCGGCGTAGCGATTTCTTCGGCTTTAGGCAAACCCAAGCCGCAAAGTGCAAAAAGGTGGTGGCAATAGTCAAAAGGTGGTGTGAAAAATATTTTAAAAAAGGTGATGCGAATAGCCAAAAGGCGGTGAAAGGTCGTGAGAATATTCAAAGGAGGTCGCAGGGTGGTGAGAATAGCCATTTCCTTAAAAACATGTGTTTCCTTATATTATTTTATTTTTATGTGTATACCTGTCAAGGAGCAGCAAGTGAGACGAAAAAGGACTATATTTCCTTTCCTTTTAACCTGTATCTTAAGTTTTTCATTTAGTTTAAACTGAAACATGCTTAATAAACCACAAACAGGTGTTTTTTCTTCACAAAAAATTAGCTGTTTTGCGTTGCATGTACAGGCTCTGAAAATGAAAGTTTGGTAATAGTTAAACATTTTGCCCTTGTAAAGCTTAGGTTCATAAGTCTTGTTGCTTATGTAAAATTAGATATATCGCGCTAAATGTACACTGTTGAAGCATTTTTTTGTTTTTGTGAAATAAGCTTTTTTGCGCTAATTGTACATGCTCTGACAATTAAAATATGTGATAAATAATACATATCGCCCTTGTTGTACTTAGGGTCACAATTCTTATTGCTTATGCAAAATCATATATATCGCGCTAATTTTACCCTGTTGAGTGTTGAGGCATTTTTTTGCTTTCGTAAAATAGAAAATAGGTTTTTTTGCGCTGATTGTAGATGCACTGACATTGAAAGGTTGTGAAAAATCAAACATAGCGCACTTGGTGTAACTCCGTCCATAAGTCATATTGTTTATACAAAACCAGATATATCGCGCAAATTTTACTCTTTGGAGGCCTTTTTCAAAAGTAAATTTAGCTGGCTTCCGCTAATTCTACATGCTCTAACATTAAAAATCTGTGCAAAGTAATACATATCGTCCTTACTGTACTTAGGGCCACAATTCTTATTGTTTATGCAAAATTAGATACAATATACAGCGCTGATTGTACACTGTTGAGTCCTTTGGTTTCATAAAATTGACTGTGTCGTGCCAAATGTACATGCCCTGACATTTAACGGTTGTGAAAAATTAAACATATCGCATTTGTTGGAACCGCGTTCATAACTTTTATTTTTTATGCAAAATTACAAATATTCCTCTAATTGTACACTGTTGAAGCAGGTTTTTGTTTTCGTGAAATTAGCTGTTTCGCGTTGATTGTACATACTTTAAAAATTTGTGAGAAATAATACATATCGCTCTTATCGTCTTTAGAACCGCAAATCTTACTGTTAATGCAAAATTAGATATATCGCGCTAATTGTATGCGGTTGAGAGAACTTTTGTTTTCATAAAATTGACTGTTTCGCGCTAAATGTACATGCTCTTACATTGAAAGGCTGTGGAAAATTAAACATATCGCACTTGTTGGAACCGCGTTCATAAATTTAATTGTTTATGCAAAATCACGTATATTGCGCTTATTGAACACTGTTCAAACGTTTTTTTTTTGTTTTCATAAAATAACCTTTTTTGCGCTGATTGAAAATGCTCTGACATGTATGTAAAAAGTATGTAAGTAAAAAGTATGTAAAAAGTATGGAACTCTAAATGTATGTAAAAACACTTCGTGCGGAAATTGTTCCGTCGGCTGTGGTATATATCGGGATACATGAGACTTTCTATAGTCTGTATACGGCTTGTTCCTGAACGGTGTACGGGAGTCTTTAACTAAATTGCGGCACGCACCTGATTGCAATAAGTTTGGATGATGGTTAAATACTATACAATGTACGACGAGAGCATATTATTTACAGAGCCGTCCATTATTTTTTCTTGAACTGATTGTCGATTTTGATTGCCATACCGCTAGCGAAGTTTGCCAACTGTCTAGCAGTAACGTAACTGAAGTACGCGTGCGGTGGCCCATGCAGCACGCTGCTGGAATCAAAATCTTCAAACATTCGTAACTTTGTTAATTTTCGTGTTAAATTCTTTTGTATAAGCTTAAAAAATACAAAATAACGCATACCCTTAGGCAAAACAACTGATCTTTCGTTTTTATTTTCGGGTTATTCACTATGAGCCTTTGATGTTAACATACCTGTCTAGGGAAGACTCATTCGAGATTTCAAATAGGCGGCTATGCTAAGCACGTATGCTCTCAGTGCCAAACCTTGAAACGAAACCAGAAAATCAGCTATTCTGCCTAATAGTATGCATTATTTTAATTTTTTAAGCGCATACAAAAAAATTTAGCACGGAAATAACAAAGTTACGAATTTGTGAAGATTTTCATTCCAGCAGCGTGCTGCTGGAATGAGAATGTGCTCATTCTAGAACTCATTTCCTCCCTAAAATTATCCTCTTAATTGTGCGTGGATTGAACCAAATTGAAAAATTTGATATTTTGAAAAAAAACCTTTAACAGCCGCACTGTAACTGATACAACCGCAAAGAAGCAAACAGGCGACGGTTTAATGCAGTTTCTGACGGCTGGTTGTTTTCTTTGGACTTGCAGATAACTCCAACTCTTGCTTCTCGATCAGTTATTGATTAAATCAAACCAACTTCAAAAATTTACGAGAGCAAGCTGTTTTCTGTGACAACTTTTGTCGCTGTCAAGAAATATCAATACATGCGGAAACACGCTTATGAAACATTATAAGTTCACTTTGAGTAAGTGATAAGAATGCAACATTTGTACGTTTTGCTCCATAGCCGGCGCCTGAAGTCTCTCTGGTGCTCGGGAACCGGTAATTAGAATTTGGCCTTGGCAGGTTTCAAATAAAAAGGCCTTTTCTAGAAAATTTGATGAATTTCTGATCCTGTATCTTTGTGCATGCATATAAGGCTTTTGCGTTTAATGTAATTGCTAATATCCTTACAAAGTCCATGCTTGGGAGATTCAACAAAATTGAATGAGTCGATGGCGCTCAAAGCTAGCGTTCAAGTTGATATAGTCTGGAACACAACAAGTGGTCAACGGCTTACTTAAGTAAAAAAAACCAACAACTGTGGATGGTTGCACAGTTACACTGCCTGCAATGCTAAACTGTCCTCTTATAAGGTTTTAACCGTTGAAAAGCAAGCCGTATATACTTACAGTCTTTGTATTATAACGTATCCAGTATCTTTATGTATGCATAACTCACTGCACTCTGCAGGGTTTTGCCCTCCGGAAAATACTAAACCACTCCCCTAAATTGGGCGAATCAAAGGGGTGTAACATTTTGGTTACGAATCTCCATAGACGAACCAAAAACAAGCCGTTAACACTATTCCTATGCGAAGACTAGTCTTCTTCTTTTCATAGTGTTAAGTCTGCATCTGTGTGCAGCCAACAGAAAAGTATGACGTATCGCACTTATTGTATTTAAGGCCACAAGTCATACGGTTTATGCGAAATAAGGTATATCGCGTTTATTGCATGCTGTTAAAGACGTTTCGTTTATATAACATTGACTGTTTCGCGCCAAATGAACATTTATTGGCATTAAAAGGCTCTAAAAAATTAAACATATCACACTTTTTGGAATCCCGTTCATAAGTTCCGTTTTTTATTCAAAGTAAGATATATCGCGCAGATTGTGTACACGGCTAAAGTGTTTTCTTGATAACGTAAATTTAGCAGTCTCCCGCTAATTTTGCGTGCTGTGGGGTTACCAATTTGTGAGAAAAACACAAATCGCCCTTATTGTGCTTAGG